ACATCAATAAATTGCAACATTTAAAAAAAAACAAAAAACATTGGTCATCTAATAGAAGACGTGCATTGCCACAATCAGATAAAGAATGTACAACTAAACCCATAATGCTTTCATGGGGATTAAGGATTGTTTAGAGGAGAGAAAATAGGGTTGGTAAAATTGCGACATTTCGTTGCCAATAAAAAGTAGCACTTTTATGGATTGAATAGTAAATATCTACCTGCACAGCCTTTATTTTTTCTTAAAGGTGGTGCAAACTTGATCAATACCATCTTCGACAAGTTTAATGATTCAAAGCGTTGTAAAACAAGAGTTAATTTAAATCTTTGTATTGCATTGTGTATATTTAAAGGGTGAATAGTTGTTTCATAATAAGATAGTCCTAGTTAGATTTTTACCTTGTAAGCAGCCCTTTTCCAAGCCATGGCTCCAAGCATTTGTATTGGATTCCCTTACTGGTATGGTGACTGCTATTCATTAAAGCCTGTTTAATTATTATGGGATACAAGGAAGGCATTAATAAAGGTTAATAAACATAAATCGATACTGTTACACGGTGGAATAATTGCAGGAGCAAAATTTAAAGACAAATAGACAGTGTGAGGGTAAATTGAATGCGAGAAGAATAGCAACGAAAACAGACATATTAGCTTCCGTTTGTTGTCCGACTTTGGATTTTGTTTAACATTCGTTTACTCTGATGATGTCTGTACTCGGTGCTATTTTTTAGAATTCCTCGTTTCGTCAGCAAATTGGTAATAATTATATTATGATGACTTTTTCTGTTGATGTTGACACATTTTCGGCAACTGTATCAGGCAACCGCCCGTTCAAATATGGAGTTAACGGCTGATCGTAAGTATCCAGGGATGTTTGCTCACCATCAAATGTGTATACGCAAAAATGTTCCAGAGTCCGCGGAGAAAAAAAATTCTTTCCTTCTATATTTATTGTTCATGTTTTGTCCACGGAGCGCGAGATTTATGAATAAGGGGAAATCAAATATTAGCATGGACCTGGATGAGCCGGTGGTATTGCACTGCTGCAGCAATCCCTTGGGAGCACTGAGGTGCTTTTTGTTATTTTCCTTTCTATTCTGTTAAACGTGTAAAATCTTCAGCCCGCTGAAGAAATAAGCTCTCAGTGCCCTGAATATTGTGGTAGGCTTATTTTGGGAGTAAGAAATGGTGGGAAAAGAAGGATACATAATCATGATAATGTCATTTCCATTTTGAAATCTTCGTTGAAATGCCCGAAATAAACCTATGGATTTAAACTTTTGCCTCGTTTTCACGAATAATAGGGGGCTTAGTGGTAAATGACCGGCTCGTTATTTTTGCACAAATAATTATAGGGGGCTGAGCCTGGGGTTAGTTTAGAAATCCTAGAATAATTATTTGTGACATCTTATTCGAAGAGAATATCTCGATATTACCTCGCCGTGTTTGGCACTGTAGACGATCACAGCAGGTAACGGTCCATACCATATCCTTGTTATGCCTCCAGTTCCCTGACGATATCTCTCGAAGTTCCTTTGATAGTACAGGAAAATGTCTACAAATATTATAAAAGCGATAAATATGCAGATTATATAAATTATAGATATATGGACAAATACATTAATGCATAAATCAATCAATCAATCAATCAATCAATAAATAAATAAATCAATAAATAATACAATAAATAAATACATGAATGAATCAATAAAATAATGAAGAAATACACAACAAGTAAATAAATAAATAAATAAATAACTGGCATACTCTTGAACACTTGTCATGTATATGCGGATGAATTGAAGCCACATCCCCGCATTTTTGGCGTCATGAAAGGAATGGAATATTGTACTTAATACGAGAACAATAGTAATCAAAGGAAGAGACAAAATATCATTTCAACAAGCAGAGTGCGCATATAATCTGATAAATTATGTTGCACCCTGCACCCGATCGTAAATTTAATCCCACGTCATTATCGGCGGCCGGATGTGTTTGTGTGTGTGCGTGTGTGTGTGTGTGTGTGTGTTTGTGGGAGGGGTGGTTTACTACAAATTATCATTTTATCAGTTATCACTGACTGCCAGTTGCAATACATAATTTATCTAAAGTTAACTTAATATGAAAAATGTGCAGGGACAAAGCGTCGATGTAATAGTGATACGCCTTTGTATCAAACTTAATGCTGAAAAGATACACGATAGAGGTAAAGGGTAAAATCTGGGTTAGATTAAGAAAGATATTGTTGTTACCCACCTCTAGGGTCGCTCTTAAATTGGAGTGTATTCCCGAAGATCGGGACTGCAGGTGGGCCATCGAATTTACTGATGAGAAGGAAAATACGAAGCAACCTGGCGATGTAGTAGAACAGGAATGCAGATAAAGCTACGATACACACAGTCACACCAATTCCAGCAGAGAGTACAGCGGCCATCTTGGTGCGATGGAAATCACAGAATGTCTCTGAATTATGACCAATAATAATATTGTGTAAAAAATGTTGGCTTTTTGTAACCTGGCATTATCTTTTCTTCGAATCAATTCATCCAAAAAATTAGTGTTAGGCATGATTTTTATTATAGGCTTAAACGAAATGTATCGAATTTATAACATGTGGAGATGGTTTTCTAATCGAGACAGTAATTATACCAAAGAGATGTAGAACGTGTGCGTTTTGACTGTACAAAGCCCTGTTTTATAATCAAATTTAAGCTTTCGTATTTCAAAATCTGTTGTATGATTTTAATTGACTGACACTCATAGCTAGACAGACAATAATGATATGAATGGTTCACAATATTGATCCATATATAGTTATAAATAATTATTATCAAAAAGTAGTGTTAGGGTCAACAAGAACTAATATATAATATTTTCTATTCCTTGTCTTTTTCATAGATATAAAGGCTTAACAAGAAGTGGACAATCACAGACAACATTAATGAAATAATGGCAAAGATAAAACTTACAGTTTTCGAAAATATCTTCGCGAAGTGTTCCTCCCGCGATGGTCCGTGCTATATCTCTCATCTCAGCATCCAACCCCAGCACCTCCCCAGATCAAGCATCATTAAGGTCTGACCGATAGAGCGCGTTAATCTATATAAGGTTCCACTGAACTTTACCACCATTTTTGCCCGTTTCTGTGACCTCTTGTATGAAATTGGAGCTTGTAGGTCCAGTGTATGTAGGTCCAGTGTATATAGGTCCAACGTTCAAGTTTAAGTATATACGCAAATATTCTTATTAATTTACAGAGGTCTCCCTTACTGAGGGAGCTGCTCATGGGATTGTCCTTTCACAACTACAAAGAAGTCGCGTAGGACGTGGATCGGAGGGGCGGGAGCGGGGGAGGATCAGGGGCGATGGAGAAAAGGGCATATAGTGCTCATACTTGTCAAAAGAAACATGTCAGTGACATCGCCTTACTTGAAGGAAAAAAAGGTGCCTATTTAACTGCTATTTCCCATATCTGTCAAGAGTATTTACTTGTACCATTTCGAGTCCGTTTCTATATGATTATGCAAACATGTATTCTAAGTCAAACAATTTCGGTATTGATCGATGCAGTAAATATCGTTCTTGTCCCAATTTCTCGATTGGTCAATAGCAAACATGCTAACCACTTTATTTAAAGCAGTGTAAATAGAATAAATCGAAGATGCTTGAATCCCAGGTGTTCACTACATTTGTTAAGCATAATAGCAAACTTCTTTAAAAATTAAATAGGCATTGTCAATCCTTACCCGACCTTTGATATTTGGGCTTCGGTATAGAACAAAATATATGAATGTATATACTGTGACAAAAACTATACTCTATAATATCTGTATTTGTTTCCAAAGTACATACAGGAAAAGAGAAAGAGAGAGAGAGAGAGAGAAAGAGAGAGAGAGTTAAAATAAACAATTCATGAACAATAAATCTTATAATACAATCGTGATAATCTTTTTTTTAAATCATTTATTTTTCCACAAAATCAAGGAAGGATACATATCAAACATTTTGAAGATTATATAAACCAGATCCATTCATGATGCAATGGAATCTTTTCTAAAGAAACACACCCCATATCCTGTTTTTTTAATAAGAGAAGAGTTTGTTACGGATAGGCCAGGGTAATATACAGATGGGTATAAAGGGAAAAAAAAGAAATGCAAACCGTGTGTTTTCAACATGATTTGAAATGATTTAATAAAGGTAATGTCATTTGAAATTGCATAATCAACATGGGCAATATAGAAACACTATATACAAATTGCCACTAATTTGATACCTTCATGAAAATTGTAAAACTTTTGAAGGTAATTTAAAAATAATCATACCACAGTTACTTCCAAAGGGTAGTTCCACGATGAAAGGTTTAGTATAAGTGTTAATGTTACATATGATAGACATAATTATCCACGTTACAGACACTACACAATTTTTCAGCCAATCTTTGTAACTTATGTGGTGCACATAATATTCTCGAACGGTTGAATATTATTTCTGAAGTTCCATTAATTCATACCTCTTAACAAAGAAGTGTGCATTAGTTTTGATTACTTTATTCATAATTATGACCTATCAAGTCTCAAAACAGTTCCCCCCAAATAGGCAGTTTTCGCAATTTAATCAAAATATGGATACGTCTTCGTGAAGAGCCTCGTTTAATTTTATTCACCCGTAAGAGTAAAGTTGTATTTCAATAGTCAGAATGCAAATTGTACACAACTATCTATAATGCTATTAATTTACCTACATAATACTTCTTTAACGTTTCATATGAAGTAATACTGTCTTATTTTATACGGAATATAAGTAAAATGTAAATATTGTTCTGTATGATATATCTATATAGGCATATGTGCCACGCGGGTTTTTGAAAGTAAGGTGACTATAGACCCTTTTCTTCAACGATTCTTAATTTATTTGTTTCTTAAATAGCTGGTTTCTAAGGAACATTCATCAATTTTGTTCTTTCTCCCCCTCCCTTTTTTTTGGGGGGGGGGGGGGGTGGGGTTCGTGTGTTAACACCCCAACCCCATTTTAACCAAATTAAAAACATCTTCTAATAAAGATTCACCAAAAAAAATACGAATGAAAAAACGTTTTTGTGTTGACCCCAACTACTTCCTGTGACTTAATTTGACAAGTATGTTGCCCTCTGCCGGTCTGAGGATGATTTGTCCGGCTGGTTTAGTTTCATCCAGAGTCTGAAGTGATTCAATAGAGAACCTTCGTAGGATGTTGATCAGGAGAACTTTGTCCTCCATCATTGCAAACTTCTGACCTGTGAACAAAATACAGAAAAATATTAAGGTCCAAACAAAAAAACCAAACATAGTTTCTAAACAGAGATGAAATATTTTAAAGTTCCCTTGACAGTACCTGACTGCATTTTTTTCTCAATAATTGCAATAAATAACACCCCACCCGAACAATGTGCCATATGGGCAGAAATTGTCGATATATACCCCCCCCCCCTGTATATATACTCTTTCTGTGCTTTAATTCTTGATTAGTTTCATGATGTTGTCTCATTCCCTTGTTTCATCCCCAGATTTCCCAAGTTCGTATGTTCTGACACCCCTTGGCCCGAATTCACAAAGCAAGGTTTGAGCTCTAAAAAAAAATGTCACAGATTACAAGCGTGTGGAAATGTCTAGAAGAAATTTCCCGGAAGCCTTTGTAAATTTATTAAAAAGTCAGGAAACAAGAGTATCGGAACACAGGGCAGTAATAATTTTCTTACCAATGCAGTTCCTTGGTCCAGCAGAGAATGGGATGAAGGCAAAAGGGTGTCTCTTGGTCGAGTTCTCCGGAAGAAAACGATCAGGATCAAAACGTTCGGGGTCAGGAAACTGTTCCGGGTCATGATGAATGCCATAGATACTCAAGAAGACAGAGGCCCCTTTCGGCACTACTTTTCCATCTACAGTAGATCGAGATTGTGTTAAGGATTAATAGGATTCAAATTACACAAAGTACATTAACTACCCGCATAGTGGTAGAGACTCTGGTTGTATACAATTTTACGTGTACTGTGGTCTATCATTATATACAAAAACCACGTTTTTAACTTAACTTAACCATGGACCAAACACTCTTCCTAAATACTCTAACCCTTACCCTATATCTTTCACACACTAGATCCTGAAAGAATATACTGTCGCCGGGGGAATGCCCGAGTAACATTGACTAAACATGCTCAAAATTTCACAACACTTCAGTCTACCGTCTCTAAATAAGCATGCACTCATGCAGTAATGTTAAGAAAGAACCTAAAACTCTACAATAGCTGGAATCTTAATAAAGGAAAGAGTATTACAGTATTATGTAAAAATAGAACATGTACATATTAAAGGATCCGGGGGGGGGGGGGTACTCAGATTTGGTTTGGACGGGGGTGTGCCACTCAAGCCTCGAAACCCATACCCATTATTAGGGGTCATTTTTCTCGAGAAAAAAAAATTCCAAAAAAAATCAGGTGCTTTACGGGTGACACCCGAAAATATTTGGAAAAAAACGGACCCATTTTTTAATGTTTAGGGATTTTTTGTGAAAAAGTGACCCATTACAGCGGCACACCCCTCTATGTCCTATGTTGTGAGTACCCCCCCCCCCCCCCTATACACACTTTAAGAAAACTGTTGTGTATTATCAAGAGATGTAGAGAAAGTACCCTTCAATCCAAATTAAGAAGACAAAATCAATCAAAGTTAATAATCGCCATGTTTATACTCACTCACGATGATATCTTCATCTAAGTCCCTGCCTATACCTGGAACAGACGGGAGAAGACGCAGTGATTCCTTGACAACACAACTCAGGTAGGACAATTCGGAGAGGTCGTCTGAGGTTATGGGCCGCTCAGAATCACCTTTAATCATAGATATAGAAATAATTGATTTTTCATCCATGTTCATCGACAGATGAAAAGACTATCAAATCAAACACAATAACATGACTGCTCGAGGAAGTTTCTTTACAAAATGATGGTAAAAAATCATATAGCTATGTTGACAATAATGTAGATAATAACTTAGACAATTTACATATACTGATATTACAAACTTTGCTACGTAAAATCCTCTTTTTATTAGAGTTATTACTTAACTAAAAGACATGATAAAGGGATACATATAACTTTCCGTTGTTGTCAACCTCCTCCTTGCTCAATAACCAGGTTTAATACTTACCAAAGACCTGATCGATTTCATCATGCAGACGAGCTTGAACCGTTGGATGCTGGCCAATTAGTAGGAGAGCCCAATTGACTGCTGCAGCGGTCGTATCATGACCCTGAACAGAGGAATAACAAAAAAGTATATAACGTTTGCATTGTGCGGGTTTCTTGTATTCCCCATCATATTGTGACGAATGAGAAAGGAAGAATGCTCATATTACTAGGTGTATCGTATATCCATTGACAAGAGTGGCAATCCCGAAAAAACGGGAGCGGGACCAGCCCACAACCCCCCCCCCCCCCCACACACCCATCAGGAATTTCGTGAAGAAATGTATAGAAAATAATAAGAGAAAAAACTGAAACTCATTTATAGACTATATGGAAAAATGGAGAATGCAAGGTTTAGACTATCAAAAAAGAAAAGAAAATCCTCTTACTCGTTCGCATGATATAGTAGCTGTACAAACAAATTTTGTAGAAGACCTGTATTTTAGAGGTATTGAGTATGTGATGTGTCATCCCACAATAAATCGCAAACATTAATTTATTTGTTAATCTTTTTAACATCAAAGGTCACAATTGTATATTCTGTTCTTATTATCGTGAATTCAGTAAAAACTTAATTGCGTGGGGAGTACAAAACTTCAGACGTCCTTCAGTACTGAAACAATAATAACTACAGCGTAGTGTCGAACTTAAATCTTAATATGAAAGAATAGGCAGATGAATGTCAAATATATTACAGCACCATCTCTCACCTCGAACATGAATGTATCTACTTCCTCTCTGATAGCTTCTAGAGTGAAGGTAGCATCCTCACGGTGCATCTGAAGAAGAAGATCAAGGAATGCGATTCTCTTGCGTTTCCTGGTGACTGCATCATCTTCATAGGTTCCTCCATTAGGGCTATGGAGGGGGTCGTGGAGTCTTTCCTGGATCATCTGGATATTAATAATGGAGGCAAGCCATTTTTACTTTCATTCCCTTTATTGGAGACGTTTTAATAGTTTACAATTTTTTGATAAAAAAGTTCCTAATAATATTTTAAAGTTAAAGGTATAGACCAGTTCTGGTCATGCGATCGCATTGTGAAAAAAAACGTTGTGGAATCGATCAGAAAAGGTTGATCATCTAGCATAGAAGTATTGGTGTGTACTGCAAGGTTCTAGAATCATCAAAATGATAAGAAATTTGGCCCAGTCTTGGTAAAGTTACAAGCACTGTACACAAAAAGATGTATAGGGGACTACCCTATATCTATCCAGTCCGGATAGATATAATAGTTTACCAAATATCTATTAGTAGGCGGTTTCCAGCAAAATTTGTATGATCACGTATTAGTCAAAGCATATTCTTTCACATGATTGGTAATAAGAGCTTCCCTTTCATTTTTTGAGACGGTTTTTTTTCCTCCAAAACTGGTCTTTACCTTTAATTAAAATGGTAACATGTCGAACAGTGGTATATTTTGATTGGACAACAGTTTTCAAAACGTTCTGTGCTAATAATCCCACATTGTTTGATATGCTGTTTCAGGGAATCTCATTGTTTATTGATAATTACAACATTGAGAGTATTTCTATACTTCTGTTGTCATGGAGGGGGGGGGGGGTAGCTTCACATGTGCACAACATTGACAAGAAACTATAGATGAAAGCAACATTATCGCTTCACATTTCACTGTAATAATTTTTTCAAAATGTGGTCTTTTCGCTTTACGTCATTTGTGTTTTAGTTGTTATCACCTTATTAGTTACTCCATGAAGAATTTGTAGTGCCTTCTCATGATCCTTCCCTGCGTCTGTTCTGTTATAGATCCAATCAGGCCACAGCATGAAGTTCCGTATTCTACTGACGATTAGATGACTCATTCTGGACAGATAAACACATTGTACAAACTTATTTAAAATTCTGCAAACACAGCTTCGAAAGTGTTTTATATCTTCAAACTAAACAATTAATTAATATTTGAGGGGCAATACCGAGGGAGGAGATTATGATTTTTTTTAAAGTGAATTATTAGAAATGCGCTTTAAATTTCAGGCAATACATCGTTTTAAAATAATTTACTTATGCGCAAAAGGATAATGGGATAAGGGTAAGAAAAGCCCCAATTTAAGATATTAAAAAAGAAAAATAGAAAGAGAAGGAAAGACGAAAAGAAGATGATACACCACCCTTCCACTTACTTCCTCTATGACCGTGTTCTCTCAAATTTCCATCTATTTAATTAAGAGACCTATCATACCGCTCTCGCTCGTGCCCTGGTCCCAGTGTCTTGTCACTATTCAGACATACGATACGTCATTCGTTGAGGCATGTCAGTCGCTGAAAATGGTGGCGAGGTTTGAATCTTTATCATTTTATTTGCAACATAAAAATTATGAGTGACTTGTTGTACCATTTCATAAAGTGACGTCATGCTTACCTTCCAACGGCTTTAACATATTCATTTTCATTGTCACTCTGGGCATTGGTGCGCTTCCCCATGGCGGTATCTACCAAAGATATCAACATACCGTTACATGGAAAAACATATTAGATTTATGTCTTGATTGGTTTTATAGATTACATTTTGAATAGTATAAAATAGTTACGATATCGCAGTACTATGATGGAATAGGTTAATTCTGTCATTAGTAAAACTATTTACCTCTATGTAGGGAGAATTTAGGACCTATGCCTCACATGAATAGAGCCACCAAATCACATTGAATCATTATCAAAGTATAAATTGAATCATGTTCATATCGAAAATTACAGAAATTATACATTTATTATGCGGCACCTCCTGCCCGAATATGAAATTGTTCGGGCAGGCCCGCTACCCAAAGATGGATATTCGGGAACTCCACTGCCCGAATATATAAGGATACTCGGGCATTTCACTGCCCCAATATGAGGGGTATAGTTACACAAATATTAGGACTTTGAAAATCCATGGGGCTGCATGCCCCTAGCGCCCCTCCTCAGACGAGGATTGCGACGCATGTCAAAAAAAAAGAAAATAATACCGCAAATGATATCCAATACGCAGTGAGTGACGAGAGGGAAGATGTTGACGGTCTCAGATTCATCTGCAAATTTTCCGAGTTTCTTGACCAAAATCATACTCTGTTCGTTGAAAACCTCCATGAAACTTTGAAGGATGGAGAAATGGAAGGTCGGAGTGAGCAGTTTGCGTCGGTGAAACCATTTCTGACCCCCGCTGAAAATAAACGAAGAGAGTTCAAGTTGTATATTTGGGCCCCGTCTTATCAAGAGACGACTGATCCACATCAATCGCAAGCCCTCCAATCAATCGCAAGTTTGCGGTCTCCCATCTCTTATGTGCATAGTTGCGATTGATATCAATCGCTTAAAATGTATGATTAATATCGACTCTAAATAAAGACGAGGTCCAAATCTGTATACTGATACTGTGCATTAATGTTGTATCAGCAGTGTTCAGCACAGGAAAATATATGGCTATTGGAAAGCCAGTTCACGGTTGCAGTCTGAGCATGAGCAGATAAAGGTCATTGCAGAACAAATTTTGAAATACACGGAGACGAAATACTGGATACATGCTCATGAAAGTTATGTAATCATTATTCATTCATGTACACGCAGTGCACTCCATGATACACAGGAGGAAGTATTCTTTGGAAAGGGGAAACAAAGGCTATTTATATAGTACCTCCGTCGCTGTAGGAGTGATTATTTCAAAATGTACATAGTGGGACCTCTTCATGTTTTGAAGATCTGTTGATTTTCGGGGTCATTGCAGTAATGTGCTAACCGTGAACTGGTCTATTACATGCATATTTTGTGTTGCTCTTGTACCTCCTTGTGAGCCCGAAAAGGGGCATAGGTGTTCCAAACTGAAAACTGCGTTCTTTAAATTCTAAATAATCATTATAAGTAACCTCTTATTTTACACAGTTTTGGAGGTAAAGGGCGAAGTCTACCCTTGATTATACTCAATGACCAGCTGTACACTTGACACCGAGGTTTTAGATTGCTTGTTATGTAAGGCATGTATTATAGGGGAAGGGTCTATAATAATTGATCGTGTTTGTATTTATTTATTTTTTTATTGAAGTGCTCAAAGTCTCTCCAAAAACATAAGAGTATGGTTAAGGTCTTGACCCCATAGTTCCGTTAATGACCTTTTCTTTAGCGGATGACCAGGGGGGATTGCCCCCTTGCCCCCCCCCCCGGGCTACGCCTATGCTTACCTTGTTAGTAACCCTTTCCCAAGCCACGGCTCCATAAATGTGTATTCGGTTCCTTTATTGATATGACGACTGCTATTCATCAGTGCCTATACAAGAAGGTTATAATTGGGCGTTTATTTAATCATTTTCCTAATAAACGAAAGAGGGAGAGAGGGGGAGAAAGTAACTGTTACAGCAAAAGAGAGAGAGAGAGAGAGAGAGAGAGAGAGGAGAAAGAGTGAGAAACAGACAGACAGAGGCAGACAGAGGGACAGAGAGAGAGACAGAAACAGAGTGACAGAGTGAGAAGGGGGGAGAGATAGAGAGATGGGGAAGGAGGCGTTCGAAAAAGAGGGAGAAGATGGAGGGGGAAATGTGGTTTGATTGCTTTCTTAAATCGTCAATTAATTCGTTACAAAAAATGTCAAGGTTCACATTATTTTACTAAAAAATTGTAAAAAATGATGACGAATTTGTAAGAAATGACGACAAATTTATTTTGATTTTCATGACACTGCGATAGTTTTATTATACAAGAATCATTGAGTTTAAGAACACTTTTTAGCTCAGAACACGTTTATTTATGTTGATCCCAAAATTTGATTTTTATATTAACACAGAGATCATTGCAAGATTAATACCAATTGGTGCTAATTAAAATTGCGCGCTCAGCTTGTCTCATCATGCTACCTATCTTTCATAATTATACACTGTCCTTCATTCACGCAGTTCACACCAACTCACCCCTTTTCTTTTGAACAATCTTGGCCATGTAGTTCATACCCTTGTGCTTCCACATTGCGTCTTATATGTTGATACCTGTTCTCTTCAGTATAGTCTCCTTAGACACAACACTTGTTGTTGTATACATTTTTATTATTGTGTTAATTTGTTATAACATTATTGTTGAGGGGTCAACACTCTACAAGCTATGCTTTTTAGTGGATCTCTACATTTTGACATATAATATACAGCAAAATTGTTTTCTTTTGCTTTTTTTCTTGACTTAGATTGATTGATATGATTATCGTATAATTCATTGTAACTAAATTATGAATTATATAAACAATGTCTTTTGTTATGCAAAGAAAAATATCATGTACACTTGTGTAATCACTTTTGTATATTTTTTAGAATGTTGTTTATAATTTATTTAATTTATTTATTGTACATAATTTGTGTTTTTCTTGTTGAAAATGAGAATAAAACTTGTATTTGAACTTGAACTTGAGTTACAAACATACCTCACAGTGCACAGCGTTATAGATGAGTACTATCGGCAATGGTCCAAACCACATTCTTATTACACCACCTGACTGGTGACGATACTTCTCCCGTACACCTACATCATACAGGAAATGTTCTGCAAATAAAAGAAAATTAATAAAGCACTTATACACTGCAGTCTTACTGAATTGTCACACTAATTTTAAAGGGCTGAAGAGTGACAGCTTTTTCAAAATGTTGTAATCCACTCAGATTGAAATAAATTAATGACGAGTTGCATCCAATGTAGCAGTTAAAAATTATTGTTTTTAAATGCTCTCACTTAATATCGGCTAGTTTAAATGTTTAAATAGATTACATTGTCACCCACCTCTTGAGTCACATACCATAAATATTTTAAATCCGCATGATCCAGAGGCTTCAATACAAAATAATGATGCATTTACAAAGAAAACATTTTTCAACTTGTAGTGAATTCTCACATTGTCATTTCATCAGTTATCACCGACTGTGAGTAGCAAACTAAGAAATGTTACATATCTAAAGTTAAATAAATATGAAAAATATGTATGGACAAAGCGTCAATATAAAAATGATTTGCCTTTGAATCAAAAGTGATGCTAAAAGATACACAATACGTAAAGGATAAAGGTTTTTCAATTGGAGTGAATTTACACATTATCATTTCATCAGTTATCACCGACTGTGAGTAGCAAACTAAGAAATGTTACATATCTACAGTTAAATAAATATTTAAAAAATGTATGGGCAAGGCGTCAATATAAAAATGATTTGCCTTTGAATCAAATGTGATGCTAAAAAGATACACAAAACGTAAAGGGTAAAATCTCCCAAATTAAGAAAGATATTGCTTTTACCCACCTCTAGGGTCGCTCTTAAATTGGAGTGTATTCCCGAAAATCGGGACTGCAGGTGGGCCATCGAATTTACTGATGAGAAGGAAAATACGAAGGAACCTGGCGATGTAGTAGAACAGGAATGCAGATAAAGCTACGATACACACAGTCACACCAATTCCAGCAGGTAGTACTACGGCCATTTGGTATGGGTGAAAAACCCTCAAGATTCACGTCTTATGTCTGAATAATTAGATCAATAAATTTTGTAACGTGTATGCAGAAAGCTGAACAAAATCAATCGCTAAACATACTGCATAAAATGTGCAAGATTGCATACAACTCATATTTTGTTATTCAAATATCTAAATGTATTTCATACATTTTTAAGTATTTCATAATAATTTTCTAAGACCTGCTAAGCTCCACCCTAAAAAATATTCCAGATCTCATTCATTTCGAGACATCATCCTATCAATCATTAGTGAGCTAACATGAGACAGTGGTATGTAGCTTCAGCAGAACTGACCACCTGTTTACAATAGACCATACAATACCAACATAATAGTTGCTATGTCCGACGTGCTGTAACATAACCAGGAAAAGAGAGGTAATGTGGAGGTATTGTATGAAAGAATGCAATTCTTTTGTGAGCATGTGCTGAGCTGCATGTGGGGAAGTTACATACCACTGTCTCTTGTTAGCTCACTTAAATGATTGACAGATGATGTCACAAGATGAATGAGATCTGGAATATTTTTTAGGGTGGAGCTTAGCAGGTCTTAGAAAATTATTGTGAAATACTTAAAAATGTATGAAATACATTTAGATATTTGAATAACAAAATATGAGTTGTATGCAATCTTGCACATTAACAGGAATCATCTTATATTTGGATGTCACCCGACCTTTAACTAAAGTAACATAGAAGAAAATCACAATCTCACACGCCATGTACAAATCAGGCCTAAAATAATCCAATCAGGGGACATTCATGTGAGGAGAGAACCCAATCAAGATAGATGAGGTGAGCAGGTTAGATAGTTCAAAGGTGAGAGGTGAAGAGAACCAATGAGAGAAGAGAAAGTGCCTGTTGCTAGAGCATATCAAGGCAAGCCATATGCAAATGAGAACACAACAAAGTGAACAGGTGAAGGGAATATGGTGTAGCAGAAGTGTAATTGAAAGGCTGTGCTGTAAGAAGATGAATGAAATGGGAACATTAGCTTGAAAAATGAATATGCATATCAAGAATGCAAATTTAATAAAAATAATAACAAAGATAGATTTATTGAGCGCATAATAAACCGAAGTTTCTCTATGCGCTTTACAAAGTAAAAAACAAGCAAGTACAAGTATATTTAAATAGGTATAAATTAAGAACGATATGTAAAAAGACATGTAGCTAAGAGAATCCATTGTGAGCAAAGTTAATACATGCAGATAGCAAATACTTAATTAGAGTCAATTTATAATGAATATGTAATAGTGGATATGGAAGAAGGCAAGTAGTAACCGATAACTGAAATAAGACAAATTTAAACTCTTGTAATGTAAAGGGGGAATTGAGAAGATGAGCACATTAAAAGAGATGCATGGTTTTGTTTGTTTTCATTAATAAAACAAAATATTATACAATCATGTACATGTAAATTGCTAAAAAGTGAGCAAGAATTGTCAAGCTTTTAGGATCCATGCAGAGAATGAAAATGATCGTTATATTACTTACTCCTGTGGACCAAACGTTTTCAGAAAGCTTACGCCACTAGTTAGCTAATATCATGAATATAATAGCCCTTAGAATCTGAATGGTTCTCTCGACGCTTTCAAAGTATCTGGAGGGAAATTAATTAGTGGATTGTATCAATGTCGTTTGATCGTGCAAGCCAAAGTTCTTGTTTGTTGTCAAACACCGTTCATAGTACGAAGATCAACATTGGAGTGATTTTACTGCAGTCACGTGCTTTGAAAACATTTTTTTTTTTTTTTTTTTTTTTTTTTAGGGGGGGGGGGGGGTATTTTATGTTCTCTCTTTTCCGAGGGGCTGGCTGAACATTAAGAAGGTCACAAGATTGATAAACTCGTATTTCAGCAAAGTTTCGTCACCAGCAGGTGATATGTCGAGGATGTTACACTCTATCAACTGTTCGACTGCTGGAATGAGTTGAGTGAAAGGGTGTGGGGTGCAAAATTTCCGAGATCTATATAATATTCATTTGGGAGGGAGTAATCGTTTTTCTGTCCCGGGATCAAGTGCACTTTCGCGGCTTTCAAACTATTACACTCACATATCTAAAATGACATTACAATGTTTGTATTGTGATCAGTGTTGTATCTTTAAGTTTTATAGCCGTACTATATAGTTCCATTCAAACCTTGGACTTTATAATTATATTACGATGACTGAATATTTTATAGAAAACCTGCTATAATGGTTATGATAATGATTATATATCTTCTACCCCTGCGTCTTTCTTTATACACTTACAGATTACTCCACAATGATGTATGAATGCTTTACCTGATTATTGACACTTTCCACAAAGAAAAATACAGCATTTTACGTCTAAAATATTAGACAATCTTTTTAAACAATAATATTTTGGCAGTGTGTCAAGTGCACTTTGGTATATACTCAAGTGATTTGTAATAGTCAGAACTGATGCACCCTCGGTTTAAATTAGATATGGGTACATGACCTACATAGTTGTGTGTATCCCAAATTCAAAATCAAACAAACAACTCCTTCCTGATGGGTGATTAATGTTAACTGTGATCCGAATGTCATCAAAATGATACATGATAACAAGAATTAATAGGCATTATCACGCGTTTAATGAGACCATAATGTGATAAACGCCTTGGAATTGACTTTTTTTTTTGGGGGGGGAGGGGGGGGGGGAGGGGGGGGGGGAAGAGATAATTTGCACTTAGCTTTGCCAGACTAAATTAATGTCTTTATTTATTTGGTGTTCTATTTTTTTGCAAGCACGAGACTTGGTAAACAGGAAATCCTGGGCTATTCCCATCATTGTTATGTGCATGGCATACAGCCATTTATTCTTTTATCTGCTTTTTCTTTAATACATGTGCCAGTTTTATGTTTGTACATGTAAAGCCAGATTGAGCTACATCACTAGTTAAAACTTGTGCTATACATTGATACATAATGCATTCAAGTTTGACATGTAAATAACTTTAAATCACTTTACGTAATAATCAAGTATCAGTATTAAAGAAGTGATCAAACTGACTTTTTTTAAAGCTGGTTCTCTTCATAATTGTCATTCATACATTGTTGCTTTACTCCAATTCTTACGAATATAGAGAAGACTGAACCCTGAGGCGTTTGTATTTTATACATTGTATCTGTGGAGTACATGTATATGTACACATACTATTTTGACTGGAATAAAGCATTCAGGAATAACTGGGTAAAAAAAAAAAAAAAGCACTTAGCTCATCAATGGCGCCCATTGGATGGGGATGGGCAGGGAAGGAGTTGTGGAGTTTATGAAGCTTCTGCCGAGGGCCGCTTAATGTTTTAGCGTAATTATAAGGGCCTGTCAACTGTTATTGTGAACTTTGTGAGTGCCAGATGATCGACTTTAGGAAAAAAGGACAAGAATTTATATTGAAGCAGTGCTTAGGAAAATGAATAAAACTATAGACTTTCACAAAACTTCACGGAAATTATGTCGGGTGATTTGGAAGGGAACGTGGGCCCAGAAGCTCACGCATGCGCAGGGGATAAATATGACGTCACGCGTAGTAGCCGACGTCAGGGCCCGTATTCAATAAACTTCTTAAGCATGAAATCTAAGTACTTTTTCTTAAATTTTGGCTAAGAAAAAATCTTAGCCAAAAATCGTATTCTATAACAGCAATGGGGACTTAAGAAATTTGCCTTAAGATTAAGAAGGATTCTTAGATTTTATCTAAGAAAAAGGACTTAAGTAGCATGTCGTATTCTAATACAATCGAGATATCTAAGATAAGTAAGAAATCTACCCTATATTTAAGCATACTATGAGGATGCTTAAATGGGGCTTTGGCACCGGCAGCTCAGTGATGCTGCAAGCAACCGCTTCGGATTTCGATCAAATGGAATAAAAACAATGCATGCAGCGCGAGCGCAGGTTATCAGTTGACCTATATAACAACGTAAGCTTCGCGCGCGTATACAGCGTCGACGGCGCAGCGCGCAGGAGCGCCATAGGCTCTGTGTACTTGTACTTATGTATGTTTGTTTGTACACAAAAAACGAGTAGTATAGCACATGCATAACACTAAATCATGACATGGCTGTCGTATATAAAGAAACCGTCTCTTACTTTATTAGTCTTTGGCGCTAAAGTATGGAAACAGGGAATAATGTGCAATCGGCATAATATTAGGTGAGACAAAATTTGTTATAGTATGAATCTGATAAAGGTTACATCTAGCCATTTGATTAATTTTAGGCCATATCATAACAGTAGACGATGTAAAACAATGAAAGGGTAGCTCCAAATCCAATGCTAGCGCTGGTCGGCCGGCTAGCGACGGCGCTCCCTTCATACTCACAGACCCTGCGGTGCTGCGACATAATAAGTAAGCCCGGTTGGGCTCCTCGGAGTTGTTTGACAGAAAAGTATAAAAAGCCTACAGTGGATGTTAGATCTAGCCTCAGGTGGTCTTGACTAGACTGTTTTAGTGTCAGTTGGTCAATCCCGAAATAATTATGTGAGCATCGTTCCTCCCTTACGCTCTCCCATACATGTTAGTGTATAATTTTCGTGCGGTGCGATTTTTATTTTAACACGCAAATTACATAGGCAAATCGAGTTGCAATTAATTCGCTCGAGTCGACCACATCAACTTTCCAACATGACGTCATCGGGTCTAAGAATTTGTCTTATCTTTCGTCTTAGCTAAGACAAACTGCTTTACGTGTTTAGAATACGGCTAAGGCAACTTTCTTAACCTAGACAAATTCTTAGACATTTTCTTAGACTTAAGAAAAATGTCTTAGAAGTTTATTGAATACGGGCCCAGGTGCCTAAAATCAAAAGCTCGTTAAGAAAGGGGGGGGGGGGGGTTAGGGGGGTTTAGGGGGGGGGGGGGTTTACACACAAAATAATACCAAGGGGGGGGGGGGGTAAGAGCACATATTTTTTTTTTTTTTGTCCTGGAAATTGGAAAATTATGCCGACCAATATTTCGTTCAGAAGGGGGGGGGGGGGTATTATTTTTTTTGAGGGGGAAGGGTTTTCCTCCAAAACACACACATAAACAAAAATGGGGGGGGGGGGGGAGTAACCCCCCCCCCTCCCCCCTGTGTACGCGCCTGGCTGCATGGCTTTGTCTCAATCACTATACCTCCTCTTTTTTCCATCTTTATTTTAAAAAATATTGCACATTTCGATATCATATTATTCTTAAAATACAACTAGAATAACGTAAATTTCAAGCATCTCTCCTCTTCAAAAAAAAAATTAAAAATATATTTTTAAAAATATATAAAAAAGCAGTTGTCTGTGGATTGAAAAACATACAAAAATTACCTACTTTTTGGCCAGGGGAGGGGGCCCGGGCCCACCACTGTATAGTCATGTCGAATATGTACTGTCGCTCACTAGTTGGAATAATTTTTTTTTACCCCAATGGAATTATTTTGACAATCATTAATAGATCTAGATAATAGTATACATTCTCAGATTTCATTCAATAATAATTAGCCAGTGTTTGTTTTGTGTGACTGCTAAAGCATGTGTATGCTACCATGCTTATCAACTAGGGGACCTACGCCCTTAAGTCATAAATTACAGTAATGAGGATTAATGCCCCACAAAAGGGCACTAATATGGCACATCGACACGGTTTTGATCCTGGGGCCTCACAGTTACGAGGCCATTGGTTGGCCACTGAACCATGACTGTATGCAGAGCCAGGGCTAGGGTAGGGGGCAGTTCCCACAAATAAAAACAACCGAGAAAATGCAATAAATTTTCAATAATTCATTGAATTCCCCCCGGTCCCCAAAAGAAAAAAATCTTCTATGTGCCAATGCCTTGAGCCATGATGCATGATTGTACAGAGGATTTTTTTTATGTCGGGGACCGGGGGTGAAATGCAATGATTTATTGAAAATGTATTGCATTTTCTTTGTTTTTTTTATTTGATCATTTTGGAGCGCGATTTTTTTCTAGGGCTTCAATATTACACCATATCACAGGCACTGATAACATTTGGCGTGCATCTTAGATTTAATATTGTTAAACGATACCTTTAAAAGATTACTACAAGAAGAAGAAGAAGAAGAGGTAAAACAACGGAATGCATGCATTCTGATGCGCCAGATTTTGCCTCTGCCCTATCGTAACTTTAAAAAAAAAATGAAATGACTAACTTGTCCAAACAAAAGTAGTACAAATAAAAATAACGTAAATACAAATGACCTCATTCAGAGGTTAAGTCGGTTACAAGTCAAAACTAAATAAGTTCATTCAACAATACTGTAGTGCAATATTAAAGATATATACTTGGTTTTTTACCCCCCCCCCCAACTCCGGGGTCGGAGGGACCGCATTCATGTTCCCAAAATTGCCAGTGAAGGGGTACTTTTCGCGCGACAAAATCCGGCCCGAGAATTGTAAAAAAAGGGGGGTGTGTTTAACTTTTCACCCGGAGATTTCTTTAAAAAGGGGGTGTTTTTTTTTCTCTCTCTCTCTCTTGGGATTCCTAAGAAATTAAAAAAGGGGGTTATAAAATAGTAAAAAGGGGCGTTTTTTCTCTTTCTCTCTCTCTCTGTGGACTCGTGAGAAAATTGAAAAAGGTAGTTATAAAATATCTTGAATAATAATAAGGGGGTACATTGAGCAGTGTTCCGGATTTAGGGTGGTCTTCAAGGTAGAAAAAGCCCGCGAAAAGCACGCGAAAGGGGGGTTCAAAAATATTGGGAGTCCGAGATAGGGGTGCTTTCAAAGGGAGGGAACAATCATACGCGTACCCTAAATAACATTGAGTGGGGGGGGGGGATAAAACTGTTTTTACCTTCTTTTTTTTTACATGAAATAATTTTCTGACCCATTATTATCGATTTTTGTGTTGGTGATCGATCGCGATTAAACATCGACGCGCACTAATATGCGCGCGCGCAAATTTAAATCCGAGTTCAAAAAACTTTTCGACTGTAAAAATGTGAGTGTTATATTTCGCTGCACTGCAGCTGATCTCCGAAAAAGCGGAGGAATCAAGAAGAAGAAGAAGAAGAAGAATGTTTTAGTCATAAACTCATAGTTCAACGATAAAGAAATAGGCTATGTTGTTTACGAAGTCGGATAGATCTAGATCTAGACCTACATTGATTTTGTGCCAGATCATGATCAGAAGCTAGGGCTGGGATCATTGTCAGAGGCGGATACCAAGCTACATACCGTATTGAGAACAAAAAAAAGTAGGGATCTAGATCTAGTCAACGGCAACGCCATAGATGATACCGGTAGATCTACTCGACATTCGACTCGAATCAGTGCAATCCCGGCAATCAATTAATATGAGCAACAGTCAACAGAGTCAAGATGTGGAGAGTAAGTTATAAAAAAACTGATAACCATGATAACATTAACGATCTGCATCATGTACAGCCTAGTAGTAGATCTAGGTCTAGAGAGTCTATATAGATATGTTCTTAATTTAATTACTAAATTAGGTCTAGATCTAGACTAGACAGATCTCAATCTACCGGTATACCCAAACGTTGACGTTGTCTGTCCGGACAGGTTTTGTAATTGTAGACTATCTGGACATTTGATTTAATCCAGCAATATATTTACTAAATCTTTTAAGACTTATGTTGGACAATAGAAAGGTCAAATATTCATGATGGTTAGTGCTTTGTGATGAAAGCTTCGCGTTTATACATCCGAAGCGGAAGGCAAAAGAGAAGGTTAGTTAGTCCGGACCTACGGACACACACCATCATATTTGATGCGCTGTCTCCCTCTGCTTTTCTTTCCCCTCATCAGTGTTGCGTGTCAGTATACCGTTCCCTACGCCATCTCTAGTCTGCTTTGTGCATGGCTGTTCGTCAACGAAAAGAGTTAAGTCTTTTGTCAACTCTGTTTGTTGCTACGGCAGGTAGCCAGTGAAAACGAATTCGTTTTAATCAAATTATGGAAATGCAAGCATTACTTAAACAAACAGAACTTTGTTATTCCTGGCTCATTTTTCCTGATTGAGGTGTCATCATATGAAAGGGCAGAAAATGAAATTTCTAGAAATGTGATTTTCTCTTTGAAATGCGGATACCGCCCGCCAAATGACTTTTTTGTAGGCCTACCCTCTCTTCAATTTTGTTTAATCCCATAGGTCTAATCTGTGCGTGAAATATGCATCATATGAGTTACATCAAATGAAAGAGGAGGATCTAAGCTTTACAAATAGATCTAGAGTCTAGACAGATATATAGTCTAGGCCTAGACCTAGACCTATGTGTCATTTATTAGGTCTATTGTGATAAAAGTAACATCGATAATTCTCGGTTTCGTTTTTTCTGGGACGCACTGTTGATATCAACAGTAGATCTAGCAACTGTTCATAAGACAGGGCCCAGATTCTACAACTGTCTTTGGTCATGTTTCGATATTTTTCAAAGCATTTCGCTTCATTTCTTCAACAAACTAATGATTTTGAGTAGGTAAATCGAATGTGTTGATGGTAAAATTCCATAATACTATTGATTCTAGACCATAGATCTTCATTTACGTTATTTAAGAAAAAAAAAAAATCACCAAATGTAAAAGCAGGATTTTAACTTTAAGACCCTTGATTTTGTCGAGAGAGAGACAGAGAGAGAGTGCTAATGGAGAGAGAGCTTAGACCTAGTTTTTTTTTTTTTTTTTTTTTTTCCTAAATTTTCTTAACATTTTACAAAGGAAAATTGTATTGTTTTTCTATCACATTTTGATGTTAGTTTCTGAGCATACTATTGAATTCCAGACCTGCGGGGGGGGGGGGGGGTAAACTTCAAATGTATAAGGGAGGGGTTACCCCTGCAAGAATACAGGTACATATACGCTACTTTGAGTGAGAGAGCGGGAATCGGTTTGGCATTATGAGAGAGGGAGAGGGGTACAGGAGTTGATCGTAACTCACCAAAGGTCATATGGGAACTCTTTCCTGTAGATTGCATAATAGTTAATGAATATACGGGAAGAAAGCTCAAACACTTTGCATAAGCCATAGGTTATACATTCGAACTTCTATTTGGAAAGACAGCAATTCACAGATACGGTAATGAAAAGTATATGCCTTATATAAGTTATAAGTTGCATAAAACATGTATAATTTATAGAGTATGCCTTTAAAATATAAAAGTAGATGTTGTTATTGTAAAATGAGTATGATAGTGGGTGAATAACTGAATGAATTAAAAATGTCGACCATATAGTAAACACTTCCTCCCTCCTTAACTTATTTTATCTCACGTCACCCTTGCGTAGTCTAGGCGAAACAGGGTGTGGCCATCTCGGATGAACATTTTAACGAGAGCGAATTATGACCGTGTACTTGTATTTCATCATCAATTTATTCAATTTCAACGCTTGGATGATAATTATTAGTCACACAGACAGCCTAGGAACCTCTGTATCGGAAGTGATCATTTGGGAAAAGCGAACCCGATCATGAGCGACGCGTTCTTACACACCATGACCGAGTACGTCTGAGCTAATTTATCCTGAACATGAAGCACGCATGCCCTGTGGACACGTGTAACATTCTACTCTCTTTTCCCCCCAAGACAGTTTGAGGATTTTCATTATGTTTATCTTTAGTGATTCAGAACACAGTACAAACTGTCATATTCGCCTGACTTTGTCTTTTTACTTTCTGAAAGTTTAAATTTTTGGATCTTTCTCTTGGAATATTGTTCATTTATGTTCGGCTGCTGTTTGTATAGGCCAAGGCCTGACAGCATTGACTCATCATGTTACTACGGTAAGTACGATAGCAAGCTCTGAGCGGAAAGCATTTATTAACTCTATCCAGAACACGTTTTCACAAAGGAAGATGGGAGCGAATTGTCGTGTGATAGCTTCTATTTCTAAGTAAACAAAAGTCGTGAGGAAGCGATAGATCTCGTGTGTTAATAAGACAGTTTTAGTTCTCGTCTTACAAACGCGCGAAAATTTCTATCCTCTTTTAAGGAAGATAAACTTCCATTTAAGATACATAATGCATGTGTATGGTTTCTTAATATACTCATCATTCGACATTATCCTTACTGTTATGTTTTCATAAACGTGTGATAACATTTTCTAACAAAAAAAAAAAATCATCATTAGTAACTTAATTTATTCACGAGTCTACACGTATTTATTCACTGTACAGGTTTTCCTTTATTCGGTCACAACCAGAACACAAAAAGTACTAGTAGTATGATAGTAGACTATTACCTCGTGCCTTATAATTCATGTATCAAAAGAGTAATTGCAAATATATTGCTATGACAACACTGTTTTGAAAATATATTTGAGTGGTGTTTATTCGTCATCATCATATTATTTCGAACTATGTACATGATTTAAACATGTAATCATAATTACGACAACGTTACTTTATATTAAGCTCTCAAATAATTTTAACTTTGAAAGAGATAATAATGATATAAAGTTGTCATTTTCAATATCCAATACTACAATTGAATTGAATTGAAAATTTATTGTCCCTTTCGGGAAATTCTTTTTTCACTGGTTTACAGTCTTTGACTTTGTACATATATACATAATACAAGAACAATACATAATACAATAATTATCAAACGTACATCGTTACAAACGTAGATACATTCTGAAAATAATTGTTGCAATGGAAAATGGAACAAAACGAATACATGATTGCAGTATAACATAAACATGGCATTCCAGGTGAAAAATTCGAACATTAAGCTTGCTGTTTATTTGAGAATATAGGTGAGTTTAATATTATGAGCCCTAGCGAAAATTCGCTAGGGCTCATCATATTAAACTCACCTATATTCTCAAATACTCCGTGGAAAAGTTCATTCCCCGAACTCTTCGAAAATTCATTTTAAGTAATATTTTTTTTCCAAATGAATAAAATTTGTGCACCATGCTTGCTGAATTGGCAGGATTTGGCGAATTACCTCAATTACACCTAGCCCTATATCAAGCAAAGGTCATCTGCAATTAACAATGGAAGGACGTGTCCCTGGATGCCATGTAGAAAATGAATGCCATTGAAGGCATGTACATGTACCATGTCTTTAAATTGTGAGTGACCCAGGCTATGACTATGAGGGTTAAGAAACTTTTCTTTCTTTTTTAATTTTAAAGGGGAAAAACAAGACAAAGAAATTAAAAAATGAACGATAATCAATAAATTAGTAGCAGGAGAAGTACAAAATAAATCAGTAAGTAGAACAGGCATCACGTAGGAATAACATTATACATACTCATTACCCATTCATCTATACTTAAATGCAGTAAGTGAGTGAGAGAGAGAGAGAGAGAGAGAGAGAGAGAGAGAGAGAGAGAGAGGGGCGACAGTGCTTGGAGTTCCTACGTGTATATACCTGTACATTTTCTATCTATTATATCTTGCCATGCTGCAGTGAAACCTCCAGTGATGAGGACCAAGGATGAGCACCCAAAGTCCCAAAGACTGAACCAGAAGGCTATGGTCATCAACAAACTGGCCACTCATGTGCCAGATCTGGTACTATCCCGCTCAAAAACAACGCGACTACCCAGCAGCCAAAAATTTGAAGGGGTGCTTATGTTTGCAGATATCTCAGGTAAGACTTTTTTTTAAAAAGAGTATCTAACAATAGTACAATACTTATATAGCTTGAAATATTGCATACTGCAATGTTGAATTTAAAAGGGGACAAGAAGAGAGAAGCCGCCCCCCCCCCCTCCTCTCTATAAATTTTAACCGAAAACAAAACAAAACGTATTATAAGCTTTACGCCCTTTTATTCCTACTTTTTATCGTCGTAATTTGTTTTCTTCCCCGAAACATTCAACATGCATAATGCAATAACTAAAATGCCTCCCCCCCCCCCCCCCCCACTCCCTGGCCGAAGTATGTGTATACAGTATACAGGCTACTGTGAACGGAAAGTTTAAACCAATCTCGGGATGAATAGATGTAAATGATCACCCAAACGGGTTTTAATATTTTGAATGATCAGTCTCATGAAGTCTTGATTACCTCGAAATCAACTAGAATTACAAATTTAATTACATGCTATAGATTACACACTCTTTACTTCTTGACATGTAATTCAATTCAATTAAAATTTGTTATACATATACATATTTGATACTTTGGTGGCTGGTGGTATGGTGGGGGAGGGGGGGGGGGGGGTTGTGTCATTTTTGTATTTGGTTTTAAAGTAAAATCAACCAATAAACCTGTGGTAGGAAAACGAGAACAAAATTTTACATACATTATAAGTCATGTTCATGAATTGGTAGCACCCCCCTGCATAGACAACCACAAATATGACAATGCATGAGAAGGTATTTTCCCTTTTTCTCTTTTCCCCGTAATCGGTATGTTGAAACCTTGCAATTATAACCAGGATAACAACAGTAGTACAAGCTTGACATTTCCATAAACTGTAGGGCTGGAAATGATACATGATGTACACATGTCTGCGGATACAATAAGCTGGGTTTTATGAAGCATTTTAATTGCAGCTGTCTAATTTCGGGTATGACTGTCCGACCGCGGATCGGAACCTTCGTAAAACCCTTGCTGACAAGAGTTGTCCAGGGTATTGTCTAATGATGGTCAATTAACCTAATTATGATTATTCGTACAGATATGTGACTGGGTGAAATGGTCACAGAATCTTCCATATAATATACATGTAGGTTGTTTTACAATGGTACATGTGTGGTACTCGTGTCCGGCTATTGTAAGGAATTTGATGTAGGGGAATGTTATTGTACACGTTTCGGATATCTCTTCTGAATGCAAAGAATGTTGAGTGGAACTTGAATTGTAAGACTTGACAGTCATTTTTATTATATTTGGAGAGATCAGGATGATTTGGAATTGTTTTGTTTCTCTCGTTCTTTCCTCATTTTACGATTACTTCTTTTTTTCTTTTTATTACACACACACAAATTATTAAAAAAAATAAGAAAAGGAGAAGAGAACAAGAAAAAAACAAAAACGTTTTCCTGTTAGCTGAAATCAGCTTTATCTGTGGAACCTCACTCTCCTTTAAACGATAAAAATAATTTTCAAGTATCATACCTTGCTCCGTCTTCATTAAAAAAATGTAAATATAGCAAATCTAGGTAAATATAGATGGGTGAAGACATGCAAGAGACGGATTCACTAATCGCCAAAAATGGGAAAGGAGGGGGAGAGAAGTATCGAGAAGGGAGATACACGTACGTAGATCACGCAGAGATGGGCAGCTGCGAATATTTCCGATTTTCCTAAACCGCAGTCAGGAAACGCGGAGAAAAGAGGAAGAAATGTGTTAAACATTGGGAAGGATCTTGTATTATTATCCTTTGAAAATACCTCATAGGTGGCCCTCACATGGTTAGAGCCATGAAAAGATCGCTTATAAATGCAAGACGCGCATGAATTTATTTCTTCATAATCATTATAGTAGTCACATGTATATAGCGCTTATAAGTGGCTGACATTGTAATTATTGTTACCCCGGTCATTGGATACAATTGCTAATCCGCATGCAGTGCACGCGCTCCCCTCCCTGGGGAGTATTCCGGCCATGCACCATTTACAAGCGCACACGTACAAACCAATTTAACCACGTCAATGTTCGCATCCAATACCGAGTACCCATTTACCACTGGGTGGAGAGTGCAAATTTAGATTAATGGTGCCAAAACATGAGTGCCGCGGCGGGACTCGAACCGTGAACCATGAAGTCCACAGTTCGTTACGTAATCACTAGACCACGAAACCTTTACATTAACTTCATCAACATCTCTACAAGAAGTAAGCATGGATTTGTTTACATCTACAATTCTTATATTTCTGAAGAAGTATGACTCATATACACTTCCAAGTAAAGTTCACGAGGCGCCTGTCACTTTGTTTACATCTCCAATTCCAGTAACTGCGTCCAAATACCAACACTAAGAAAAGTTATGACGTAACCATGGTCAAGGTTGAACGACTCCTGATGAAATCATTACACGTTGCTGGATCATTAAGCAGCAACGATAACGCAATTGTTAGATAAATAAACCAGAAAACAAAGTTTTAGAAAGTTTAAAACGTAGACCCGAAATATTACACAGATTTAGACAACATTTTTTTTTCTTTTTTTTCTTCCACTTCAGATACAATCCAACTCGTTAACTTCGTTAATGTGTATGAATTTTACTTCTAGAAAAAAAATGTTGTTTTCTTTGATTGTCATTGTAATGTGCACAATGTACTTTATGATCAATGATCAGGAGACCTTGCCGTTTTCATTGTTCAACTCTTGTTATGCAAATTGGGCGCTGAGGATGATATGGGGGAAGAGTCCAGATCTCATTGGATAAGGCATTGAAGAAATATTAGTTTAAATAAATGTTAATAAAAGTTTATTAATATATAGACTGGATGGTAAATTTACCAGACCAGTTGAGCCGATTCTGTACATGGGTGTGGTGTGGCTACCGCTTTTCTTACGAGCATGCAGAGGGCTAAATATGGATTCAGGAAAATTATATTTAGAACTCACCGCATGGAGCCTCGCTGACTGATTTAATTTAAATGGTTTTACGAAGTCTGACGAAAAATTAATTCCATGCAGGGATTAGCTCATCCAAATATAAAGCCGGTACACAGATCTAAACGAGGCAAATTTATTTGAATGATTTTGTGCTTTCGACAGTATGGAGAAATCATGTGTCTTTTTGCTTGATATATAGGGTATACGGTTGGATTAATAATTTTTTTTACATATTACTCTTTCATTTAAATTAACCAACTTTTTTTTCATAGTCATTTATTTATGTATGTCATACTGATTCATCATATTTTCAATATAATAAGAGGTTTGATATTTAGCAAGATACGCTAGATCACCATATACTAGCTATAATCCATGCACATATTAACATAATCTCAACTCTTCTGTTTGTAAGAATCAAATTAAACTCCAGAGGGGGGGGGGGCATACTTTACAAATAAGCGCATGAAAGTAAGTTATGTGCATGTCAACACGTTTGGGCAGTAACTGCAAAATATGTCATGGAGTTTGATTATCTTATCAAAATATTTCTATGCACAGATAAAGCAAAATATGTTTGTGTTGTTACAATGATTGATAAGCATTCGAGTGAATTTGTAGAAGAAAAAAAAAGATTTTAGAAACATTTACGGAAAGCAGCGATATCATTCCCCATTTTACTTAAGTTCATCACGGCATATTCCGCCTTTTATTGTTGCATATTAAAATGATTGTTTTCTAATACGATTCTCATATTTGGATTTTAAATTTGGATTTATGGGTTTTCATTATTTTTTAAAGGTAAAGACCAGTATTGGAAACGCCCCAATTTCAAAAAATGAAATGGAAGCTCTTATTACCAATCATGTGAAAGAATATGTTTTGAATAATACATGATGATAAAAATGTTGACGGGAAACCGCCTACTAATTGATATATTTGATAAATTAGTGTATCTCTTGCCTGTTGAGAGATACAAATGCACGTGTCGCGCACGTGTGTGTAGTCCCATATACATCTTTCTGTGTACAGTGATTCTAACTTTATGAAGACTTGGCCAAATTTCTTATCATTTTGATGATTCCAGAACCTTGCAGTACATCTATGCTAGATGATTAACCTTTTCTGATCGATTTCACAATGTTTCTTTCACAATGCAATCGCATGACCATATACTGGTCTTTAGCTTTAAACTGTTTTTTTTATATACCTGTTTTGTACATTATAATGCAAGTGAAGTACGATTTCATTGGATTTTCATCGCATCTTAATTTATTTCTTGAAATTTCGGTGGTATAAAAAAGAACGGGGAATTTTCTTATTCCTTGAAATAATGAAACATTGAATATGGCACAAAATCATAATTCTTTCCTTTTTTTACTGAAAAACTGCAAATTTCTTAGTCGGAATCAAAGTTTATTACAATAACCCTTTCATCCCAACATAGGTTTCACTGCATTATTCGTTGAAATAATGAAACATTGAATATGACTCAAAATCATAATTCTTCCCCCCCCCCTTTCTTACTTCAAAACTACTAATCTTAGTCGGAATCAAAGATTATTATAATAACCTTTTCATCCCAACATAGGTTTCACTGCATTATGCGAGCGATACAGCATGAGTTCACGATCGGGCAGTGGCACCGATCGTCTTTCTCGTACTCTCAACGACTACCTAGGAGAAATCGTGGAGAACATTCTAGGCACAGAGGGAGACGTCCTCAAATTTGCAGGTATAATAGAGTTACCGGTAGTATCATAATGATTTAAGTACTTAATGAGACTATTTTTGGACATGAAGGTGGCGTTAACTATTGTCTTAATTATCTCGAGTCCGTGATTGGTGCCCCTGTAATTGATTTTGTACCCCACATGTTAATACCTAAAAAGCAATTTCTTTTTCTTCATAGAAATATCTTTTGGCTCTCATAAAATTCATATTTAAAAGATCATACGTTGGCCTATCATTTTGATGTAAATCTTCTTGTAATGCTCTTTGGATTCATTTCAAGTTTTCTGAAAGAACTACGTGCTTGCGAGATGTGTGAATAAAAATGTTTAAATAAATTGAAGAAATTATGACTTTGATCGTTTTTAACTCGATTATATACTCTTCTTTTAGAAGTCAGAGTTTGGTTTTAGCTAAAAAATGTTCACAAGTAACGCTGAACCTTGCATGCAGGCAAGTCAAAAGAATACTATTCGACAGATCTCTTCTAAACCAATAGTCATAGTGATGCTCTTTGTATAGGCATGCATATGAAATTTTCTTAATTTCGCCGGAGAGTAAATTCTCTCTCACTGGCAGGATAGTTAAATTCTGCTTTAGAAATACTAACTAGCTAATTTGCATTTGTTTTATATAAAAAGAATAACAAAATTTGTGATGAAACTATTCTTTCAAGGCTTGGGAAAACAGACGCAAGTGACTTTCAACCAATCAGAATCGGGGATTGGGGACATGTCTGTGATTAACGTTTGTTCGCCATGTTTCAGTTGATAAAAGACGTGTCTCACAAACACTCATTTAAATGCCTATTTCGACTTTTATCCCCGCCTGACCGCGGCTGTCGATTTCTGTAGTGAGTCATCGTTTGTCTATACAAAACAGGGGTGAAGAAGAAGTAGGATAATTGGACATGCTTTATCATTTCCTACTCGTTAAAACCAAGAATTTATTTGTTGTCAAAAGAATGTATACATGAAGAGTTAGGAGGGCGATACATGCGAAATCGCAGTATTTAAATTAGTTTAAAATATAAACATCAAATTTAAATTAAATCTGAAATGCCGGAATGATGTATAGTATGTGGAAGTGTCTCTTGTATTGGTCTTTCACCGTACAGCAATGAGTTAGAAGGTAAAGTTATTAACATTCGGATGGACTAGGGATTGTTCTTTTCTTCTTAAAGAAATAAAGCTCGAGTTGGCATAGTACTATATGTTTTAACTTAAAAAGCGTCCTTCTTTCCGACACATATCAAATTAATGTCGGCAGTGACATCAAATTAAATGAAAATGCGAGGCTAAATATAGACATCTTGCTTTGTCATTGAGCAATCGCTTGTATTAAGCATTAATATAAAAGGTCTGTTTGGGATTACTCAGTATAGTCATGATGAAGACAATGATATTTCTTGGATACCAGCCATAGACTGCTGAGAGAATGGGGTCATTGAGGATTTCTGTTTCGTCAATACCCCCTTCCTTGATGGCGACTCGTTATGACTGCTTTTTGTAAACAACGGTAGATTGGGGATTTCATACATGTATCATGTATCTGTCAATGACGACGCTCTTTCTGTGGGTTCACAAGGCCTTTTAAATGTAGCCTAAAATAACCCAGCAGAAATACGTATGAAACTTTTTGTTTCTTCTTCAAAAGTCCGTGATCAAAATCTTCGACAGACAAAGTAGCGAGAAAACCCACGTACAGGTTGAACCTTACGTCACGTGACTCATTAGTTTGATCGTATTGTACTTTCTTTTAGCTTGCAAGACAATATATTCATACTTCAGTACATTTATTGTCAAAGGATGATCCATGTTCTTTCCTCACAAGAGATGAAGAATATTCCTTTCATTAAAACAACTTTGAAGTACTAAGTTTCCTCATTTGATAATTGAGAATTCATTTTAAGCTATGTATGAAATTGCATGATTATTTCCGTAACAAACATTAATGTACCTATCCGCCACAAAACAAAACAAACATTGATTTATAGTTGATAATACCAATTTATAAAACGCCTTTTTCACTGAATATAAAGCGCTAATTTATCATATATCTTACAACATGGTGTCAATTTTCGTCGGGTAATTCTTTCTTGGTCCCGTAATACTGAAATAGATTGATGGTGCATAAATTCTTCGAATTCTTATCACGAGTCAGAAAAAAGAATGACGTTTTGTGTTTTTATCGCGTCAGGCGATGCTTTTCTAGCCTTATGGAAGGTGACTAGAGCAAACATGGATCACATCCTAACACGCGTCATCAAGTGCGGTCTACGTATCCAGGATAGATGTGACAACTGGGACACAGAGGTTGGAGTCAAACTCAAAGTCAAGATAGGTAGGAAACATGAATGAATACCCCAATATCCATGGAATAGGCCTACGTAAAATTCAATATGAGTTACGGAGTAAATATTGATCATAAAAGAGAATTTCGTCTTGGTGGAAATATTAAAATTAATGATTTTAATGACATTCAGAGAAGTTTAACTGGATTGGAAGAAGATGTCCTTTCTCAGTTCCGATTGCTTCCAAAATATTTTAGTTCCATTGGCTTCCAGAATTTGATCTCGTAACTTGTGTAGAAGGTATAAAAATAGGCCGATTTAACCCTCGCGCAATTTTTAAACCTTTTTTCTGTCTTCTTTTTCATTTCCTCCTTATCCTCTATTCTCTTCCATTCTCTGTTTCCTCTAATTCTGCTTAACACCATCATTTCACCTGTCTCTTTGTTATGTTGAGTAGCTGTGTCTATCGGACCCGTCCGAGTCACGACCATAGGCAATGAAGGATGCATACATTTCGTCCTGAGCGGTCCAGCAGTACTCGAGGCGAACATTGCTGAAAAGTTTGCTCTGTCTGGTGACGTCATCCTCTCTCCTAAAGTGTGGGCCTACTGCCCTGACCATGATCTTATTGATCATACTTTCAAAGCGGATGACAAGCACATCGCGGTAAGCAAATCATGCAACTACCCCGCTTTGATCTCAAGTAATACCATGCATGTCTTTCATGTATTTTAAAGCTGTTTCGATCAGGATGACTACAAGAGAGGAACTTCCCAAGTGCATGTATGATGTACAGTATTCAAAGATTTAAAGATCTAGAATGGTAACCCCGTTTACACTACGTAGAGGTCGACAACATATTTAAGTGTTACATTTCACATTGTTAATCTAAACATAATATTTTACAAAACATTAAAGTGTACTATAGTACTACACCATGTATATGTATATCTGCATTTTCTAAAGGATCAGAAATCTAAGAGAAAGGTTGGGAATCCATAAGTGTTCCACATTCGGATCGATTAGGTTTCCAATCTATTTTCAAACTTCAAACAGGAGTATCATCGTGATCTAAATGATATTCAACTGCCTTTAACTGGATTTAACTTGATTAAAGTTGGGTAAATTACGATTATCATAAATCAGGTGACGGCATATCATCGTCGTAAACCAAAGGAACCTGGTAAAGGTATGAAGGCATCATCAAGTCTTCCAGCCAACCAACGCCAGCGTGGAGTAGCTAGTAAAGGCCCTCTTAGAGGTGAGATGTTTAAAACATGTAGGAACATTCAACCATTCATTTTTCTTCGACAGTACAGGCTACAAGATACAGAGGTTATCATAATTAATATGGACCTTATGGTATTCTAAGAGTCGGCGGTGGGTCAGAACCAGAACCCTTAACAGTTAACGGTGTTGTATTGATTTATCAAATTTCAGATGGGAACACCAAGTATGTTTAATATTAAAAAACAATTTACATTTCAGGTTCTGTTTTCACTCAGAATATTAGCGATTGAGATCATTTTAAATGTTGAATGAAGTTGTTAACATGAGACATTACCTTTTTTAAATGATTAGATGAGAGATTTACAGGATGGAGGCGGCTTTCGACTGGAGCTTACCTCCTTCAGAACCAGGCTGCTACAGCTCGGATGGGAGGTCAGAAACCCTTGATGACGGATGCCATGTACGGTGATGCTGGGATCACTGATTCGGCTGTTGCACAGGACGCTCGTGGTAGACGTAAGCTTGCCATAACTCTCACCATTGTGTGTGTTAGCTCAAAAGTTTTCTCCGAAGTTGTTATCTTAAAGTTGTAACAGATCTATTATGATGTCAACATGAAATATTTATTAGTGCATTTCGGGTTTCATTATGAAAATGAAAATAAATTTGTTGTGGGTTTTTGTCAAATTTCAGAACATTGATGTCCTCTATATGACCGGATGGTTAACTGGCTGTTTTACATTTCCATTTGCCTATCCCCACAGAGAGGCCTGCCGTGTTTGTTTCGCCAACGGATGACGAGAAAGCTCGTTTACGGAAATACATCATCAAGCCCGTTCTTCAAAAGGTGATTGATAACAGCATGGAAATAAAAATAAAAATGTACAATCATTTTATAAAAAAAAGCTTCCTAGTTGGTTCGTTTTTCATTTCGTGTAACTAAATAATTTCGCATTACAAGACTAAAAGAACAAAAATGTCAAAGATATTTCTATTCTAATTTTCTGTTATATCATTACGTTTATTATTGTGATTATCTTGTCATTGCTTATATAATGTCGGAAACTAAAAGATAAACTCGCTCTGCATAGAGCAACTATTATTACAACCACTTCAACATGTCATTTAAACTATCATTGATTACGATAAACATCCCCCTCCCCCATACAGAAATAATTTGATGAAAAAGGAAGGAAAAAACACAGACATCGAGCAACAAACCAACAAATAATCATATACCTTAACCTTGCTGTTCTTAAAACTATCTTTTCGATGCTAGTATTTCTTTATCATGTTTATGCTCAAGTGTTCATGGCCATTCCAAATATTTTTAGGGTTTTTCAGCATTATACATTTCACCAAGGTTAATAATGATAATAATAACCTAGGCTTCTATAGCGAAAAATAACAATGCGCTTTTATTCTAGTGTCATATGTTTTGTTATAGATTGACGATGATATGCCCCTTGAGTACTTGTCAGAGATGCGTCAAGTTTCTGTCGTATTCATCAACCTCATATTCGCGAGTGGCGCCGACATTGACGAAAGCGACAGTCTTCAGGAGGCTTTCAGCATCATCTACGACAGCATGCATGCATTTGAAGGTATTGCTTGATATCGAGAAAGTTTCAGTATCTCTGGTCTAAAAATGGGGAAACATCAAACAGTCTGTCCATTTCTGACTTTTAAATGGATGAATGTAATAACTTGACGCAGCGCTAATGATTTCTTATAATACACATATATATATATATATATATATATACAGTGCGTCCCAGAAAAAACGAAACCGAGAAGTATCGATGTTCTATCATAACTTAATCACAACTATAATGAATGAACGATACATATTTGGAAAGCTTAGAGTCTCCTCTTTCATGTGATATTACTCAGATAACGCATATTTCACGCATGAGTGATTAAAAGCAATTTGAAGGAAGGAAACCAAAAAAACATTTGGCGGGCGGTATCTGATTTTCGAAGAAAAATTCACATTTCTAGAAAGTTGAGTTTCTGCCCTTTCATATGACACCTCAATCAGGAAAAATGAGCGAGGAATGAAAAAGTTCTGTAAATCACTCGTGCGTGAAATATGCATCCCGTGAGTAGCATCAACTGAAAGAGGAGACTCTAAGCTTTATAAATTTGTATCATTCATTAATTATGGTTGTGATTAAGTTATGACAAAACATCGATACTTCTCGGTTTCGTTTTTTCTGGGACACACTGTATATATATATACATATATATATATATATATATACTTTTTTTGTTGTTGGGGGGGGGGGGGGTAGGGGGGTAAAATCATATATCATTACAATCGTTTATTGCCGTTACTACGTAATTGTATTGATCCATTTATAATGAATCTACATGATGATCATGGTTATCAGATTTTGCATCTTATTAATCTTAACCCCCTCCTCTTTGAGCCAATTTTTTACGTCGTACATGTATCTATCTCTCTCTCTCTCTCTCTCTCTCTCTTTGGTTCCAGGTTGCCTGAATAAGGTTTTCATGTTTGATAAGGTAAGTTACGGAAGGCACAACCCTGGAACAGACGGTATCAGTTCTAATTAAAATCATTGTTATTACTGTGTCAGATAGTTTGGGTATGAATTGAATGCTTGCAATGTTTATCCTATCCATGATTATTAGAAAATCCATTAGAAAACTATCACGTTCTACGTTTCAATTAAGTAAAATAATTAGTAATCAAGCAAGGATTTACACTGGTTGTTATTCAGGGTTATATACACTCAAGAACTCAGCGTCCAACACTGCATGCACTTCTTTGCTTCCAAGTGGATTTTCTAATTCGTTTGACTTTTTCTTGGAATTCTTTCCTTTCTATTTGAAGCGCATAGGGACATGCTATCCTGTAATGTGTTATGCGCTATAAAAGAACTGAGTATTATTATTATTATTATCAGCTGGATCCGTGAAAGAAAACTCATTGTTCCATGCCAAGAGTGAATTACATATTTCTTACAAGAACATGCCATTTTGGGAATGGCGAATCTTATTATAAAATCTCATTTAAAAAGGGTATCCTACTATAAAGCCAGTCAAACGAAACGCCTTTAAGTTGTTTTCCCACTCCCTTGTTTTTTAAGGTGCATACATTTTATAAGTTCTTTTGATATAACGAACCTCGATTGGTTAAAAACTTTGAGCCAATCATAGCCAGTCATTTAACGTTCGCTTTGCACCTTGATACAATCATGGACCCTAGCACAAATGATATCTATGTTTATGATTCTACAATTTGATACCTATAAAGAACTAGAAAAATAAAAAGGCGATTGCGCATCTTTCTTTCCAGGGCTGCACATTCTTAGCCATCTTTGGCCTTCCAGGATACAAACATGAAGATGATTGTGCACGTGCCCTTAGATGCTCCTATCGTATGATTGAACTCCTCAAAGGAACAAACAACATCATGTAAGTAAAACTATTAATAATAGTCGTGTATACAAAGTGACGATTAGCCTTTTAAAGTAGTGTGGAAGAAATATCTCGTCGTTGATTGATTAGAATCTGTTAATTGACCAACACTGTTTCATTTTTTTTTCTGGCGGATCGCGTTTCGATATATATTGATTTTGAACGGGTCTGCAATACCGAGATACTTCAATGAAATTTGTAAATGATTTTGGTGGATATTTGTTTTGTTTTGTACTGTTTTCTTTCGATTTGTTTTATGGGATGTATATAGATATCGTGATTGTGTGTTGTCTCTTTTTGCAGTACTTCGGTAAAAAGTTGACTGATATTTCCATTTATGTTATGTGAACGCTAATATTTATACGATATGCATCTATAGTCTTACATCCTGTACAAGAGAATGTCTTATTTGCTCAAATAATTCATGTAACGAGATCTGTTTATCAAACTAATGTCTTTAATTTTCTACATGTCCTTGAATATAAATTGTTCTATGAGCATTTCATGAGATCAGAGGGAAAACCCCCTATTGGGAATTGTCTCAGCCACCTCTGAATCACGATATGAACTATTTTAGGAATCATTTCTCATAGTCGGGTGTTGCGAAACAATTGATTATTTTAAATGTACATGTACGACCTATGCGCAGACAGAGAGAGAATGTATGGACATTTGAACGTTACATGACTCATGCAGGCTAAGAAAAACAAGAAGAAAACCAATACTAGATTAGTTGATCATTATATTCTTATCGAGACACGGCATACGATTGTGATGAATTTTGGCATGGGACACCGTGAAAAGAAGGCGCCCCAAAGAGAGATGTCGACTGAAGCCAACGGGTATTAAAAGGATGTTTCAGATCTGTGGATAGTAATTTACTTTAAAATCTGTGGTCGTGTACATAATTATTTTATATGTAGGGCTAGTAAATGAATGATTTAGTTTTATAATGGAGCAGGAGGATGGATACAGTCAATTCTGTTTGATTCACAATAGTAACCCGTTGCTTTTAAATTTTTGTTCCTCCTAACGCCAGATAATAATATTTAAAAAGGAGTTATTGTCACATTGTTTGCCAGAGTCATGACGCAAATCTTTTTGTAATTCCTTGTCTCAGTATAATTGCGTGCATCACTGTATTACTTGTATACAAGCCCTTCCTCCTGTAAACGTGCTGACCTAGCCTTACCCCCTGCCCCTGTCGTTCCTCAACCACAACTTTTAGCGAATCGTTGATCCTCATTAAAGGTGCTATGTCCCATTTGCAGCCTACATCAAATTCTGAAGAACTTTGCAGGAATTATGAATATGTCATCACATATGTCCTATCTGTGAAATTTAAACGTTAGCGGTGTCCTAGTATTAAAATTATGCAAGGAATCCCGCTTACTTTCTAGACTTCACCGTCAGACACTATTGAGTGACTGACAGACTTTTTTTTTTCTTTGGTAATAACATACATAAAATGAGCTGTAAAGGTACATGACCATTTGTGTACTATCAATAACCCATTTATTGTAATAGACAAATTTAAAGATAAACTTGAGTTCTGGTAAAAAAAGAAAATGAATTCTCACAGAATCTAACGAAACTTACACTGAATGTTCAAGATTACAAATAAATGTCATGTGCCAAACAATATTTGGAAGAAAATGTAAACTGGCTGAGTAATGAGCATAGAAAGATAAGGAAATCAAGGTAGTTCTAGCCCCGACACCATTTGTGTTGTCCCATATACATCTTTCTGTGTACAGTGATTGTTACTTTACCAAGACTGCCAAATTTGTGATGATTTTGATGACTCCAGAGCCTTGCAGTACACACCAATACTTACATGCTATATGATCAACCTTTTTTGATTCATTCCACACCTTTTCTTTCATAATGCAATCGCATTACCAGAACTCACCTTTATCTTTAAAATGATTGAATCTTTGCGCAGCATAAACGTACGACCATTCGGTACAAGGGTCTGATAATCAGACTATTACTAAAATGATTGCAATCACGAAAGGCGATTCGACAACTAATACTCGTTATATTCCCACTAAAAGACGTTTTCAAGCCCTTTCGTTTTGACGGAAGTTCTAAATTGGTATTATCTTTCAAATGCCGTTGGAATTTAACCTTTTCATTTTTTGGCCTGCAAATGGGACATAGTACCTTTAAAAAAGAAGGAAAGTTTGAGTAAATGCTTGTCAGACAAGTAGCACCTGTCATATTTTCTAATATCGTCACCTTTGATACTTCGCTAGTAACTGACTCGGGATGTCGTCATACCTGTGTTGTTCATATCAAGTATTTTTAGGTTTAGCTTCACAATCTTCTATTTTGGTGTCATCATCATCGTCATCAAATTAAGTTTGAACTGCTTAGCCTTTCTATTAAAAGACATTTTTAAATTTAGACATGCTCCAAATATAGCTATGATTAATTGCACGCGTATTGTAAAGATGTAAGGGTGATATCGGATAGAGACGGTTTAAAGGGTACCAGCACTCAAATATAAAGTATGCTTAATAATAATGCAACAAGAGTCATCTTCACATTATTTGCAAGCATCAAGAATGTATTGCAGTGTATATATCTTATTTTAGTATGTACAACTATCGTGCATAGTATCATATGATATAAGTGCCATCAGTATGCATACTAGATCTATTGTAATATGCGAGCTCGTCCTGTAGTTTTACGGTTACACATAGAAGTGGTAAGTTATATTGAGAGAAAAGTTTACTTCAGCCAAGTTATTTTCATGCTTTCTGAAAGATATTGTAGAAAAGTAACTTGGACAACATATGTAGATAAATAGGGCCGATTAGACAATGACAAATTGTAATATATATAGCGTGATGAAGAAACGGTATTATATTATACGCTTGTCTAATTGTGACATTGCATTTTAAAAACTAAATCCCTTGTTATATCAGAAATCAAATGACCTTTTCCCAATCAGAATCACTATATATTTCGGCAACTGCGGGAGGGTTTGATTTTCCTTCAAAACAAGAATTATGATGGAGGCAATAGGGCTTATTTGTAATATTTTCTTCATTTTTAGCCAAGCTTCAATCGGTGTCACAACGGGTGCTTCTTTCTGTGGCGTAGTTGGTCACGTACATAGGCATGAATACACAGGTAAAGACATGTATTATATCGAATATAATTCAATGATATTATCTTGCGCCTCTATAAAGAGTCCAATGGTCAATAAATAATCTAATAAACAATCAGTTTTCCGTTTGTGTCATAAACCATGAATTAATATTCATAAACCATGAATTGATATCACTGTGTAAATATAGATAACACAAATTGTGAATTCGTTAGGAATTGTATTTCGTTTAGTGAAGCATGTGCATTAAAAAGATCTTACATCTTCTTGACTTTTCTTTCTCATGAAAAAGCTCAAAAGTAAAAAGGAACGAATTCTGAGTACCATCGTGGCGACTCTATTATTGGAGCTTGTAAAATGATATTATGATAATTTTATTTGAGTCATGCAAAAGAAAGGGAGGATCGAAGAGCCATGTATCTGTACGGTATGCTTGAAATCGTGACCGCTTTCTAAAGTGATACTTCGGTTATTTGAAATCGTGACCGCTTTCTAAAGTGATACTTCGGTTATGATTCTAGCTTACTAAACCATTTTTATTTGCTCAAAGCCAACCAGCAATAAATTTACTTATTTCAATAAGAACCCCTCCCCTTTCCCGCCCATTTTCAATCAGTAATCGGACGAAAAGTGAACATGGCTGCCCGATTAATGATGCACTACCCAAACAAGGTGTCTTGTGATCCAGAAACCTTCCATCACTGCAAACAGCCTCGTGCATTCTTCCACGAGCTCCCTCTCAGAGAGATGAAGGGTGTGAGTGATGCAGGTGTCATCCATGAGTACATCGAAGGCGATGAGTAAGGCATACATTAATATTGATAATGTTGTTATTGAAGAAAAAAAAATTGTTATTATCACTATAAATCAATGATCAAACCAAGCGAGATATCGGATATATTTCTCAAACATTTCATTATACATACAGCGTCCCATAAAACAGAAATTCAGAACGGCTTTATTGTCGGATAGCAAGAAGGAGCGGTGATAAATTATTAAATGTACAAACATTTAATTGATTTTGAATGAACGCTCATTAATACACGTTGCAGTGACAATGATTCACTGATAAGAACAATAACCATGTTAATCTTAAACCAATACACACAATTTCCCCCGTTTCCGTCAACTATTTTCATCACCTTGTTATTACAGCTGAATTTGTCGTAGTATTTTCTCTAAAACATGAAGTGATTTTAGCTACCTTAAACATATATCTGCTAGAGCATTAAACAAAAGTCTTCCTGTAACGCTTTATCTCATTCGAATCTAAGATTTCCATCATTTTTCCCCTTTCAGACGCCGAGTCTCGACTGGTTTCAACGCTGTTTCAATACCGGAGTACGAGTATCCTTTGCTCGGTAAGTGACTACCTTTTTTTTTAAAATAATAATTTATTATTTCTCCAATCCATAGTCAATGTCAAAAAAAGAAAGAAAAGAAAACGCACCTTAAACGATATTGTCTATAGGAAACCAGGTTTACGATTAGTTAGATACGCTGCATTTTTGGTCTATTTTCCCCGATTTGTTCTAGCATGTACAATGATCTACTTCATGTTATAAATTGTGTATGCATGTTCTTTATTCCAGGACGTGATAAAGAGATGGCCATCTTTATGCGTGAGCTTGATCTTCTTCATCAGCAGAGAAAACGGGGTGATCATCGGAGGATCATCGTCTTCCAGGGTGACCCAGGAATCGGCAAGAGTCGAATGATGGATTCAGCTATCACGGCAGCTATCAAAGAAGATTACACGTAAAAACAATTATCCTAGCTTTGCCTTCGCTTATCATTTCTTTATTTAACATATATTGTGGAAGAAATATAAATCACATCGTATTGTTTCATTAAAACTTCCATTCAGTTTAGAATGTTTGAAATCGGCGTGTCCGCGATTTACGTGCAAGTTAGAAAGTATGTAATTTTGAAAGTGAAATTCCCGTAAATTAATATCTATTCCATTCCCGATTTAATTGGAAGGATTTCGTGTGTAATGCTTCTTCCACTGGCTGTTTTATCCACTCGATCGTTTAATTCATGTTAAGTATAAACGTTCTTGTTCCATGAATATTTACGTCTCAATCGGATTTTATCTAACATCTAAGTCGTAAATGTACAAACGTATTAACTCAAAATCCTAAATGAACAAACGTATTAACTCAAACTCATAAATAAAGTCAAAAACCTACAGTTGAAAGTGTCCAAATAGAGTGATAAAATAAGTATCTTACTCCTACCGTGTTATTGACAGAGTGGTGCCACTAGCGCTGACTCTGAACGATTCGGGTACCCCGTACTACGTGGTCAAGCTCCTGATCGCCATCCTACTGGATATGGAAGATTGTGCCAGCCACGTCGAGAGGGAACATTCTCTCATCCAACACATCAAAGAAGAGAAACTACGAGAAGACCTTTGCTTGCTCAATGATCTCTTAGTTCTCAAGGTGAAAAATTATTGTAATTTAGAGTACTTTCTGCAGTAGAGATAGAGTGATTTATGAGCAACACAGAGTGTTGAACAAGCCGACGTATCTCCTTTTGATAGGAGATAAGTGGCCTGCATAAAATCGTTACTATTTTGCAGATCCCAAGTTCAAGCATAAAGATTGCGATTAATTAAAAACATTGTCATTGACATCACTAGTAATATATACACTGTTTTTGTTCCTTGTTTTCGTTTACTTTTTAAATCTTCATTTTGCCTGCAGTTCCCAACAAACCCACGATGTCTTCACATGACCAGTGAGCACCAAACCAAGGCATTGCACAGACTATTGGTGCAAATCATCAATCAGGTAAAACAGACATCTTGTATTCGAACCTTAATATATATTATTTGGGGATATCAGGATCCCAGATGCGATTGATTCACAACTTATTCCAGTCGTAACCCTAAACAAATAGGTGATTCTAACTAACGATTTATTGGAGGACTTGTAATCATTTCGGATCAATCCCCACTCTTTATGAAGAAACAAAAAGAGACCCAGAGCAATTTCATATCAAACTGCCTAAATTTGACACAGTGAGCTGTCATGTGTGTCTATCTGAAAACGTGTGATTATTCATTGACTATTTTCAATTCAATTACAATAATGTTTTTATTGTAACAGTCAACCACGGATCAGGCTGTCATATTCGCCATCGATGACGCGCACTACATCGACAACGAATCCTGGGACTTCCTTACCCACCTTGCCTCAAGCAACTCATCAGCAACGCTCCTACTCACCATGCGTCCGTTGTCCGACGTTCAGCTTTGTCCTACAGCCATGGCTGTCCTCAATGCCCAGAAGTGCTATCACATCAAGCTAGGACCTCTAAACAAGACATGCATGGCGGCCTTGGCTTGTCAGCTCATGGATGTCGTTCAAGTGCCCGAAGAACTCGTCAAGTAATTGTTTTCTACTGCTCGTTAAATATACTCTTAAAATGATGATTTCATATATTCAATCAAAGTTGATGAACCATGATAAATATTAGTATAAGGATACACGTTTACAAGAATGTCTCTTCGAAACTACAGGCAATTAATATTCGTGAATATATTTTTCTTGATATAGCATTCAGCACATTTTAGGAATATGAAACTTTCTACACGAATCACGAAATATTGAACCAAGATAACATTTGATTCACTGACCGATTGCCCTACGTTTTATTTGGATTTTAAATTGTTTATTCATTCATATTTCACAAATTATTCAAGTCTATGACAAATATTTACATTGATTTGAGAGAAAAAATAATACAGATCATAATCAACCAATTGAGAACTAAAACAAAAAAACAATATGAAAATGTGGAGGGGTCTTCTGACAAGCTTTTTGCTTGTAAAAAAATAGACCCTCTGTCTCAAATACTTATAACTTTTTAATAAGTTCCCCTCATATCCCGCATGATTACTTACTACTCTTCACAATTTGTCTGGCAGGATTCTTCAAGAGAAGAGTCATGGTATTGCTTCTTGGTGTGAACAGCTGATCCGTGAGATGTTCTCAAGCGATAAACTGCAATTAGTACCTCGTCGCAGCCCGGAAGCCAACAAACTGGTAGGTCAGATCATGCCCGATCACTCGGCACTCCAGAAGCGAAGGGAGAGTAGTAGTAGCAGCTACTCTGGCAGACTACCTAGAAGTCGACGGGCCAGCGCCGATGAGGTAACGTTGAATACATTTCAGTTCCTTCTTTAACGAATGTGTTAATTGTTTTTCATTTCATATGATCTTTTTCCCCCAACTTCTGTTGTAATTACGAATATCCCGAGATTGTTCAGTTGGTTGAAGATTGAATTGAACCATATACTATAAATGATAGTACATCCTTCTCTTAAAGGAAATTGTGATTGATCTGAAGCGATCTAAAAAAATAGACAATTTAAGTTTATGATTGAATTTGTGTTGATTTATGAACATTTATTGATTCCTCGACTTGCAAACAATCACATAAAAACATAAGACAGTGTTCAGAATGATAAGATACTATCATCATATCTCCACGATTGATTGCATCATCTAAAAAAGATCAAAGGTTTTTTTTTTGTTGTGACACGTTTTCCTTCTCCCCTGTCAGTCTGGGCCAACGTTCCAGCTTCCAGCTGAGGCGACGAAGAGACTTCAGCAACTCGAGCAGGGTATTGATGATCAGGGAGAGACAGATACCAGTGTAGTGTGTATTGTCGCACCCGGCGTACAACTACAAGATCTTGAGATACCAAACTCAATGAAAGGTGAGTACTACATTCGAGTTGTGCTTTAAATGTAACAATAAAAATGGATTTTCATAATAATCTTGCTTAGTGATTTTGCTTTTAGATTTTGGTCTGTCTTTGTAGTTAATTTTGAGTTGAGGGGTCAATAATTTTACGTTAAGACGAGACAGAGAGATTGAAAAAAGGAAGAATGTCTTGGCATCTCTCTCTCTCTCAGTGTAGAAGTTGAATGCATTTGAAGTGTTTTGCCTCCCCATCAAATCTTCAGAAATGTTAGGAAGAGTATCATCATCATAATGATATCTATTATCTATTCATGATTCCTCGAGATAAAACTGCGGATTTGCTACTTCACGAATCTTATCTCTGATTCGTTCTGATGTATGCAGAAGAAAAAATTTCTTCTTATGCAGAAAATGTGTAAATAAGAGACATGTTGATTTGAATGTTGGACTAATTGCCCATGTGAAAGCTCCATGTCTGCATGTGAAAATGAATTTTCAAAACATTAAAAAAAACATTGTGGATTTTCATGAATTCTTCAATATACTTTTATGACCATGTGATTCTTTTACCAGGTATCGTCATCTCTCGCATTGATCGCATGAAGCCCACGCAGCAACTCATCGTCAAATGCGGCTCTGTACTCGGCATGACATTCTCTCGACGGATGCTAGAAGCCATCTTACCTCATAACACGAAATGGCGCAAGGCCATCCTACGTAAAGCCATACACGCACTCATGTTGGCAGGAATCTTCGAGTGTGCCATGTACTTCCACGATACTCACCCTACCTCCAAGATGCGCAGCACACTGTCTGCGGTGGTTTCGTAAGTATATATCATCTGTGACTTTCTCGTCCTAAATAATTTTTGTAGATTAAACGCATTAAACATTCGATAACAATTTTTGGTTTTATCGCCAAGTTTTGCATTTGGGAAGTAAAATGTAATTGTTACACAAGAACGCATCAGACAGGAAAAAGTTTCGATTTTATTATTATTATAATCTTCGAATATAGAAAACGACGAAGACACGTTAAGTTGAAGATGCAGCGTATAATTATGAGCCACCAGACGATGTATCAAGATGATCTTTAACGAGACAGGCCTTCGGTACGTCTGATCATATGATTTAATCTGATTCTGACGGATCTGATTTGAAGAAAAATATATTTGAAGTAAATTATATTAGATACTTAAAATCTGAGAGAAGATTTTATCATTAAAATAATAAAAATCATACAGCGGTTTCAGTTGGTTAGGACATGTTTTTTCTCTTCGTACAGGCATAGCCACGGGCACGGTCATCGCTTCAATACCAGAGTTGATTGTCATTGTGACGGCTATGCTCCGGATCTGGGTCCTAATGCTGAAATCACAAACTGCAGGTAAATTTAATTGCATCGTATCGCAAACATTTTTACTCCTTTGTTAGGTGCTACAAATTCTTTAAAAAAAAGAAAGAATTGAGAATAGCAGTGGACTAGTATAAAAATGATAACTAGGAAGTAAAGTTTGTCTTAAGTTCGTCTACGGTAGATGTTGATATAGTACATGTAGAAATCACTACTGTATACTCAAACGTTATATATTTGTATGAATTACTGTCGTGTTTAGTATACTTATGCTTAAGTATTGCATCAAAGCAACTATTAGAATGTATATTAGTAGTAGCTTTTCATGTCAATTAATGGAATTGTGGGATTATTGTGAGCTATGATTTTCATTTATATACATCTTCATCGAGAAATTTGTAGTTGGTAGGAGATCTAGATATTTTTTACAAAGCTTCCCTGATTTAATGTGAGCGGAGATTGTACATTCATTCAGAAATAGTGTAAATGCAACTGCTAGTGCTAGGTTTACATTTGGTTCCTGGCATCCACAGCAGCCCCGTTTGCCCGAAACGTAGTGGGTCGTGGGATTTTTGCCATTTTTTTCTCTGTATTCAAGTTTCGTTAGATCTTGTCAATTTGTTTTATTACGTACTGAGTTTTATACGGCCGACTAGGTATCTCATCCGTACCATGACTGTCATGGCAATTTTTTTTGACAGTTTAAAAATCTGGCCCGGCATCCACGGCAATCACGGCCTGTCACGTTTGCCCATTCCTTCCCCCCGCGTTGTCTCACGTCCATCCCGTTTTGTCCACGGTGGCCTGAAACGTGATTGCCGTGGCCGCCGGGAACATAATGTAAACCTAGCATTACCTTTTTAAGCTCTCTTTCTGAATCTGACACTGGATCCATCATCTTTCAGAAATCTGCGTTTTGTGAGTGCGCTCCTTCAGGAGACGCTGTACGAAATGCTCCTGTTAGACCAGCGCAAGAAGCTCCACCGTCTCTCCGCTCTCTACCTGGAGTCCTTCGCACACCGATGTGACTCTTGTGGAGGTGGAGAATTCCTGGCCGGGCATCAGGAGACCGATGAAGAAGACGAAGAAGAAGAAGGAGAAGAGGATGTTGATGACGCTAAGAGCGGGGGAGAGACGTCAGCCAGTAGCGCGCCAAAAGACGAGCCCACCAACAGTGACCGAGGCGGGGCTACTTCAAAGACCAGTACTGGTAAGAAAGCGCTTTCGCTCTTTAAAATTATAATAAAAATGTTAAAACGTTCTTGTATGTTCTTCCGAAAAACAATCAATCCTTCTGTATCGAAAAACGGCATAATTTAATGAACTAATAGCTTTTTTTCCTCTCATAAAAAAAATCTCTCCAATAGTTTGAATGTACGTTTTTTTCCTTTACACTGGTATCCATAATTTTCATCTAAAAGTAAATGCTTATCGAGGAATTCAAAGTAAATCTGTAACTTTTCCAGAAAATGAAACATCGAAGAGAAACGAGACGACGGGCTTGAACGTCATGCAGGGGTTCCGAGGTCGAAACCATTCAATCGTCCAGCCCTTGTTAGAGAGCGAAGAAACGGCAGACAAAGACGGTGTCGATGAGAAGCCAACGCATCATGTAGAGATGGAAGAGGAGGATGAATCTTCAGATGATGATGATGAGGGACCACACGGGACAGGAACAGGACGCCGCAACACCATCAGTCTCCGCAAGGGTTCGGTCGACAGTACTCTTAGCATTATTAGGTATTATGATTATAAACTTTACTACAAAGTACTCAGTACTCTTTTTTTTTATTGCTGAATGTTGTGAAAGGGTTATAGCGCGTTATGTTAGAAAAAATAGGAAAAGAAAATCTAGTATAGGTATCATTTTCCTCCAAGTATAAAACTACCCCAATCCAAATCAAATACTATTTGATGTCTAGTTTGTTGCATTTAAGATCTTACCGCGTTCTGTTATCTTTGTTTGTTATTTTGTTCGGCCATTATGTTTAAAGTTCTTTTTAATTAATTTTGATTTCAGGAAAAAATCTTTTAGAAAATGTCGATTCGGTAAATGTATCAATCCTTATTCCTCCAACAGACATATAACTGTCTTTGAATTATATTTCTAATTTCTCTCGTCTTCCAGTTTTGATGAGAAAGATGAATCAAAGGACAAGAGTGCACACCGGGCACACAAGGGTAGTAAGACTGATGTTGAGTTTGATAGCCTAGATCTGCGAGAGTGCAGCTGTGCAGAAGTTCTCAACTCAATCCTCTCACAGATAGTGAGACACTGGAGAGCGGCCGGTAACACGGCTAAGACGATCTACTATTTGCTGGAAGCAGGCGCTGCGGCGGTTGCTACGGGCAACAACATGCAGGTAGGTTGGAGCATAATACAATGATATCACAATTATTCTCTTTTCATACTTACTCTTTCTTCTCTCTTTTTGGAACGTTTTTGCTATACTTTATTTTCAGATTTTATATAATTTTTCATTTAATTCTTGTTACATTTCTGTTGTTTTAAATGTGTCTATCTGCCTTGTTTTTAAATCATCACTGTAGGCTTTGTCATATCTGCACGAAGCAAAGCATTTTATCCAGGAGCTTGATGTAGGTGAGAAGCCGTTAGCTGAAGATCCTAAAGAACCTCATGAAATCATCATAAAGAAGCAAGAGAGAGCCATTATTGAGAGGATGATGGGACAGGTATAAAACAGCTCCACTGAAATTAAAGTTTCTAAAGCACTCGATCCAAAGTTTAAAACACTGTGTGTGTGTGGGGGGGGGGGGGGAGGGGGGGGGGAGGGGGGAGGGGGGAGGTAAGTAAGAAGAAGATTATTCAGTAGCAGGTCAAATACTTTTCTAGATACGACATCTACAACGAGCCAGCCCATAGAAGAAGAAAAATCCATAGGTGTCGTTAATTTATGCTACAATAATGTTAAAAAAAGGCATTTATTTTGTATTTTGTGTGTGTGTGTGTGGGGGGGGGGGGGGGGGTGGGGAGGGGGCGGTTAAAGAATACAAATGTATGGATCAAACAGAAAATATGTGTTGCCTGTTTATATATGAACTTTGACAGCTACTTTGTATGGGTTATCCTTTGCTTATAATGTGAACATTCTGAACTGAACTCTCTTATTTCCATGATTTTGAACAGACGATGTTTCGGATGGGCCGAGTAGAAGAATCTGTGCCTCACTTCTATGAAGCTCTGTCCATACTAAGGAATAAACAACCACAGAGTATGACCGGGAAATGGTCCAAACTCATCGGGGCTGGCTTCATGCAGCTATTGCATCTCTCCTTCCCCACCAGGCTCCACGGCAGAATAAGGTAATACATGTTATCCATACCTCCCCCCCCCCCCCCCGAAAAAAAAACATCCGGCGGTCCGTCTTTCTCTGTCTCCATCTCGCCCATTTGTCTTCCCCTCTTTATATTATCCGTCTCCAACGCTCGTCTTCTTTCCGGCTTTGAGTTTAATGAACATTGATTAGGGGAGGGGGGGGGTTGTAATCAACATTTATAGAGGCGAATGAGATAATACATTTCAAAACATTGTTTGCTTATAATTTTTTCAAAAGAAATAACATGACACATAATGGCTTTTGAATTGTATAAGGTTGCCAAATGATAAGCGGTCATGAGATTTGCCATTGTAGAAAACAGTAGGTATGTTTTTCATCAAGTATATATATATTTGTAAGGGTATGTATGACCCAATTTTAAATATTATTCTTTTTTCAATTCTATATGATTTAATTTTCTTTACATTAGTTGCAGAAGGTGGAATCGGTTCAACGAGCAAGCCCGATGCCTCACCCACTTATGGTACTTTCACCTCAATAATCGTGACTTCACGCAGGCACTGGTGGCTGTCTTACAGCAGATGAACAGATCGGAAGCAGCTAATAATGATCTCACTGAGGTATGCAGTCTCTTTCAAATAAAAGAACATACTTCATTTTATCCCCTGTAAAACTATTGTACGAACACTCTTCTTCAATTTTGTTATAATTACGTTCGTATATTGGGAACAAGAAAAAATTCTCTCCCACACAAATGGAAATGTTCGAAACGACTTCTGAAATAAATTAAGACATATCTTTAAAAATTGTTCTAATACATGTATAAGAGTTTAAATATAAATACGATTGTTTCTCCAAACATCTTTTCTTTCCCCGTTGCCCTTGTGCTTTTGCAGACCTTATCAGTAATAATGACTGTCGGCATTCTTCCGTTTTCTCTTGTTTATCCAACATAGGTTATCAGATCCTACAGCAACATGATGGAAACATGCCATTCCTATCGGTGGAGAAAGCTGGGACGTCGCTATGAAAAGATCGCCATGGAAAGGCATGTGTAAAGTTCTAAATCGTGTCTTGATGATGTGTCGTCGTAACCATTGCATTATTTTATTCTTTTAGAGAAAGGGACGAGTGAGAATAGACCTAATGTTATGTAACTTGTGTCCCTTCAATTTTCTTAGAAATATCTTGTCCTTTACAGCTGAATGTTACATCATGAAGGAGAAAAAATAGTTAAACACTATCTTATCGGACTTCTTAATTTATCTCAACGCAACGGCGACTCCGGTATCAAGAAAGAACAGTAAATAGAAGATAATTGAACTCACCACTGCGTCCTCGTTAATTGCATGTCCTGCGTTATAGCTTTCTTCGGGTAATTGCTATGGCGGTCAATTGTGCGCCCAGGACGTTTTCATTTCGGTCTAAGAATTATCGGGGCACACATAGATCATAGTACATTGTACCAACGCAATGCTTAATATAAGAAAATGATGTTCTGATGACGCATCCCTAGAACTAGAAGTAAAGACACCAAGAAAATTTGATGTAAAAATGTAACAAAAATTGTGACAGGAGCCGATTGATTACGTGGCCAAGAGATGTTTTTCTCCGACGAATGCAAAATTGTGACTTAATGTAGATCTTCGATCCTCTTCATCACTCTCCACTTTCTAGATGTGTTTCGTCTCCTAGAGAAGTAGGAGCAGAAGAGTTAGCCGTCATCAGCCATCTCTATTGTGTTAGTATGAAGATACGACTAGCTCAGGGCAAGATTCAGGGTGCCATTGACACAGGTACGGAAAAAAAAAACCATGTTGCAAGATTAACATGGTTTGTAGTTGTTGAATTGTTGCGTATTGAACATTAAGACTTGTTAACGCAGTGCAGAATGCCATGAAACATCTACCAATTCAAGACAACTATTAATAAAATAAAAGATACTGCTGTGTAGATTCGTATGTAAAGAAGACAATACCAGGCACTGATTGAAGAAAAAATAAATAAAGGCAGTATTCGCAGTAAGCTTTTCAGCTGATGACGAGTATGCCTTAAGTTTTCACTAAACAACCCCCCCCCCCCCCCCCGAAGAAAAAAAAATATGCGCCTTCCCGTACATAAACTTTATAAAATAATTGCATTCAGTTTGTGTAATTATAATACTTTTTTAAAAAGAAGGTGAATTTCATTTTCAATGCTTACAAAATAGGTAATGCAATCGCCGTAGGTGACCTTAAACGAATGTACAGGTGTAGAAAAGTACACGTATCAAAGACACTTTATGAAATCATGAAATGTTAAGTCATAAAATGATCAATGAATGAAATGACAATAGTGTGGTGACCTTTTTTTAATTTTCGATAGGATACAGTGCACTGAAAGTAGCTGAGAAACTGCATGATAATGAGATGGCCATTCAAGTACTACCAACCCTCGTCAGAGCATTGGTGATTGCTCAAAGGTTAGATAAATCATTCCCTTTTCTTTCTTTGTATCTCATAGTATTTATAGATCATCTCGACAACTTTTTAATTGAATATTAGAAAAAAATAGAGTTGAAGTTATGCATTAATCCTTTTTAAGATATTTAAAAAATTCATTGTAAAGCTTGAAGCAAAATAATCATAATTCGTGTGTCTAAAATATTTCTTTCTCTCATTTTTCTAAATTGTAAAATGTCTACGTTTTGTCAAAGTCGAAACACGACTCGAAAAATGCATTGACTTAAGTACATGTTTTTTAGGGTGGGAAAGAGGGAGAAACAAAAAGCGTCCCATAACAAATATTTGATGTCTGAAGTAAACTGATTTGAAAATTTTAATTCGAACCTAAAGTATATAACAAATTTCCCAAAGGAGAAACTTAGTATAACCATTGATGTGGTCTATATTCAGGACGTCATCAGCTATCGAGAAGCTTAAGAAGTTGGACTATGCGGCCACGGAGGAGGAAGATGTCCTAGGCAAGGGATTCTACAATAACGGATGCATTGATCTCGTTTTAGAGACCGGTAGGTTGTGAATATATTACTTTTAGAATTAGAATAGGTGATGAGATACGTAATGTTATTATTTTAAAAAATGTATGCAATAACATAATCATAAGTGACATTCATTTACACCGCATCTTTTTTACGTCGAAAGCGCGGGGCAAATCTGCAAATTGTTCGTTGAGGGGTTTTTTCCCCGTTTTCTTTTGTGATATTTGTTATTATATATTTTGTTTAATAAACCTTGGCGGATTTTTTGGAGCAATTCTTTATAGTTAACAGCACGTTCCGTGTCGTTGTTTGATTGCAGGTGTATCTTTAGAGAGTAACGAAGCTCTGACTCAGTTCTGTCGACATGCAGCCAGCGATTCGGCTTTCTCCATCAACACCGTGCCAAGATTCCATCTCATGGCATGCCTGGCTCTATGGTAAAATTGAGATACATTCAAATTCTTCCCTTCGTCTACTCATTTTTCTCCTCGCCCCGTCTCCATCTCCCTCATTTGTTGCGTGTCAATCCACATCCATTTTGAGTCTAAAAATATGTTTTACACAGTATTCCCATTTTGACAGAACTTATTCTATGATCTTTCTTACATGTCTTCGCTCAACCTGAATAAAACAATTCTTTGGCCACGTCTTCCATCCATCGTATCCTTTTCCTGCCTCTGGCCTGTTCTTTTTATACACGTTTCCAAGCATGAGGCTCCATCCCTTTTTATATTTTCACCGCTCCCATTTTGATAATCGTGATATTTCAGTACGGATGTAGATTAAATTGTTGTATTTTCTGTCCTACTTTGTTCAGTACGGCTAAATGGGATGTGGATTAATTATTACAATTTGTTTATCCCCTGTCTGCAAATGTTATAATCTGAGGACACTCTTTTCTTCCCAATGGTTCGGCAGCAACCCTTTTTTCCGTGGAGATGATGATAACAAAAAATGAAATGGGTGCCTTGGAAATGATGATGATTGAAATTGGATATATCTTATATGATTCCAGGTGTGCTCGTCAAAGCCGGTATGAGATGTCCAATGAGTGGTTGGTTTTACTGGAAGGTGTAATGCCTGTTCATCGGACCTGCTTCTTAGCCATTGATGGCCTGCTCAAACTGGCTGAATGTCATCTTGTTAACTACTACAACTGCCTCAAGAATGCCTACCAGAACACTAGGGAAAGGTCTCGTGTTAAGGCTAAGGGGGTGAGCATTATTATTCATTCATTTAACAAACGTAAAACGTGAATAAAGGATATTCAGTGGCTAAAGAAAGTGATGCAAGCCTATGTTAGCCTGAATATGAAAATCATATTCAGAAATTATAATGCATATTTATTCCCGTATGTATCAGATTCTGGATCACCTGAAAGCCGAGATGAAGCTGTTTCCAGTCTTCATTCCTCGGATGTTGCACATGAAGGCTTACTACGCCATGTTGCTAGGCAACAGGAATCAAGCCAAAAGGCTCCTCGCCAAGTGCTTGAAGGAGAGCGAGAAAACAGGCAACCTGATGGAGCTGAAATGGGCTCAACAGAGCTGGGATTCTTGGGCTGACACTACTGGAGAGAATGTGAAGGGTCAGGAAGGCTTGTGGCTGACTAGGTCGGCTGATGACTCCAACACGGGTAAAGGAGGTGCATCTGATATCGAGCCTGTCAAGTTCTTGTTGCCTCTTCCTCGGCCTGATGCAGAGTAATTGATCGGCTCCTGACGATCCACACACGTTTCTAACTAAGCTGTCTTCAGTCGGTTTTTACATATTTGGATGAACCTTTATCCCTTGAAGGTGATTGGTTTTAGCTGGGCCATTGATGTTTCTATCAAGTTTATAAAGTGTAAAGAGTTGAATGCTCATTAAAATTTCACCTAGATTTTCATACGTTTACACTCGCCTAAATTATTTTTGTTGTTGCATTTGGATTTTATTCTCTTTCTTGCGAATGTTACTGCAAATAAGATTTTGTTTGTTTTTAAGAAAATTGCTTTGGAACGTCATAAAATGATTGTTCTTTTTACACTTAACAATTTAATTGTGTAGGCTTAGCCTCACGTTTATAAAATTGTAATTCTAATATTTTGATTCAGAGAATTCATGAATTTATGATGATATGAATGAAATTACTTCTGTCTTCCAGAACTGTCATAGATTGAATCGCCTAGGCATTGATTACAATGTTTTCTGTACATAGAGAGGATATAAGTTATCTTGTAAGAATTGTTTTTAGAATACATGTATTTATGAAATTGAAATTACCAGGCTTGTCTATAAGGAATATGTTAGAAATTGTTTATTGTCATTGTTGTTTTTTAATATGTAAATATTTATTATCGATCTCTGATATTTTTTTTATCAAAATAATATTACTCAAGAATAAACTGCAAATAATTTTAATTTATTATGATATCAAAATATTTACCTAAACAGATCTTACTGTTTGCCTTAAAAAGAGGAATAATATTACATGACTATTGTAACGGCATACAGAATTTAAAAATAGATACTTGTCTTTTTTGCATTACAAAAAATAGAAATGTACATTTTGTTTTGTATGTTGACAACTTGTTTAATTTAAAGACGGGATTAATTCAAAAGATTGTACAACATTACGATTACAAAGACGTTTGGGGCCTATTATGTAGTCATTTTGGGGGGATGAATTGGCCATTTTGCTCAAGTACTTTCACTCTGTTCATTTCTTGCTTGAGGTGTTGTATTCAAGAGGTTTGAGCACTTGACTAGAGATGCAACAGTTTGAGGTTCGTGCCTTGACATGACTCTTGAGTGGTGTGGAAAGAGATTTATCTACAGTCTGCGACACTTTACCCAGATATAGTTAATTGGTACCGGATAGGATTTATTAATGCATGCACTAGACACCACGGCAGCTAAGTCAATGATATTTGCAAGAGCGCAGAGACGCGGTTCCAAAGTGCGATGAATGTTTTTGAAAATGCTTTATTATTATCACCATTCATCAAATAAAGTGGCCTCTACCAAATAAGATATGCGGCAGCTATGTGTTTGGGCTTCCTTTCTGTCTTCTACTTTAGGTTTATCTCTTCGCCCAACGCACAGACCTGAAACTTCAAACCAGGTGCAATATGCTCATTTTCTCTCAGGTTCAGTTGGTCAAAGGTTATTAGTTATTGTTATTAATTGATGATACTTGAGTGGGCAACCACTATAAAGATGACTCTGGTGTAAAGAAATACCCAATTCTCAGTCTGTAAATACATACCACTAGAAGAGCCTCATATGTTGGTGTATTCAAAGTTTTGTTGAAGACGCACTTGTTTATAGGAGCTTTTGAATAGTTTTGTTTAAATCATTTTATTGTGTATTTGTAAGGTCGCGCTGTTGGGAGTTTTTTTTTCTTCATCACAGCGCAAAATTGATTAGCTGCGCTATATAAATTGATGTAATTATTATTATTACATGAAGATATGTTAGATGAATAAAGGGATTCATCATTGCATTTAGTTGCTATCAGTGATACTTTAGAACTCTTATTGATGCAATCAGGTAAAGAAATGTACGTCGTCATCTCTAATTATTAAAATTGATCATTCCATATTTATTCGAATACTTTAATTTCTTCTTTAAATCGACCACACTACAGTATTCCTCTTTCAGTGTTTCTCGTCGACAGTTACACAGACGTTCTACAATCTTTGTTCTACGATGTAGAATAAATTATATGTCAAATTTAACATTGCAATTCATCTCTCAAGGTTATATTTTTCACGTACGTGTTATTGGTATTTTATCGCCCTGGATGCATTTTATCCGATTCGGGCGACCTGATAATTGATTTTATAATAAAAGTCTTCATACCATTGTACTGCGTTACTAATTATATCTGTTATAAAGATAATTGATTATACAAAGTTTTTACACCCTGATTATCCCAATTCAACTCTTTTATTGAATTTTCATTGTAAAATATCCGAATTTTCTGCATTAAATTTCGAAATTTCTATGAAATTTGTGATTCTGTCAGAAAATCTTGTTTGTATGTAATGTTTATTAGCTATCCCCATGATGTCGAAGAGACGAGACAGAAGTGGCATACTTTATTGCAATATATAATTGTTTGTTTGTTTGATTTGATGTCTGCATTTTCAACGTAATAGAAAGTAATATACAAACTAAGTAGATATATATATTATTAACAAAAGTTAAGATACATATATAATCATATAATAAAAAAATCAATTGAATAATTATACCTTTCAAAAAACACTGTTGACAAATCATTTCAAAATTGAAAATGCAGGAGACCGCCTAGCGCTTGAACGTAATGGCGGCCTTAGGAAAGGAACATATATGTGCGACCAAACCTATAATATATATAATCAGAAATAAATAAATTATAACAGCCCCATAATGATAATTAGGGGCAGGGGCTAAATACACTAGAAAATAAGAAACAAAATGTTTGTGGATGAGATATGTTAGTTAAGGAAATGTAATACTGAACTTTTTAATAATTTCTAAATTAAGGTATCAGAATATTAAATGTTTCCCAACCCCAGAACTTCTTTAAACGATACTCTGTCCAGGCGCGCCGAAACAGTTTTGGATTGGGGGAGGGGGAGGGGGAGGGGGAGGGGGGGGGGCAAACATTCCAGGGGCAGTGGCGTATAAAATGAGGGGTAGAAGAAAAATCTGCATCACCACAACTCTTACATGTTACATGCAGGCCCCGCGGAACGTTTTTCATAGTGGAGTATTAACGATCAGGTAGACAGAACCGAGCGAAAGAAAGACGTTCATATTTCAATTTGTTCTATTTTTATGCATTGATACTAACAAAAAGCCCACTTTAATGTTTGCTTACAAATAATGATAATGACTTTGTGATAAGATTTGTATAACAATTTACTTGAATGGATTGGAAATTCGGTTACAGGAGCGCCTCTGTACGATGTGTCTCAATTTAGTGTTTCTGTGTTTCTGAGTGGTCTAGGCACCGTGCGTTACAAAATAAAAAGATCAATGCGCACGCACGCCGAGTAGCCGAGAAGCCTGTTTCAAATCGGGCAAAGCTAGTTTTCATGCAATCGAAACCGGGCTGACCAGATTAAACTTTAAAAAAGCAGAAACACGAAGTTGCAAACCATCCAGAGACTCTGAATAAATTGCGTTACTTATTAATTAATTATTTCATTACAAATCTTTATTCTCAGTTTTCTTATGAAGACTATAACTGATTTTCTTATAAAATTGAAGATATTTATGGCGTATATATTCATTACTAAATGAACGCCATTAAACATTTACCAACAACAACAACAACAACGAGCGTATTTTGGTGTAGGGTCCAGGGGCTTTGCCCCCGGAAGTTCAGGGTTTAGGTATTAAATTACTGTGAGATAAGCATATTTAGATACCTTATTTGTGACACTGGCAAGTCACTAAATGGCGGGGGTCCAGGAGGCAGAGCCCCCGGAAGCTCAGGGGTTTTAGGTATTTAATAACGGTCAGATGAGCATCAACGGGCCCGTCCAAGTTCGGGCCTTAGGTGGTATTCAGGGAGCAGAGCCCCCGGAAGCTCAGGGGTTTTAGGTATTTAATTACGGTGGCAGATGAGCATCCATGCAGGGGCCCTCTTTAGGGCCCTTGTTGGGGTCCAGACCCCCTAGAAGTTCAGAGGTTTTATGTATTTAAATACGGTCAGACGAGCATCCAGGGGCCCGCCATAGGGCCCTTTGTTGGGTCCAGGGGGCGGAGCCCTCGTAAACTAGGGTTTTTGGCATTTAATTTCGTCCAGATTAGCATATTTTGATACCTCCTTTGTGACATTGGCGGGTCACTCGTTTTTTCTCTCTCTCTTTCTTTCTTTTTCTCTTTAACATACTTTTTCAAAATCCCCGACGTTCTGCAGGCCCTGACATGAAAGCTTCTGAATAAGCATATTTTTTCGCCCGACTGTAAATTTGGGAATTTGTCATTTTCCAACAAATGCATAAAAAGGTACGATTTACAAAAAATACCCAAAAATCATTTCGGCAACATTGGTAAATCACTGGTATCACATTAGAAATACCCCCTCCCCCTCCCCCATTAGTACGCCAGTGTTCAGAGGCTCATATCTTCTCACCTCTACGATAAAAAAAAACACACACGCGGCTTTCCCATCATCTCACAATATTTTTACGATATGCGCGTATCGCTATTATAAAGACCTCCATTGATAAATATAGGGGAATGCGAAATGTATAGGAAATTTAAATCCTGCACTTTCCTTTTCTTTGAATGTAATTTGTATGTGATGCAATTCAGGTTTTATTATTTGTATGTTCTTTTGTTTAACAAATACAAACCATCTTTACTCCATTACTGCTTGGGGGGGGGGGACGTTTTGGGTGGCGTTTTGCCCCCCTCCCACTTTTTTGGTTGGGGGTTAGTGCCCCCTGCCCCCCTCACTTCCGGCGCCTATGACTCTGTCTGATGAAATGTGATCGCAACAAACGTTCTCATAAACTTACGAGGCCAAGTGACCTTGTCATATAATTGTCATGTATTTAATAAAGGTTTTCATTTTTTATTTATAAAAAAAAGATAATTATCATGTCCACGACACAATTTAAGTCCCATTTCCCCCTAAAAATAAGCCACTTCGGAGATACTATCTGCGCATGGGAAGCTTAAAGATCATTTTTACAAAATTGTAAAACCTATCGTGACGACTGCTGGATGCTTGTTCATAAAAGTTATGTAATCATTGTGTTACGCACCGTCTGTACATTGTAAGATACGCAGGTGGAAGTATTCTTTTCAAGAGGGCACACAAAAGGTATGCAAGAAGCACCTTCATCACTTTGGGAGTGATTATTCTAAAATTTCTGTGGCTATTTGGGGGTCATTAATTTGTTCAAGTGCTATCTCCGAAGTGGCTTATTCGAGAGCCCCCCCCCCCCCCCCCCACTCAGGGGTCGGAATGACCGCATGCGTGTTGCCAAAATGTCCGGTAGAGGGGTACTTTTCGTGCGACAAAGTCCGGCCCGAGAATTGTAAAAAAAAAAAAGGGTGGATTTGACTTTTCACCCGGAGATTTCTTTAAAAAGGGTGTTTTTTCTTTTTTTTCTCTCTCATCTCTTTGGACTCCTGAGAAATTATTCGAATTTAGGGGGGTCTCCAAGACAGGAAAAGCCCGCGAAAGGGGGGGGGGGGTTCGAAAATGTTGGCAGTCCTCAGATAGGGGGTGCTTTCAAAAAGAGGGAACGAGCATTATGCGTACCCTAAATAACACTGAGTGGGGGCCGGGTTCGAGAGGGACCCATAGACCGGTCGGGACGATCCCAGTATAGACCAATCAGGAACACACGAGAAACAGCACATGTATTGATGTGTAGGCCTATGAAGTTGTGTCATTGAAAGGGGCATAATGGAAATTTGAGAGAACGATGCCCCCTCCCCTCTACCCTTTAAAAGTGGGCATAGGCGCCGGAAGCGCCACAACTAGGCGTTGTGGCGTGCGCCTGTAATCCAGCTAAAAAGTGGAAGTTACAAACTGATTCAGCCGAGGATGCAGGTTCGAAACTGAGTCACGTCTTTCGGATGGTGACGTTTAAAGGTCGGTCCCAGACGTAAATAATCATATCTGATTGATACACGTCTGTAAAAACCCAATACACACACACACGGAAGCGCGGGGGTGGTCTCCCCCCCCCCCAAACAAAAAATTGGGAGGGGGGGGGGCAAAACGCATTCCCCCCCCCCTCCCGAAAAAAAAATCAGCAGTAAAGGAGTAAAAATGGTTTGTATTTTTTAATCAAAATAATACTAAAACCTGAATTTGAATCACACAAAAATTATATTCCATTCAAAGAAAAGGAGAGTAAAAAGGAAATCAATTTCCTAAAAATTCCGCATGCCCCTATCGATGGAGGATTTTGTAAGATCGATACGCGCATATCGTGGATATATTATGAGAGGATAGGAAAACGTCGGTCGTTGCACTCTACCTGGTCGTTAATAATCCACTTTGAAAAACGTTCTGCGGGGCCTGCATGTCGCATGTAAGAGTGGTGGTGATGCAGATTTTTCTTCTGCCCCCCCCCAACGTTTTTTGTGCTCATTACGCCACTGCCCCTGAAAGATGAGCCCCCTGGAATCTCACCCCCCCCCCCACCAACCCCAAACTGCTTTCGGCGCGCCCGCAAGTGAGCTATTTGAAACCTCTACACCGAATTGTGAAATTCGTTAGTTATGCCAGTTCATACAAAATTATTCCAATCATCAAAAAAAAAATTACTTCATTTAGTAGCTACTTTTTTTCCATCTTGTGAAGGTAATGTAGTACACAAAACTTTTACACAGAATTTTGAAATTTTGCCTCAAACAGTACAGTATAAAAATCTATGCATTTTTTTTTAAACACCCCCCCCCCCAAAAAAAAAAAAAAACGCTTATTCTCTGTCATTTATGGACCGATTTTAAGTTTTGTTTTCTCCGATTGAACTTAGTGATAGGTTCACATAAATTTTAGATTTTTACACAAAATCTTGACATTTTGCCCTAAACATAAAAAGTAATGCAATTGTTTCTAATAGCACAAAATTACCCCAAAATGCTTCTTTTCCTTCATTTATTGACCGATTTTAAATTGTTTGTTCTATTTTGTAAATCTAAATAAGATAAACATAGCTTCTACACAGGATGTTTAAATTTTGACTCAAACATGTATTATCATAATTAATGCAAATTTATTCAAAGAGTTTTTTATGCTTCCTTTTCTTCGCTTATTGACCTACTTTTTTAAAACTTTTTTTCTAATCTGGTACGGCCAATGTAAGTGAGAAACTTAGAACTTCTACACAGAATGTTGAACTTTTTTCTCCTTCTCATTATTGTTAAAGATAAAGTTGAGTTCTGGTCATGCGATTGCATTGTGAAAGAAACGGTGTGGAATCTATCAGAAAAGGTTGATCATCTAGTATAAAGTATTTGTGTGTATTGCAAGGTTCTGGAATCATCAAAATGATAAGAAATTTGGCCAAATCTTGGCAAAGTTACAAGCACTGTACACAGAAGGATGTATATGGGACTACACGAGCACATGGCGAAAAAATCTACCCCCGATTTTTACGATGTTTCATGTCATATTTAGAATATGAAGGCATTTGAAGAGCCATGCTTTTCAGGGAACATGTTTTATATGATGTTCTTCCACCCTTGCATAATAACAATGATAATGCTCACAAATTATTTGTTACCTCTTCCCAGAACTCAACCTTCTCTTTAACAAGAACCAATATATGGCTGTTCATTATAGATGTCACAATATATTTTTCTTTCTTTTTTTCTATGGTAATAACATACATAAATTGAGCTGTAAATGGTCAAAATTAAACTGATTAAATCTTTGCGCAGCACAAAACGTATCCATTCGGTACAATAATCTGAAAATCAGACTATTACTAACATGATTGCAATCACTAGAGTCGAATCGACAACTAATGCTCGTTATTTTTCCACTAAAAGACATTTTTCAAGCCCTTTCGTTTTGAGGGAAGTTCTAAATTAGTATCATCTATCAAATGCCGTTGGCTTTTAACCTTTTAAATTGTTAGTGGCCTGCAAGTGGGACTTAGTACCCTCAATCCATTTAGGCAGCCTGTCCTTCGAAAACGGTTTGCCAACGCGAAGAAGCGCTGATGATGATAATTCATGCATTTTTTAAAAATTTTAATACTTCTTCCTCATTTTCAAACAAATTCAAGATCGTAGTGAAAGTCGTGACGATTCTTGCTCTAGCCGGATGCTGGATGAGCCTATATGTCTTTAATGTTCTGGTTTAGAATTCTGACCGATCCTCTAAAATATTTTAAAGGTGATCTTCTGTTGAAGAAAAAAATACACCATTCTTTAGGGGCGTGCTATATGCAGCACCGATATGACCTTTGTGACAAGGCCCCCCTCCCCCCCCCCCCCCCTCCCACGAAAAATAGTCTGGTTGATCACTCTTTTATGCGCTAAGCGCGCCTCACGAAATAGGAAGACAGTGTGTAAATGACTGGTTCGAGATGACAAACGAAATGAAAGGAGTGGGTTACAATAATGCTTTATTATACGGTGGGAGAAAGAAAATACTGGTTGACGGATAAAGGTGAGAGTCTCAAAATGTGTCGTAAGCTAGTCCATGGTGTAATTCTATACCCATCGCGGACAGGGGCGTCGCTAAAGGGGGGGGGGTGTGGGGGGTGCGACACCCCCCCCCCCACCTGTCGGGATATTGTCGGTAAAATTGCGCTGCCGTCGGGAAAAAGAGAAAAGGGGGAGGGAAAAAAGAAAGGGAAAAAAGAGAGGGAAAGGGAAAGAAAAGAAAAAAAAGAAAAGAAAAGAAAAGAAAGAAAGGAAAAGAAAGAAAAGAAAGGAAAAGAAAGGAAAGAAAAGAGAAGAAAGAAAGAGAAAAAGAAAAAGAGGGAGGAGAGGAGAGAAAGGAAAAGAAAGAAAAGGGAAAAAGGAGTGAAAGGGAAACAAAAGAAACGGGGGATGAAAGAGAGGAGAGAGAGGGGAAGTAAGAGTCTGAGAGAGGAGGAGTGGGAATAAAAGAGAGAAGGGGGTTGTTGGGTGGAGTCGTCTCGTCGAGGGAGCAAGAAAGACACGGGTAAATATGTTGCTGTGTCGGGTCAGCTGTGTCGGGATTCTTGCTCGATCCTCGTGTACTATACCGTATATATATCAATGCAGAAGTTTGAAGTCGGTGAGATGATTGTATATTGTCGGTCGGCCGACAAGTTTTTTTCCCTACGAACTGTGACTTCTTATCCGCTGTAACGACTTCGAGAGTGACTACAACGACAATACTTGTATTTTCACTTTCCTATAATATCAGCTAAAGAAATCAGAGGTTTAAAATTTTCGGGGAAACTAAATTCAAACAAGGTTTAAGAGTCAACAACGGTACGACGAATCGTCTTCCTTTCTTTATATTGTGATGAAACACCAAAAATTCCGCGCTTCGCGCGGAAGGGAAAAACTTAATTTAGACGAGTCGAGAACGGTACAACGAATCGTGTTCTTTCTCTAATAATTTGAGGAAACGTCAAAGCTTTCGCGCTTCGCGCGAGAGAGGGAAACTGAATTCAGATGAATCGTCTTCTTTTCTCTATATTGTGATGAAACGCCAAAAATTCCGCGCTTCGCGCGGAAGGGGAAAACTTCATTAAGACGAGTCGAGAACGGTACAACGAATCGTCTTCTTTCTCTAATAATTTAAGGAAACGTCAAAGCTTCCGCGCTTCGCGCGAGAGGGGGAAACTGAATTCAGACCAAATTAAAAGGGCTTATTTAGAGTCGAAAACGGTACAACGAATCGTGTTCTTTCTCTAATAATTTAAGGAAACGTCAAAGCTTCCGCGCTTCGCGCGAGAAGGGGAAACTGAATTCAAACAAAATTAATAGCACTTATTTAGAGTCGAAAACGGTACAACGAATCGATGCTGACTAAATTGAAGAAATAATTCTTATATATTTATGTCGTCGAGGTAAATGGCCATTTTGCGCATATGCAAGTACTATAGATAGTCCATAGGAAAAACAATTTAGCCTTCGATCCCAGGTTTATAGGGTTGAATTTGTAGATATTGCACATTTAATTTTGTCGGTAATTGGTGGCTAGTTTTGTCGGTTATTGTTGGCCTCTACACCCCCCCCCCCCCCCACTGAAAAAGGTCTAGCGACGCCCCTGATCGCGGATTGGGGGAAAACGGCCCCTCCTAACTTTAACGTGTACAAACAAAAACATGTTATCCCATTTCTCTGCGTGTACAATAAAGAGTAATGTTATAAACGTTATGACCCTTTAAACATCAAATGTTGTGCCTTTTTTAAATATTGTCACTTGCTCAAAATCAGGATCGATTCATTATTTACTAGTGCCCGGAATAATTGTTTAGGAAATTCTGCCGCCCAATTCTCCCCACTTAAATCACTAATCCTACTTCTACTTTAAAATTATTCGCATCACCTACCGATATGTAAAAAAGTTCTCAATCGTTTCCCTACCTATGTATTTATCTGATTTCTATTATCAATTTATCTATCACTATCAGTATCACTGAGCTATACCGGTGTATTGAAATAACATGTCGGGGGGGGGGGGGGGGGGGGGGGCTCAGATTTGGTTTGGACGGGGTTGCGCCGCTCAAGCCTCGGAACCCCCTACCCACTTTTAGGGGTCATTTTTCTCGAAAAAAGACCCATTTCTCACAATTTTCGGGTGATTTGAGGGTTTAGAAAAAACGACCCCGTTTTTATAGGTATTTTTGTTAAAAGTGGGACCCATGTTTAGGGATTTTTTGTGTGAAAAAGTGACCAATTAGAGCGGCACACCCCCGTATGTCCTAATATGTGAGTCTCCCCCCCCCCACACCCCCCCCCCTCCCCGAGGGGGGGGGGGGAGACCAGATATCACTTCAAATGTTATTATACTACATGGTAAGCCCCATTGTCACAATGCAGCTAACCTGGTGGAAGACCCGTGAAAAGTACACTGTACACACATGAACTGCATAGGTGAGTGACTGGTATATAGCTCCACCAAATTTATATCAGAAACTATTAGAGATAACCAGATGAAAACCCAATAGATTTTGACGTTCGGTAGTCAGACTAGTCACTGCATTAGTGGTCACGTGACTGAACCACACGAGAAATCGCGAGATTTCGGTCACACGTCATTGACCCCCTGTGTAGAGCGACGAAGTTGGCTGCCAAAACTGGAAGCAGAAGAAAATCCAACATGGACGCCGATGAAGTTGACATTGAATTGCCCTACATTTGCCCCAAAATGGCGGATGATCCGGACATCATTGACACCGAAATTGGATTACCAGTTCAAGAGGTGGAGATTGAGAGCATACCAATGGAACATATTGAGGGTATAACGACAGAAAATATAGTTACAATACCGGTAGATGGAATTGGACAAGTGGAAACCGTGGAATGTGAAACTGTTGACGGAATTGAATGTCAACCCATCTCGATTCATCATGCGATTCACCATTTAACAGATCGTGAAGAAATTGTTCTTCAGACTAGAGAGGAAATTGTAGGGGATGTTGATGATTTAACAGGTTCAAGTTATATTATTGATGCAGACTCTGTCCCTGTTCCAGTACCAAATTCAGATTTATCGGACGAAACATTGGCCGGTCCCAGCAGACGGAAAAAGGGAAAGAAAAATTCTCGAACGAGAGTCTTGGCGAGCGGGGAGTTGTCATTTGACTCCGAAAAGAACACAAGAAAATGGGAACACAAGCAAGTTCAAATAAAAACTCTCGAAGGAGAGTTTTCAGTGACGATGTGGGCTTCAGGTGAGTGATTTTTGTTTTAATTAGATAAGGAAACCGTCAGACTATCACTATTTTAGCACGACAACTCTTACCATCAGCGCGCGTCCCTCGGCTGCCTATGCTGCAATGCCGTTTGTTCACTTTTCCGTGATCATGTGTGTAAACGAATGAGCGAACGCAAGCGCACAAACTCGCACCCTATTTTGCCGTTCGACAAAATATCAAAGCGTCTCCATCGAGTAGAATGCCCATCTTAAAGAACTTATTCAATATGAATGATCACACCAATAACTAGAGGCCCTAATCGGCCACAAATCTCGAATGTTTGGTTTGTTTTGATGTGATTTCGGCCATGTTTTTCGCCATGTTTTTGTCATGGGCGCAGCCATGTTACAAAATGGCGTTTTCAAGATGGCGAATTTGGCAGAGGGTCGTTTGGCGATACTCGTTGAAAATATGAAATTTGTTGGGGAATTATTACATTTACTGATTCATCGGTAATTAAAATACTCTTAATATTTCATTTGTATTACTTATAGGGTTACAATTTTAGTGTAAAAGGCCGTTTATTGCTCCAATTACCGTCTTAACGATTGTGTTCGAAGGGCTTACCCTGGAATTGCCATACTCTTGCTGGTGTTGTGCGGTGTTCCCGCCATTTGCTAGCCCGATAGCTCTGGCGTGGATTACAGCACATTTAGTTCATATTTTGTGTGTTTGTGTGTAGTGCATGCTGTAAGCTGTGCGTGCTCATTCATGCCATCAGGCATCAGATATGTTGGCTCATTGTCTATTGTAAGTAGTACAGTACTAGACTGAGGCTGCAACATTTTCACGCTCTGAATTCAAATGCCAATAAACATTTGGGATGGTGTTTTTGTTAATGTATTAGGCCTACATACAGTGAAAGAAGACCAAAAAAAGGAATTCTACAGAACATTTAGATCTAGACCTACTGATAAAAATAAAACTAAGCCCGCCCCAAAGTTGCCAAAAATTTGATGTCAAAATTTCACTTACATTTCACTTTCACTTAACATTAGATTCATAATAACGTGAAAGACCATGTCATTTAAAACGAACTTCTGTAAAGATTCCCCCCCCCCCCCCTAAAAAAAAAATGTGTTTGAAGACAAATTGATATTAAAAGGAATAATTTTGGGTTTTCTTTTGGACGCAAAAAAACAAAATGTTGTATTCTTTCATCAATATTCGACTTCAGACACATTTGTTTTGAAAATCAATGCAGAAATGTGTTGTTACTCTTACAGGTAAAGACCAGTTTTGGAAACGCCCCCCCCCCCCCCCTCTCAAAAAATGAAATGGAAGCTCTTATTACCAATCATGTGAAAGCATATGTTTTGACTAATAGTAATACGTGATCATAATAATTTTGCTGAGAAACCGCCTACTAATTGATATATTTGGTAAATTATTATATCTATTTGGACCTGATAGATATAACTCATGTGTCGCGCACGTGTGCATAGTCCCATATACATCTTTCTGTGTACAGTCCTTGTAACTTTACCAAGACTGGGCCAAATTTCTTATCATTTTGATGATTCCAGAACCTTGCAGTACACACAAATAATTATATGCTACATGTACATGTAGATGATCAACCTTTTCTGATCCATTTCACAACTTTTCTTTCACAATGCGATTGCATGACCTGACCATAACTGGTCTTTATCTTTAAATGACATCCTCTTTCACATTATGATACAGTTTATGTGAAATTTTGCAATCATATCTTTGGGGCTCCCAAAGGCTTAGACAAGTCAAAAATTGATTTGCTTTTAATAGATGCAGAAAAACAAGAGGAACAGAGCAGAGCAAACAAAATAGTAAAACCAGATATTTAACTAATAAGGAAGTTCTGACATTTTAAAGAAGTATGAAAAACTATGAACTTAGAAAATCACTACCTAAATTGCAAATTTTGTTATCAGTTTGTGACGTCATCGTCTTACTATTTATCAATTGCTTTACCGGTATATATTTTTATCCTATTAATTTCCCTTTTCATCCTCCATACAACTTGATTCCCCCATGCCTTTGCCCAGGTTATATTATTTGTATCATATGGCGTGCATGACATTTCACAATATCTTTTATGAACTTTGAAGAATTGATACTATAATGTGTATATTCATAAGCATTGATTTTATATCAATAGTTTATCAAAATGCACATTTTCATGAATTAACTGGAAAAAAATTACTCTATATTAGTGCATCCACACAAAAACATTACTATCAATATAACTTGGATGCTGGTGTGAGGAAAATATATTTTAAGGGGGAAAATTTAAAATTTATATTATCAATATGAAAAAAAGCTATTAGTGGATAGTGAGGCAGTGACGTGACTGAAGTCACAGACTCATGAGTGAGTTGCCAATTTGTCTTGTGATTTTCAAAGTTGTTCATGTCATTAAAAATTCATACAGGTGTAACTCTCTATTACATGTAGTTATCCAATTTTGCTCAAACTTTTTTTGATTGGTTTGTTTAAACTTTCTGCATCTATTGAAAGTAATTTATTTTTGGAGTGGACTTGCCCTTTAAATGGATAGGCCTAATTGAGTTTTGGTATAGAGGGCACTACACAAAAGAATTTTATGGTGAGATAATGAAAAACTAAGGGTCAAATTTGAAAGAGCAAATAATTTAAATAACAAAATCATCTTTGCTTGATCAAAATTGGTTCAGAGACGGCTGAATTATCCATTCTTACATTGTATATTTGATGATTTTAAACCAGCCGTTGAAAAAAACAAGATAGGGCCTTATACATACATGTACGTTTTATTCCAGCCAATGCCAATTTTGGCTTTTTGTTAGCTTTTTTGTTTTGGTTTATAATACGCACAACCAGCCGGCCTGTGTATTGTTATTATTAATTAATAATTAATTAACGGTCACCATATTTTGTTTAAGTGGTGCTGAATTGGTATGATTGGATTTAATCCAAATTTCACACATTTTGGGGTCTAAAATTACCTGCATAGCAATTCTAGTTCCCCACAAACTACAAAGGCACTAGAAAGGTCATAAATAAGAATAAGAGCAACAACCATGCACTTTGAAGGAATTTGCAGTCTTAAACAAGAACTCTTGCCTGTCCCGTTAAAGGCACACTGTCCTACTTTTAGCTACTTGCTCCCTCTAGAAAACTTCCCCAATCGGTGCCTGTTGGTCCCCCATGATCCTCTTTTTCTTATGTTAAATGAGAGCTGAGTTAATGAGATAGCCACCTGTCACGGTGACCTTGCTGGCTCGCTGGGCAGTCTAATCCATTCTGGCTGAAGTAGTAAAAGCCTGCCTTTAAGACTAATGGTAGACTTTAGAGTCTAGACATTATACCAGTAGACCAAGAATTAATGTTAATAGTTGTGCAAAGCCAAAGTAAATTACTAAATTTTGTCATTTTCTAATTTTGACATCAGAAACATTACTCTTTCATATCTATAATTATTGAAAATGGTGAAATAAATAGTTGAATTTGCTACGACTCTTTTTCAAATCATTTCTGTACTAAATGATAATGGAAATAATAATAATAGGGTGTCTAAAATAGAATAAATGACATTTTTAAAATAGTGCCCGCAAACATCAACAACAGTGACAAAACTTATGCATACTTTACTTTGTTTGTTTGCATTGATGCCCATGAAGAAAACTGTTGATTATCCTAGCAAATTAATGATAAAGCAAGCAAAAAAAGTAAAACAAGTGGTTTAAGATCATTACAGCTAGGCAACTCCAAATGACAAAATAATCCCAGAAATGAATTTTTTTTGAGCATTTGATAGCCAAAAACATGAAAATTGTTGTCATTAAAAAAATTAAAAAAATAGGCCAATTTTTTCGCCGATTATTTTTGTCGATACCGATCACAGGTGCGAGAGTGTCGCTCCGGTCTTCCGATCCGATCAAAACCCCAACTTACAGTGTTATGTAATTACAGCTTGTGTACCAAACTACCAACCTTGAAAGCCTTTTAATTAATCACCTCTTGTAAGAATGAAAAAGAAAAGTACATGTAGTTAGATCTATCTTCTAGTCTACATGTACACGTACATATACCGTACTACAGTGTATTTGATAGGTATGGAACTTTATCTTGAAATTAACTAAGAGATCTCAAGAAAATGGCTCAACGTTATTTACACTGCAAGCAAAAACCATAGATTTTTCTCACATTCCTATGTTTTGTTGGTAGTTGCTAAGCTACACATGTAAATTCACCTTTTTTGTAGTGTAAATGTAGTGTAATTTGGGTTTTTTTGTGTTTTTTTGGTCGCGTTACTCTCCCAGCTTCTGTGCAATTGGCTGCAGAGCAGTGACAAGTTGCACATTCGCACGACTTTCAAAATAGATAAATAATCATTAAAACAATTAAAATAATAATCATTTCTCTTTTTCACCAGTGAAGAAGAGAAGCCTCAAGGATAGTGAAGAAGAGAACTCTTAAGTATTTTTATTTTAATTGTTTTTCATTATTATTCATTTATTGCCGCGATGAAAGATTATCAACATTGAATTATTTGTGTCATACAGTATGTACACAAAAATACAAGAAAATAATGATGCTCTGTCTGTCACAAAGAAATTGTTTTAAAAACTTTCATCCCTGTTATGGTCTATTTTTAGATGGTTTAAAGATGAAATTGTCATGCATTAAAATATGCTCAATTTATCCCAAGAGATGAAAGCAAAAAGGGTAAAAATTTACTACAGAGTATCATTATTTCTTGTATTTTTGTGTATTTTCCCGATTTCGATCAAAATATAGACTCTCTTCTGTTTATGTACATGTTTGAGATGACACTTTGCACTGCATTACATGTACATGTTCTTGGTTAGACAGCAAGCTATAAAAAAAACACCTTCATGTCAATTTGTCATTGAAAAAACAAAAAAATCACATCTACTGTGTTGCCCAGTAGTTTTTTAAATGATGTTGCTCAGTGAAGCATGTGTAGATTTATGTCATTGGTGTATCAAAGGAAATAATTTACTTGTACTTTATGTAAAGCAAGGAATCATTATACAGTTAATATTTTGTTCACGATGTCAGTTTTTTTTTTAGTTTTTTTTTTTCTGGGACGCATTGTTCATAATTTCATATGATATGTCTACTTAAAATACTTATATAGTGTAATTTTTTTGATTGAAGAATTTGTATTAAATTTGCATTCATGTATAGCCTACATGTACATCCTAGTGAGACAGGCTTGACTTAATATTATGAATTTTGTTTCTTTTAAACAGAAGAGAAGAAGCAGCTGTCAGATGACCCTGTGACCCCACCTCAGCAGGTGATAGCACCACCAGCATGTCATGACCGATCTCTTGGCTTTGAGTGTGAGCCACCAGACTACTCAGAGTACCTCACTGGAAAGAAGTTACCACCTGGTGGCATCCCAGGCATCGATCTAAGTGATCCAAAACAGTTAGCAGAATTTGCAAGGTGTGTGTGTGTAATATTGTGACCAGGGAAAAAAATGTACAGGGGCTTGGGGCGAATTAGCCCCTGAAATGCCCAAAAGAGCCCCCGAAATTAAAAAAAGAGCCCCCAAAATTTGCATAGAGTTCAATGCAAAACAATTAAAGAGTGTTATTTTCATGAAAGCAAGCTTGAAAAGTAGCCCCCAAATGGGCACAGGTCCATCAACATTACTACACACATCTACAAACATTCATATTATATACAATTAATCTACTCATCTACTTATCACCTGCCCCTAATCTTTGTAAATCTGTTGTAGTTGTGTTGTGTGATTATTTGTCACATACTGGTACTGGTAGTTTGTTTTTTGAGTGATGTACTACTAACTGAATATTGACAAGTGCAGTTTCACTCATATTCTAACATTCTTTCACTCACATCTAGCATTTTTTCATTAATATCAGTAGATTTGTAAGGTTTCAACTTTCAAAGTTATTCCTTTATTTCCTGCTACAATAACAATTATCACTTTTAAAATGTATAATTGTTTGGTGAGAGATATATCAACTTCCTTCAGGGCACTTTCAGTTCAAATCAACTTACTTAGAAAAATATACCGGTAAGCGTATTCAACACTGCAATCATGATGTCCGTAAGGAATTTGTTAAAAAACAATATTTTAGTTGTGTAATTAGCAAATGGAGTTGAGGAGAAACAATCAAGCTGCACTTGTAATCATCCTGACAGTATGAGTTCTATCACTTTTCCAGTCAGTTTGTTTTCCATTGGCTTTTGGGGTTTTTTGCAGTGGCATATCTGAACAAAGCCTTACTTGTACATGTACATGTTTACTTTTTATATGTGCTTGACTAATGAATATGGACAATTAATGCAGAAAGAGCAAGCTCTCTACCCCTACTGTAGTTACCGTTCATTTGGGTTTTTTCTGTGTAAGATTCTCAGGAAGTTCCCATTTGTTGATACGTTTACATTTGTTGTTTGTTTTTGTTGTTTTGTTTGTTTTGTTTTGTTGTGTTTTTTAAAATTATTTTCTATGTGTGTACTGTGTTCAGTTTATAAATGCAACAGGGAAATGTGTATTTTCCTGTTGTAATCATATAATGGAGGACATTAGGATACTGAGCTAATGACTAGAACCTTTTACATCGCAATAATAATAAAGTTAGATTTGCCTCTCTTGACGGTACATTATGTAACATAAATGAAAACTGCATATTGTACACACTGCAGCTTAGTGAAGCTTAGTACTCCTTTGTTGAATTGTATGTTTTACATAACTAAATTCACTGGAATTTCTTAGGGAGTCTAGTTCAATTTTGGTACTATACATCTTATATCTTCGAGTAATTGAATTTTTGAACAAATATTTTAACTTTTACTTTCTGTCTTTAAAAAACAGGATTAAACCAAAGAAGCCAAAGGATGATGATGTGCCAAGAACAATAGCCTGTCCTCACAAGGTACATGTAAGCATGAGCTCAGTGTCAAAGTTATCCTTTATATTTACAAGTTGCGTACATTTTTTCTTGATAAGAGTGTACACTGTACATTTCTGTTTTGTCAAGGTGTTTGAAAGAAATCTTTAAGAATATTAAAATCTCTAAGGTTGAAATTGGAACATGTACTTGTTACATGTAACACTTCCTGAAATTTGCACTCACATATTTCATCTGCTAAATTTGATTCAATCATCGGATCAGTTATAAGATGTGAAATGTAGGTTTGATGAAACCCTTCTATATGTAGATTATAAAAATAATATAATTTATAATAAGATATTTCTATACCGCAAATTTGCATAATGCCTCTAAGCGGTTTAGAAGGAAAATAGTTGATAAGTAAAGGAACAGAATTTGCATTACATGGAGATGTATAATGAAGAGATGAAAATGAAATAAAAGTATTATTTTGCAGGCACTTTGAATAATTTACTCTCTGTTTAGTGTTCAATAACTCTTCACCATGATCTGCACATGATGCAGAATTAGATATGGTGCATTTGATATTTGTAATTCCTCAGTACTGTCATACATGTATGCACATGTACATTGTTTGTAATTTCTTTCTCTTTATCTGAACCAGGGATGTACAAAGATGTTCCGTGACAATTCAGCCATGAGGAAACATTTACATACCCACGGGCCCACGGGTACATGTATGCGCAGAGTGTGGTAAAGCCTTTGTTGAGAGCTCTAAACTCAAGAGACATCAACTGGTCCATACTGGAGAGAAGCCTTTCCAGGTACAAACTATTTTCCTATCCATCTTTAACCCATATCAGTAATAAAAGATGAGAATTGAAAGTACACAGTAGTTCAGCCAGGTGAAAATCTGATCAACACCAAGATACAATGGTTAATAATATACCACTGTATGTACTAATCGTGGTTTCTTCATGTGAATAAAGCACTTGGGTAACATTAGTTATTCTGTGTGTGCTTTTCCCTCGTGACCTATGTTTATTTCATTGTTATCCCATTTTTTTTGTATGCATAGAGTTCTTGGCTGAGAGATGGTCTGTAATTATACATTGTAAGCAGGTGTTTGTACTTTGATACATGATATAAAGTTGCATCTATTGCAACTGCATGAAGTGAGCTGTAATGCATATGCAATCAATGGCAGTAGTTGTTCCTGGTATGTGCAATGATTTAATAGAGCAGATGGTTCTTTTTTTATATAAACATACCAGGTAATCACTATGTAACATTGCATTTTGCTATTCACGAAGGTTTTCTATGGAAGATTTATAACCTACCAGTATACTGATGGAATTTATGATTCGGATAGATTTACATTGTAGCATTAAATGTATTGCCCATTTACATACGGTATATTGCTTGTTCTATCAGAATCAACAAGTAATGTAATCACTTTAAACAGGGCTGTCAACCTTGACGCCACCAAGCTCATTCTCCCGCCATTCCACCAGATTGTAGTGGGAGATTCCCGCTCTCCCGCAAACGATGTAGAATCTCCCGGTTTATGAAAAACCTCCCGCCAAACGTGTAAAATGAAAAGCTCTCAGACCAAAATAAAAATGAACTATCGAACGCGTTTGTCATTGTGGTTCCTTCGATAGTGGTTAATTGGGACGTACCGCATCATATGCAATTTTTTTTTTTGCTTGGGGGGGGGGGGGTTGTAAAATTTACCAGGTCTCTGAACTTGGCATCTCTGTATATATGAATGTACCATTTTATCATAAGTTTGATTGTTTTTTTTCCCTTCTCCCAATATTATCTCTAGTGTACATTTGAAGGCTGTGGGAAGAGATTTTCACTGGATTTCAACCTGCGCACCCATGTGAGGATACATACAGGGGACCGTCCATACGTCTGCCCATTCGATGGCTGCAACAAGAAGTTTGCCCAATCTACCAACCTGAAATCACACATACTCACCCATGCCAAGGCTAAACAACAGCAGCAGACAGTGGTAGTCACGTTGCCTTTGTGAACGTAGTCAACACATCTTAGCTGTAGAGCTTAGATGTGATGTAAGTGACCCTAGCCTTAACCTGACCAAGTGAAGAGAGAGTTCCATAGCTCCATTGACATCAGTCCTAGACTGTAATTGATCAAGTGAGCAGTGCAACAGTTTGGGTTGGAGAACTTGTATGAACTTTAACAAATAAAGGCATTCTTGTCTCTCTTTATTTCCCTCCATGTCTTTCTTTATCTCTCTCTTTCTCTTTCTCTTTCTCTCTCCTCTATATTTTGTGCATTTAAAATAGCTACAGATGATGAAAGAAGAACCGGGATGCATCTACCTGACTATTTTATCAAAGGTTCAATATTAATGTTCCTAAATTGATCTTGTTGTCAGTAGATGCTGATTGTTTAAATGTTCCCATCCGTCATTTGTCTACTGTCACATTCATGTTTCTAACATGTACATCTTTCTGTCTTATGCACACCACTCACTCTTGGCTGGCAATGTAAATATCTATACATACATTTAGTGTGACCTATGAGTTTGTAATTCGATTGAAACCTTTGCACCACTCTGTCAAATGGACTTAATTGTAAATAAACAATTTTAAATTCAGTCATGAGTCATGACAAGTGAAGAGCATCTATGCCACCAAATACATTATCAGTATATTTTTTTCATATGATAATGTTAAGGAATATATTATGTCTCAGTAACTTTCTGAGGTTATGATGAAATAGACTTTTTAAAGAATGCCTTTGTTATTGTTCTTTTCAGCAGTCTTTACAATATATATTAGTGCTGTAGTCAAACGTTTAACCGTCCGGTATCCGACCGCCCATGGCGGATTTCGATTTATGCCCCTCCACCTGGCACTATGCCTGGCAATGTCTCCCAGCTCAGTAATCGGTGTGATGACTCACCACTCGGAAACTAGAACAACCCTCCAATTTGTCTGTCATCTTGGTTTGAAAGTAATCTTTGTAATAGGTCTCAATATGTAGTTTATAATAATAATTCATCCAATTTTTACACATGGCGTACCACAAGGTTCTATCCTAGGTCCTCTACTGTTTTTAATTTACATTAATGATCTCACACATTATTCTAAAAACGACATTGTTACTATTATTTGTGACTAGTTCACAAGCACAAATCGGCGCCTTCAACTGCACCTCGCAGTTAAATGAAAGTCCTTCCCACTTTTTCACACGGACCTGGCTTCCAGTCGGCCCCCCCCCCCAAAAAAAATTAAATTTTAAATCGTTTAACCGAAAACCGTCCGGTTTTGACTGGCGGTTAAACTGAATTGGAGATATCCGTGATGTTACAGCACTAATATATATGCAGGTTTGACTCTTGTTCAGGGTGGTGCATTATTTATACTACTCACAAATGTCATTTAGCATAACATTCAAAGGAAACTACATGCCCAATTCTGAACAATTCTGTCTTAATGATGTATCCGAAGTACATAGTTTAATGAAAACCGTCCACATGTGTTCAACTTTGTTATTATTTTATATGTCATTCTATGTCATAGAACTAATAGACTGAATCACTGAAAGTACATACAGATATACATTTTTATTTTTAAACTGCAGTAATAGCATTGACTATGATTTTAAAGATAAGGTTGATGATTATGATGTAGGTCTAGATTGATTTTTATAATTTAAACTCTCTTATCCTGTCATTGTTAGATTCAGGCTGTGAAAGTAATCATGTAATTATTATGCTACAGTTATGTTACATGCAAACATTCAAGCTTTACAAACTTTCTTCTTATCTTGCTTTTTTAAAATTGCTGAATACTTATTTTTTAAAATATTAATCTTCTTAATCATGTGTTATGTATTTTGTTAAATTGAATGATACTTTGAAATACTTTTCTTCCCCTGTACTGTGCATGATTTGATATATATATATTTAGGGGCATTTTGGAACATGATGACTGTATAATTGACCAACGACCATTATGTTCCTGAAGTATATATTTCATTCTAGGTGTACCAAAAACGAAATGTAGTACCGGTTAGTAATTGTTTTAATATACTGCATATCTACATAAAGAAGAGCAAAAATATACTTACTGTTGCAATATGGTATAAAATGAGCATAATTATGATCAGTTATTTTATGAAATATTCTTGGCTTCTGCTTCTCATCAGAAGTATATATCTGGACTGTGTCTGTGGAATAGTATACAAATAATACACAGCAGTGAGAGCATTAGTAAGAGTTACCCACACAGGTACCTTTGGAACAATCTAACACGCCGATAGCCGAGGACGTTTGGACTGTTTCGAAGGTACCGAGTGTGAGTAATTTTACTAATGCCCGAACAAAATGATGTGTATTATAAGATGATGTTTTATTTGTTTTTTTATAACATGATTTTACTAATGACCGGTCATTAGTAACAAATCCAATCTCCCTGTAAGGTTCTGACCAGCGATGGGATTAGAAGACTCTGTGACCACTGTTACTTGGGTGATAACAAACTGGATACATTCCTTTCCTTTCCTTTCCTTTAGTACATCTGAGAAACTGAGGAAATCTTTATTTCATTGTAAGATTTGCCACAAAATTTACACTAGAAAAGAAGTTGATTCCGCAGATAAGTGTTTACTCTGCAAGAAGAACCTACACGTAAACAGGATTTTTTTAAACAAATACTTACAACAAAAATTCAATTTGTAATACATGTACCGTACATGTAGTTGAAATTCATAACTGCATTTATTCAGCTTGCTATTTTAGAAGAATTCCACAGATTTGGCATTGCATTGATTTGTTTTAGGGGTTCTGTGATATCTTAAAACTGATGGAAGGATATAAAACATGGCATTTGATGTGTGGTTGTACACATTAGACCGATAGGACAAACCTCCCCCCCCCCCCCCCCCCCCCCCCCCCTCCCCATAATTTGCACATGTGCAAAACTATAATGAAAGTGTACTTGTTGTGTCCCATTAATTTTGTTAACCTTGAACAGAGCTTTGTTAGTCATTTCAGTGTAGTTTACTCATTGTCATATTCACTTGTAAAAAAATCAACATTATGCTATATGATATTGTGTACATGTATTTGGTGCAAACCCACTTTCTCGAAAACTGCAAATTATATTACAAGTTTATAACAATATGTAAAAAGGAATGAAATAAATGGATGGCTCAGACAATGAATTGCTGAGGAAAATATTATTTTTGATGCTGATATGTGTTTTGTTGTCTAATGTTTATATGGGACCAATCACCTAGAAATAATTTGTGTAAATCTAGAATGTATAACAAAATAGTATCCCTAAAAGGCATTCTGTGAGGCAGCTAGAAATATATCAGTTTTATCATAAAAATAAAGAGCATGAGTAATTTTAGTACAACGTAGACAAGCCATCCTACCACCATCTACTAATAAGAGGAGCTACTAACCATCTACTAATAAGAGGAGCTGAATATACCACTAGTGATCTCTACATTCAAATATTCATGTTATTTGTCAGATTTATCTTAATTACTCAATAATCTTGTTTCTTTAAAAGTTTCTAGTCCCATTTCCCGTTCATATCATGACATATTTAGTTCACTAGTTCTTTCATTAATATTTTTTTAGTCTCGATCAGAAGGAGCAGTTCATAATTGGAGCTAACATTAAAAATTTTCTCTCTTCAAAATTTGTATCCTGCAGCATATCTGGAAACCTCATTGACTCCTCTTAGTCAATGTATCCTTGCGACTCAACAAAGAAAGAACGGAAGCATTAAGTTTTGTACTGGCACTTTCGGATTTTATTATTCAACCTGAAAGGCTCGAAAATAGGAAGACATGATATGCTATGAGCATAATATATATCAGACAAGCACTTACATTTTAAGAACATTATTTCAGAGGTTAAAATGTTGCTCATTTTGAGACTTCAGTACACTCAATTTCACTTCTGTATACATGTAGTTCTTTCCGTGATATGCATGCAGATTTCATAGCACTGGTGCTATTTATACATCATACATGCTTGCTTACAAACGGCCAACTGTTATAATACAAAATAGCATGCATTACATGGTCTACTGTCAGAAAGGAGGAAGAAAATGAATGCATTGAAATTCAGTAACTAAATGCAGATTACATTGAACAAATACCGGTACCTATTTTTCATTCTTTGTTACTGCCGTATCATTAATTAGTCAGCCTAAACCATTTGAAGAAAAAAAATATTAATTGCTTTTACATAGCATTCCATATCAAGACCACATTAATTCAGTAATCTCTTATTGTGATTTCTTTTACAACAAATAACAATTTTGAATACAAATGGAAAGAAAAATATAAATATCATCACTAAACTCCATCTAAGAATACCAATAGAATACTTAGCTACACCACATGTCAACGTATGTTTAATACAGGAATTAGTAATATAAACCATGATATTCTCTCTGCAATTTACAGGATAATATTTCACTTCTATCCAGCTGCGGCTCATACATATGTTTGCTTTCTACATAAATGTTGTTATACTACTGCTTTCTCACAACATCTGACGTTAATTTGTTTTATTTTAAAATTCAGACTTCCAATAATGAACTGCATTAGATAGTTTAGAGTTGTTTAAGAAGGCTCATCAAGGCAAGGAACCAGTTTTCATAAATACTGGAAAATGCTGACGGCAAATAACCTCAACATTTCATCCACTAAGAAATAAAAGATTTAATGTAATATGCATCCGACTCTCTGTTTCCTTTCTTTTCAATCTGGCAACCAATGGGTTCTTCCAAGTCATTTCAGTGATATATCATAAAACTCAAAATTCAATACAGCATCTCGATTTCTTTCTACAAGTACCTTGATATTAATTTCTCCTTCACTAATACAAAAGACAGGTATCAATCAACTTATTGCAACTCAATAATCTTTCATTCAATTCCCCTCTAGATTTTGTCTTACATTAACAAATAGAACAATACGAATTTCATATCCTTGACTACATAAATTCAACAACAAAGAAAACTTCAAATACATGCAAGTCATTTCTAGCCAATTGCGAAATAATACTACATATAATTTAAACTAATCACTATTAAAAATTCTGAAGTAAATTTTGTTCTATTCATGTAGATTTATATTTCAGCAATCCCAAAATATACCATTTGGTTGCCTTTAAGGATTCAAATGGAATAATGCACTTCCACCAACCATGGCATATACAATGTACCAATCAATAATTGCATTTCAGAATGAGATAAAATAAAAACCCCAACATTCCAGACAACTGCAACAAGCTGAAAGAACCGAGAAGCACATGATGATTGTTTTAAAGGCACTACATTTGAAATATTGAATACTAAACAAAGCAACTGAATAAGAAACTAGTTACTTCATGGAATATACTACTCCACACAAATTGTTGTCCTTGCTGCACATGTACATGTTTATACTTCATATGAGATGTTAATCTTCTAAAGGGAGAAAAAATATCTGATGAGGAATGAGTCCTTTTGGTACTTACTGATTTGGTTTTGTTTTACCTGCCTACCATAATGTTTCAAATACCACCCCCCCCCCCTTAAAAAGAGGACGTGGGGAACACTGCTCTTGTTGCAACAAACTCTTCATTCACACAATAACAAGAAAGTCCTGTAAATAAATTTTACTCCCTTTATTTACAAGTAACATGAATAGTTTGTTACCACTATTCTTACCTCTACCATAAACTAGGAAATAAGAATAGAAACAATTATAAGTAATGTATCACTTGTCTAATGCCCATGTTTGATATTCCTGAAAAAACTTTCCTTCACATTCTGGAATAGCAGCATTACAATAATTTTATGCAAACAAATAAAGATTTTATCAAGTCTTCACAAAATATATTTATCTCTCATTTAGAAAGAAAATGAGCATGTAATGCAAAAATGAACATTTACAATGCACACAACCAAATACTTTATACAATGCATTTTACACCTTTGAGGATATCAAAGGAAACCTCACCCCGAAGAATAAGTGTAGGTTTTCCGAAAATGAGATACATTCATGCCCTTTGATATAAACAAATCCTTATGAAAATGTACATATAATGAAGATATTTTTGGCATGATGTGATGCATTTTTGCACAACATGGGCACAGCCGTTTTCTTAAAAATGCGATGTACCAGTTGAAGTTGTACACTGTACATGTATTGTGCATCAAGCTTTAGTTGGAAAGACTTTTTAAATGTCAAAACCTTTACTTTTCAAAGAGGGAAAATCATAGCTGAGAAGATGGAAATTATATTTGGTGAAAAGCATATATTAACTAATTCACTTAAACATACTAAAACATAGCATTTGACAAGTCTTTTTCATTTATGAGAAATGTTCATCCCAGAAGAGCACAAACTTATTCGCAATTTGCATTCTGGCAATTGTAGTACAAAAGATAACAGCAGGTGAATGCAATGCTTCATTATCACACACCTGGGAAGGAAGCATCCATAAATTTGAATACATTTACTTGATAAACAACTTTACATAGTACGTCACGTTATCAAGAAAATAGCGATGCACATGTAGTGCTGAGAAACTGTACATTATTCTTGCTTTATGCCTCTCTCATACACTTTGGTGGGGAATCTTGTAGATTAGTGGGCAGGAATATAATAAATCTCTCAGAACAACTACAGTTATTTCATGGGGTGAGGTTTCCTTTAAGTACAGTAAATTCTGATGGAAACTGATGATTTGCTCAAGAAAAAAAGCTAAACAAATGTAACTACATGCAATACGTTCGCACCCTGAAAATCTTAATTCAATATCTTATTGATATAAGAAATATATTAATTTCAACTAAATTAAAACTACAATTGTGGCCAAATGTGAACAAGCAAAAAAAAATTACATAGATTTATGATATTCACCAGCTTTCACTGGTTCATTCCCAATTGAATGCTACCAGCTACATGATACAATTCAGGAAGTTCCACATGATTGTCTTCATATTCTTAAATAGGCACTATTCAAATACACCCAATTGACTGTCATATTTAAATTTCAAAAAAAAAAAAAAAAAAATCTACTTTCAATCCTTAAATGTCAAGTAAAAAATAGACAATTTGACTCAGTAATGAAATTTCATTACATGTAGGTAACTCTTTTTACAATTTCTTTTCATTATTCAAGACTAAAGGAAAAAAATATCCTCATTATGTATCTCAGTTTCATGCATGCTTCCAGGACAAATGCTGTTTAGACCAAAGGATGGTGTTTGTCATGTAGAATTCCACAATCGTTCCATGTACCAGGTACATGTAAAATGTACACTGTACTTTGGACGAGGGTCATTATTGAAATATTCTTGTTTTGTGTACCGTATCTAAAGATTCCCAAACCAATTAGCAATAAAGCAAACAATATGACTGTTGAAGAATAAAAGTACCAATATATTATTAACATGTGCTGAATGGATTCTCTCGCTCCTCGATAAGTAATTGCACAGAAGCATAAAATAATTCCTTTGAATACATTCATATGAAATTGGACTGTTGAAAGAAACTCAAGTAAACATTTAGTAAAGGTATAATGGACCACTTTGTCAAGAATACATACAAACCCTGGTAATAACTTTATTATTAAATAATTATTTGCTTTACTTGTATAAGTTGTATTAAATAGAGAACTGTTACTGAGCTAGCGTCATGAGCGTCCCTGGACAGTGTGTGCGCACTATAAGTTTACACTATTATTAATCAATATAAAGGATTTCTGCCCTGATTCAATGGTACCTCTACAAACACACTCCATCAGCAATCTCTGTATTTCTGTAGTGTGTGAGTGTTTGAATAATCTAATTCCAGAATGCAAATAATATGCCACCCCTGTATTGCTCAGTACAAACATTTAGTACCAGGTACCTAGCATGAGGAAACAACATGTCATTGTGCACCAGACCTTACTACAATGATTATGTGGATGGATTAACTGATTACCATTTGAACATCATGCTACATGTAACAGTGGCATACAATAATCATCTTGATCATTTAGAGTAGCGTATATTCTTTGTGCAATTCAAGTACACATACTATGATCAAGGTGACAAATATCAGACATTCAATAATAAGTAAACCATACAACAGTGGATTTAAACAAATATTAGCAATAAATATACCTCTTTTCTATTCCCTACATACATTCCCATCATCAACCTTGTCTTCCATTACTATTATTTGTCTGCCCCATTAGTTCAAGGGATAATGTTGCGCAGGTGAATATTGCAGCATTGGTAGGGAATGCCCTCAGGAGCGTTGTACCAAGTCCCTTGTTAATTACTCGTATTCCTTCCTTGCGGATACTCTTCCGTATGACATCAATGCTACCTTTGTACTTGTTCTTCCCGTCTAACCCGTCCGCTTGAAGCCTAGTCTTAAACACATCAAAGCTGTATGTGAGAATCCATGAGCTCATTCCGCTTAAACCCCCAGCGACCAGCAATCCTGTGATTCCTATCTGACCATCAGCATCTAACTTGGCTAGTTCACTGCAGTACAGCTCATAGGACATGAAATAAATCCCTAAACCAGGTGTGTCTCTTGCTATGGTCAACATGAGACCACGGTAGCATCCTCGCACACCTTCCATCCTGTAGATCTGCCGAAGGGCATCGATTGATCCATGGTACTTTCCCTTTCTTTCCTTGCCTTGTATCTGGACCTTTATTTTGGCGAGTTCCATTGGACCAGATATAAAGGATTGCACAAATCCAGCGACACTTCCGGATATGAAGTGGCTGTGGAGGGAAGGTTTATCAAACTGCCGTTGCATGTTACCCTGCACACCAAACAATAGTGCGTTAATGAATGTGAGTCCTACAAGTGGAGAGGCCATACCCTTGAACAGACCAAACACCTGGTAAAGAAAAAAGATGACAGAGTTAATGGTCTAAAAGGATAATTCAAGACATCGTAGAATAAATCAAAACATACTGTAACAAATCTATGAACCATTAGTATAAAATAAACTAGAGAGCCTTCTCACATACATGTAAGCCTATCAATAGTGACAATTCTATAAAATGTTTTTAAGGTCATTATCTAAACATATTGTGTTAATTGTAGTAACTTACAAAACCCTTTTTTGACAAACTAGGGTCACATTTACCCTAAAATTATAAAGAAAAAAAAGCATGAAAATACACTTTTAATTTTAATTTCTAGCAAAAAATAAATACATCAACGATTCTTTACCACAAAATACATATGGAGAGGGTTTACAAGATTGCTTGATACCAGTATATTGGGAGATAGAAAATAAAGCAACATTGCAGAGGCTTTATATAATTAAATGCCAACGCATTGTGATTGTCTTGCTGTATCTGTTATAAATCCCACCCAAAATATGATTTACATGAGAAGTGTACTCCGACCCTTCACGCAGCTGTGGAATACTTGAACTTACTGATTCCTGTTGAACTATCTTGATACAGCAATTGAAGGCACCTGAGTACTTGGGTGCAGTGCTGCTCTGTGTCTGCAGACGAACCTGAAAAGTGTTTGAGATAATACATCTGTAAAAATGAGCAATTTGCTACCTTCTTGACAATGCCTATACATGTAGGAGTATAGATGTACATTGCACATGTAGAGGTTGGGTAGGCTAATGAATTTATATTCATTTTAGATGAAATTCTTAAATGAAAGGATGAATTAAATTTCATTGGAGTGATTCAGAAGGGGTGCAAACAGAATGAGCATACTTGCTACCATTTTAACAATCAAGGCAGAGCTGAATAATCAATAATAATTGATAACTGTTATTATGTCAGGTAATCCTCTTGCTACATGTTACATTACGTAGAAATGTTTTCAAAAATCATTACATCTTCCATACTTCCATCTTACATACATACAAAAGAAGTAACATCATTACCATTTACATGTATGTCAAAATGTGGGCAGAATATAAGAATAGCCTTATAAATCTTTTGAGTTTTGAGTTTAGGGTACCTGTACATGTATACTGATGACTGGCCGATGCAATTCCCATTTCCATACTTACTAAATGCATTAGCAATTCTTTTGCCAATATACAATGTACTACATGTATGAAAACTGTAATAAAACTGGTTTTAAACAGAGTGCAGTATATGAATGATACCCTTTCCACTTTCCAGGAGAAGAAAACTCTACTATAATGTATGAGACATTACATTTTACATTCCAGCTTGATAACTTTCCAAATGAGTTTAATTTGTCATATTGACATCTGTTGAAGTAAAACAATTGCTAATTTCATAATAAAGATATTTTTTCTCTGCGTTATCTATTACAAGCAAAACTTTAAAATCACTTTAAATGAATTTCATTTCTTCTTCCAGCCACCCTAGCATGTCTCTTTAATGAACACGAAACACATTTTCAATAATCATTGTGTACTGGTATTCAGCAGGCTGTACATGTACATGTATAGAGACTAACCGGTACATGTACAATGTACAATACAGTGTGCAGTCATCCGGAACAAGACCAAATGGCAGTATCCATAATGTAATGACTATTAATTATTTTTAGAGTACTGACTTGAAACCAATTACTTTGAAAGTGTTAAATAGATACCCCAAAAGTACATGTAACCGCCTGCCACACAGCTTGATAACTTGACAATTGAGTTTACTTTGTCTTGACACCTGTTGAAGTATTTAAACAATTGCACTCAGCAGGCAGTATTCATAATGTAATGATTATTAGTTATGTTACAGTACTGATTTGAATCAAATTACCTTGACAGTGTCGAATGGATGCCCAACAAGAACACCTGCCACGCCTGTCAAGAAGAAGAAAAAATAAGAAAGATGGTATTGGATCTTATTGATGAAATCAAATTATTACACTGTGATCATATGATCATGTAAAGCTTAGCTATAATATCTATAATGTAAGTAGTTACAGACGGTTTTGTACATTTACCATTCACCTCTATCTGCAATCAGGACCCCTATTTTTAGTATTCAAACATGTACACATGTATATGATGACGTACATGTAGCTACACCATGTAATTTTTTTAATTTCTCTTGTGTACCTACAGTACATGTACATGTACAAATATACCTGTACAGGTACCGGTATGTATCTTGAAAAGGGTGTGTTAACCATTTCATTTTAAGTCACCTTGCAATTTCAGTAGGCCCCTCAAAAAGTTTTTGTCAGATTTCTTTGCTTTTAGCTGACAATGGCAAGATACTGGCCATTGTAAACTGCTGTGAAGAGGGGGGTTCTCTGGAAGGAATGCCTGCTCAGCACTTGAACAGTACTTTCCTTAGTTGGTATAACAACTTTGTACAAATAACATTCGCTCAAGCACAGACTACAAATACAAACATACAGTGTACTTATTGAAATAAGGGCCATTATGTGTTCTGTTCAAACATAAATACTTCAAACCTATTTCGATTTGTTTTTTGTGTATTACACATCAAACAAAATTGGTCGGGACATTTATACATGCATGAGTAGGAAAATATAACTATCACTAGTAGGCTTATTGTTACATGGACCCTATCATCATGACTTTTCTATGCATACCTCATTTAACAAATGGGCCATCATTTTAACATTAACCTCATTACAATATAAAGGTAATCAATCAATGGTGTGTGATTTACAGTCCGGGTATTTCATTAGAACAAACAGTTATTCTATGAATAGATTATCCAGTAAAATCTTGAAAAGGCGCATTGGTGCGAAAGAAAGGAAACAATTCAATTCAACTTATTGATTATATCTACTGGATGTCTAGCAAGATAGTCACATGATACATTCATTTTAAAACATACATCTGACATTTCAAGAGTCAGGTAATTTAATCAAGTCTAGCAAGTCTGAATTAAAAAAGGAAAACATTTGTCTAAACTCAAGTCTAAACTCTAAAAGCTGTTTCATAAACTGATATGCATCAGTTATATACTGTACATATACTGTAGGTCCACTGTTAGATGGTACCTACCGGTATTGATTTCCCCCTCCCAGGCTCCCCCTTCCCAGGCTCCCCCCCCCCCCCCCTACTCTTCTTGGAAAAGCTACAATACCTAGTCAAAAGTCCATTCAACTTATGGCTTACACAGTATCTTCTTTAAATATAGATCTTTGCCTTCTATAGACTAGACGATTTTCTCAAGGTTGACCCTGGATTGACCCACTGAAATAAAGAATTTGGTTACATAACACAAATGGCCTACTACAGAGCTCTTTCTTCTCACTGGGTTGTTGGAATGGTGAGGCATGTAATGATCCACTCAACAGCCAAGCTTGTCAACTTTGATCTTACAGAAAAGACTAATAAAATAAATGTAAGCACATTAACGAACTAAACTTTCAACGATAACAAACATAAAAAGATAAATAAATGATCTGTAAAGCCCTTAGAGACATCCTTGATGTATTAAGCGCTACGGGTATATAAAAAGTGGATTAATATCATTATTATTGATAACAAAAAAGATATACATGTATAATTTACATTTTGTAAGAAGAAGAAAAAGCATTGTCTGATTGTAATCATGAAGTACACATGTATTAAGACCAATCACACCTGATTATCTTATACCCAATCTACATGTATAATGAAACAGGAGTAGTACTTCAGTTGGACTTGGACTTGATTCATTATCACTAAAGATTGTATAAATGAATACACACATTAGTTATCACCTGTTGGTAAATGCAACAGACTTCATTTCATTATCTGAACATTACAGATATTTCTCAATAGTTCATTATTGACCAACCACGATAAAGTATATTTATATTTTTGTCTTATCTCTGTATGTTTGCTCTTCTTGTTTGTTCTTTCTGCTGGATAAAGGCCTGTCAAACTAAATCAATAGAAGTGATGTGGCACAGACAAAGCTTCTTATCGCTAGTTCGCTACAAGTATTTGTACAAGTTTCTAATACCGGTAATTAAACATCGATTCATGCACCTGCAGTGCTGCACAAGCACTGTTACTGCTCAAATTACAATAGGCAGTCCTAAAGTATGAAGAATGTTATGACAATTTCCAACAGCAACATTTCATTCTAGTTATTGACATTGTTTTAACTCTTTTTATCAAACTAAATTACTTCATGTGCTGAATTCCATTTGATGTCAGGCATGTAATTTTTCATCAATCTGGGGGATTTTTTCCTGCATTTAGACAAACTCTCGTGACTAGTATTCCTATTGTTGAATATTTTGCATTTAGTGCAAATAAAGCTTATGAAGTGCTGACTCTGCTCAACACAAGATCACGCGACCTTTGATGAGCATTCACAAACATACTTGTAGATCTACAAGAACTTCAAAACATCTGACAACAAACAACATAGTCTTCCCACACAGACACTATACATTGTGTGTACATCAGGACTGGTGAACATGTGGCATGGACGTCATGAGATACCATCTGCCTAATGCAAAGATCTGACTACTTTTTCACCAAACTGCCGGGAGAATATTTTGTTCTAGTGTAACCTTGAGTCTCCTCATTATACACCTGTACACACAAAGTACTTTGCACCAATATTTGAACTCATACTACAGGTAGAAACATAGTGTTCTACTGATTTTATGTTATTTATTGTACTTGGTCTTCAATACCCCCCACCATCGCTGCAACAACTTACCATTGCAAATTTGAAACTAACCCTGAGGCCAAGGGCACCTGAGAGGTCAAGTCTGATCACTTTTCAATGTCAAACTGCTTGTCTGTCAAGTGACATTTAAACATTACTGGGTCAATGGCTCTTTAAAAATTAACCCGTAATCTAAACCAGGCAAAAAAATAACTAAAGATTGTATATCTAGGATGAGACCCAGACACTAGAGCTTCATTTGAATAAAGGACTATGGGCGGAAGACCACAGCATTATTCATGTACGGTACTATAGAATACTGTATGGGTATTGAAAAGGGGAATATATATTATTTATTGTACTCGGTTAAAAAGAAACAGGCACAGGAAACATACTACCGTAAAGCTCCTAGTAGATTTATAACACTTGGGGGTGTTTCACAAAGATTCTACGTCAAAGTTATCTCTAAGTTGAACTTAAAAATTAAGGAGAACTGGAGAGCCTTTTGTACTTTTGTAGCCTTAAAATAAAATATATTCTAAAGCAAAAATTCAAGTATTCTAGACTTTTTATAAATTCCGCATCAAGAACATGAAGTCTCCTTGATAATAGAAGATATGAATGATTTGAATCAACATTTTATATAACTTTTACAAAATATTTTCATAGATGCTAAGTTGCTAACAGCTATTCATAATTGTTAAGTCCAACTTAGGATCTTTGTGAAACACCCCCTGGTCTATAGTGTACACAGGAGACAGTCTCTGGTATAGCAACATATCATGAAGTTATAGCAACATAACATGAAGTTATGAGATCCAAGACTTTGCACTAGGGTTACAGGCTTACAGCATGTCATGAGCAATCTACCTCAGAAAGCAATTGAATACAGCTCAACCATGAAGTGGGTTGGTGCTGTAAAAGAGGGATGTACATGTACATGTAATCATCTCCTTTAATTTGATATGTTGCTTTCCCCTTCTCCCTGTTTTTTTTTTATCTCTACATTTCTTCCTTCCCTCTGCTTTTCACCATTCAAGGAGAGGAGTAGCCTATAACCTAGGCGGAGTGCCGAGCTTTTTTCTTTGCTGCTAGACTAACCTTAAGCAGAACGTCTGATACGGCGAGACTACGAACCGTGAGCCGCGAAGCGGCTCACCGCCTATAATCACTGGTCTAGCTAATCAATATTCATATATATTCAAAATGGCGGATCTGTGAATCATTCAACAGCCCTACCAAATAAGGTACACCTATGTTACGTTCGACCAATCAGATATAAGAAACCACAACGAAAAAAGATTGCGCTCGTCCATTACTAAATAGGGGTAATAAAAAGGAAGAAGGGGAGATGAAACCAAAAAAATCTTTCACTCTTTCCAAAACCAGTAGGTAATGCAACAAAAATATCCTTGCCGGCTTCAATAACGCTACGAATAGCGGATTCCTGCAGTTCTCTGAATTTTCCATTAGGAATGCCTAGTTTGTTGGCCGCATATGATAAACTTTCTCGCAGAAGATCTTCGTCGCATGAACTACCCGCCATCTTGGATGAAGAAAATGACGTAATGTCACGTGATTTATAATATGCATATGCATAGACTCTTCTCCATACGTGTTTCTGATTGGTTGGGTTCATTTCGCATTCATGAGGTTTTTTCGTACCAAAAACTGCCACGGATTCATGGTCGATAATAAAAAAACAACGACTAAAGCTAGACCAGTGATTATAGGCGGTGAGCCGCTTCGCGACTCACGGTTCGTAGTCTCGCCGTATCAGACATTCTGCTTAGGGTTAGTCTAGCAGCAAAGAAAAAAGCTCGGCACTCCGCCTAGATTATAGGCTAGGAGAGGAGGGGACTTGTGCCATCAAGCAGCTATGCTACTGAGTAAAGAACTGGTTCAGGCCAACTATCACAACAATAGTCTATTTTGAGAAAGTACAAAAATCACAATGATTACTGAACCATTATATGGACTTACCTCCTAAAGTACCAGCTATAAAATCAGCTGCCATTGTTGAAGATCGTATGGTAAAATGGTAGTTCTAGTTATATCCTTCTTCCTCCTGGTACTCAATCAGACCGCAATGAGCATCTAAGCTTGGTTTCATAGTGAATGGTTAGTCATAGCCAGGCACAGGTAGATTCATTATCGGATTGTAATGCTACATGTACCTGCAAAAATAAAAGCACAAATGAATTTTTTTATAGATTATCTTAATTAGCCTCTGGTAAAATAAAAATGCAATTCTTGAAAACAATGTTATGTCAAAACTTGACACTAAAATCTGTCTGGTTGGAGGAGTGTTCAATATCTTTTAACTTTTGAGGCTCTCCTCCTACACATGTAGGTAAGGATTCCGTGGAAGTGATGGAAACCAAACATACAGCCTTTTCACACACAGGTAAAATTCTTTAAAGCTGATCAGTTTAAAGGGCTTTAAACTAATCAGCTTTGTAACATACGACATCATTCACACACAGAAACTCTGGTGCAATCGTTTTGTGATTAACTGCTCTTAAAATATGCAGTAATGCCATTGCGCATTAAAGGTCAGGTCATATCAAACAAAGTGCGCGCTCCATCCAGTTTCAACACGTATAACCGTTCACACTCAAAATGTCAAGCTCTCTAGATTCGGACTTCGTATCTGCAGCTTGCTTTAAACGGCGTATGAATCATGACTTCGTATCTATCCAAACATTGTATAAACGACGTTCACACAGGGAAAATTTTCTTTACAGCTGTTTAAAACTGTTGAGTTAAACAGCTTTAAACTAATCAGCTCTAGATACGATGAATTTTAGCTGTGTGTGAAAAGCAGCACTCAAAATACACGGGGGCGGTGGGCGATTCGCCCCCATGAGCTACACAATCGCCCCCTTCAGGTTGCTCACGGGGGCAATTGCAAAATTAAAAATCGCCCCCGTGGAATTATAAAATAAAGATTATCTTTCCTGTTACAACTTTAACACAATATTGAGTTTCAATTTTCAAACCTTAAACCAATGAAATAGAACTTACATTAGCGTGCAAGATTTCCCGTTCTATATGAGTAGGCCTATTATTACCGATTCAGCTCGCAGTGCAGTGCCGCCGTCAGCAGTGGTTATAGGTACGTGTGCACGCTGCCGTGCCATGTCTGCTGGAGCTGGATGCGATCGCGCAAGGGCAGAAACCCTGGCCCCCCACTCAGTGTTATTTAGGGTACGCATATTATGCTTGTTCCCTCTTTTTGAAAGCACCCCCTATCTGAGGACTGCCAACATTTAAAAAAAAAACCTTTCGCGGGCTTTTTCGTGGGCTTTTCCTGCCTTGGAGACCCCCCTTATTCATGAAAAATGCTCAATGTACCCACCTAAATTTGGAATAATTTCTCAGGAGTCCAAAGAGATGAGAGAAAAAAAGAAAAAACACCCCCTTTTTAAAGAAATCTCCGGGTGAATAAATGCACATACTGTATATTTGTTTAGGGGGGTCCAGTTTTTTGGGAACATTTTTGCGCCGACTCAGCCAGCCAGTGAATATTAAAGCGGGAGGGGGGATGCTCGACAGGAGGACCACTACTCTATTTTATTTTTTTCAGGGGGGGGGGGGGGGGAGGTGAAGCCCCATTTTAGTATGACTTTCTTTTTAACTCTTACTTTCACCTATCTCAAATAACCCTAAGTTTTTGGTTGCTGCTTTATATGTAGTTGATAATGCATGATTAAAATAAAGAGAAAGAGAGAGAGAGAGAAAGAGAGAGAAAAAGAGAGAGAGAGAGAGAGAGAGAACCACCATCATTTTGCAATGGTTCAGGGTTTGTGTAACGTACATTTGAAACCATTTCTTAGCGTCTCAACTGTAACAAAATAGTGAAACTATTTTTGAGGAAAAGCATTATACTGAACTGAATAAAGAATAATAGCTTTATATTGGCTCATACTAATACTAATACGGGCTAAAGACAATGTGGTATTTGTAAAGAGGTATTCCAAAATGACATTCTGATAATCAACATTTTGTTCTGGTATCATATGTATATATGCATAATACAACTGATCTTTATGATTTCTTAACGTGACATAGCTTCTTCTCCCCCTGCAAACAAAAAAGAAAACAAGGTTTTTTAATAAAAGGATCATGCGACAAATAATCATTGTGATTCAAATTGATGCAAGGATTTTTTTGAATAAGCAATGCTTTTCACCAGAATCTTCTTTGTAAAAACAACTTTTACAAATCTCAGCCATGCAAATCTGCCACTGTGTTGTAAGATCACTTTCAGATTAGGAGAAGAGTATTCTTTAATGAGTATTTTACATTGAATGGAACGTCTCAACTCAGTAAGCATGGCTGAGATTTGTAAAAGTTGTTTTTACAAAGAAGATTGGGTGAATAGCAGTGCTTATTCAAACAAATATTTGCATCAATTTGAATCACAGTCATTATTTGTCGCTTAATCCCTTTAAATGACCTTGTTTTCGTTCTCGTTTGCAAGGTGAGAAGAAGATATGTCACGTTAAAGACATAAAGATCAGTGTTCTATGCCTATATATTATATACACAAGCCCCGCGGAACGTTTATCAAAGTGGGGGGCTAAAGTATTTACGATCAGGTAGAGGATAGCGAGCGTAAATGGGGGGGGGGGGGAGTTCAGGGGTTTTAGGCATTTAATTACGGTCAGAGAAGCACAAATATTTTGATGCCGCATTTGTGTCACTGGCAGGTCAGGGGGGGGGGGTCAATTTTTATTTAATTTTTTAAGGTAAAATTTACGGTACTATCCTATTTTTTTTACCGGTTTGGGAGGCTAGGGGGGGCGGTAGAATCGGACCATGGATCCGCGCCTGTCCAAAAGAGCACACACACAAAATCGCCTCGCCACTATGCGGCTCAGTAAAGAAAGAATGTAAAGGTTGCTCCGAATAATGAGGAGGAAATAATGTGCAGAACGGGAAAAAATCGAGAGAATGTCATCACGGGATGAAAGTCAGTAACAGCTATGTAGCTTGTGAATTTGTAAGAGGGAAAATGCTGATTAAAGTGATAATGATGAAATAGCAAATAATTGAGGAGTATCATAGGTACCAATTCAATGGATATTTGTATAAAAAAGAGCCCCCGTGAGAAGGCTCATGGGGGCTCTTTTTAAGGGGGAAGAGCACCCGTGGACAAAAAATCAATTTGAGCCCTGGTAAAAAGGCCGATACTATAGTCTTACCGGTACATGTACATATATTATATCCCATAACACTACCCATAACAAAACACACCAATTTTTTAGTCTATTTCAAGACAAGCAAATGTACTACCTATAACCCCTCTCAATTAACATCTTGTTCAGGTAGTATTCTGGGTTTATATACCAGTTAAAGAAAACCACACACCAAGAAATAACTTAATTTATTCTGGAAATTCTGATTAAAAATAAGACATTTTTGAAGTTGCAATCAATCATACACAAATTAGCAACTCTGTGATGTACAGGTACAGTACATTTCACAACAACAACAAAATTTAAAATCATACTACATGCATGCACCCTATTAAAACTACTGGTATACAACCCCTGCATGGAAAAAATCTATTCCTTTGTCACTATAACAAATAAGTACAGGTCACCGTCACATCAGGTGCACAAAATGTATTCTCCTACTGGTGTTCTCTGTCAGCAATAATAGAGAAATTTAAATTTAAATAGAATACAGGCCCTAATGACATGTACATGTATAAAGCACAGAGGCCATGAATCTGAATCTGAAAATAATAAGGCTCAACACTCCTCATAGAGTAAAACAAGTCGGACTGGGTGTGCGACTGTGCGGCTGTGCGCATCAAATGATAAATAATACTATTAAAAATGCAGGGTGAAGCAGGTCTTGCATTGGGATAGAGCGCGGGCGGTACCCAAGCCTAATGCTAGCTTCATGAGCTTTGTATTTGAAGAAGGCTAGGCAGTTACTGAGTTAGTCTAGCAATCCTCTTTTCACTTTCAGCAAGTGTAGACTACTCCATCCAAGATCTTTCTAGATCTATTTGGAACTTTGGAAGTTAATGAGTAGAATTTTAAGGCACTTATTTTACTGACTTAGTAGACATAATAATTAAGCGGTATTTAATGTTATTATTACTATATTAGACCTATTACTTGTCCATCCATGCACCACCCTCAGGCCTGCCCTCAGCTGAGTCAGCTCAAACCAGCATCATACAGTACACCAAGGACGACACCGTACCTCTACCGCATGTATCTGATATTAATCTAACGACCGATGGCCTCCTCCTTTACTTACCATTTGTCTGGTGTGGTGATGTCGCGATGATATGGATTACAAGTCGACCGACTGTCTTCATATGAGCAGCGCAGGAAAACTCAACAGACGCCTCCACCTTGGCCTTTATCACTTTGTCTTTGGCGTAGCTGGCAAAGCTCGTTTGATTATAATGTCCACTTAGTCATTAATCTTCAGTATCTGTAGCTGTATGGCCTCGACCATACATAAACTTCAGGAAAGAATTTCGAATCTGTCGTAGACACTAGCCAGAATTGGAAGAAATCACCAGGATGTGGTCACCACATCATGCACATGCCACATGCAAACGTCCGATACTGAATCCGCGCGTGGCATGCAACGGATCACTCTCGAGCTCTCGAGCTCTAGATAGCGCCGCTCCCCGCCCCCGCTCTTTAGCGATCCCGTAGCGCAATATCTAAAGACGTACATCGAAACCGACTCATCCGGTATATTAGATTCTTGCCCAGTGATTACATTACTAGAGATACAGCCGATGATGGTGCTAGCGCTGAGCACATAGTCATAAACCACGCATACACACGAAGTTGGAAGTTTCGCTGTGGGCGCGGGTGTGGGCGTGGTAACTGGTAAGGGTGTTTGGTATAATTAGGACAGTAAATTAGGTATTGGTAGTAAATGAGTTTGCTCTACTTTAGGAGATATCTTGGTCGTTTGACCTAAATCTGAAAGTAAAGGCAAGCTCTTATCCTAGAGTTTGCTGTATGTATAGGCCCTACAGGGAGGAACAGAAAATGCTTGTATAAATAATTGGAGAAGTCACTTTCCCGGTGGGGTCACTCAATGTGACTTCCGGACCGCATGACCGTTACCAAAATCGCGGAAAAAGGGGTCAATTTCAAGCAATGTCCGCGGACAAAATATTCCTCGAAATAAAGAAAATAGGGGTGCACAGGTGTCCTCGAAATTGATAAATAGGGGTCAGGAAAAGAGAGAAAACCGGGAAGGGAAAAGAGAAAACCGGGAAGAAAAATTCTCGGAGCCGAGTCTTGTCCTTGAAATATGGTAAAATAGGGGTAAATTTACGAAAGTGTCCTTAGAATCTTGATAGGGGTATTCCAAAGTACGATTTTGTCCTTGTTTTGTCGTAAAAAAGGGGGTTATATGCATGCATTTGTGGTATTAGGTCATACGTGTCACTCTCTGCAGGGGAGTGACCCCACCGGGGTCACTTTTAACCGACTTTTATCAACGGCATTATTCTGGATTCATTATGGCGCCTATTAGAATAGTCGTGCCGAATAGTCATCGTATGCAGTCGGTCAGTCGAAGCATAAACACTGACGACCGACCTTTCACATCTTGTTTCAAATGCATTGCATGACAATGATTGACCAATGTTTTGACACCGGGTTGGGGACTATATTGTGGCACCGACCCTGTGGCACCCAGCATAGGCGCCGGAAGTGGGGGTGGGGGGGGGGGGGAACGCAATTTCGCCCCCAAAGCAACCCCAACCCCCCCCAACCCCCCACCCCACCGACAAATATCAGCCGCAAAAAGTCATGGTTGTTTATTATTTAACCTGAAAGGAAATTTAAAAAATCATCAAACCTGAATTAAATCACATACAAAATTATTGAAAATATTTTTTTTTTTCGGAGTGGACTTGTGTTTCAGAATGCTCGACAATAACGACGCTAGACGGTACCTATACCATGACCTGGAAAAGTTGATAGGTACAAGGTTTTTTTGTTGATTCGTGTTCTAGATGGGTTTGGAGGTAAATTCAGCTTGGTTGCCATCTCAGTAACCTTGGGCAATATTCTTTATAAGCCTTCTTAGCCTTATCATCAAACTAGCATAATGCGCAATATGTAATATGTTGCTAATCTTAATCCGGGAAGCCTAAAGTGGATAATACCACTTTTCAAGGGTTTTTTATGACAAGGAATTCATTTATGACACCGGTTCTAATTTTAAATAGCATAATTAGCATAATGAGCCAATTAGAATATGTACAATATGGACTTCATTCCATTGAGCCTGAAAAGGGGGTAATGCAACATTGTAAGTCACTTTTTAAAGACAACACATTATGTAGATCTACAATTAACCTAATTAACATAAGTAAATTTGCATATTTGCATTTATTGATATAGTTTTATCCATAAAATTTGGAATGACAATTTTAATGTGATTTTCTTAATGACAAAATTAACCAATATTTACCTCAGAGGTTAATCACGTTTGAACGAAAAATAATTAGCCTTACTAGCATAATAATTAACCTAATTAGCATATTAATCAGGCAATGGACTAATGAATTTCTGCCTGACAAGACAAAATACATATATTCATTTTTAATTTCCCACTATAACAGTGATATAAGCAAACAAAAACACAGTCAAGACAGAGGCCGTGAAATGCCGTGCCACGGAGCCTGTTTGGATCGAGCACTGGACGGCACTTGTGTAGTGACATGATAAGAAAAAAAGACTGTGACAACATTCTGCTTCTTCACGGTCCTAGATCATAGATGCCATCTTGACTGTCAACGAGTGTTCGCTCTCCATAGTTGTTGAGAGGAGTGCAGAAAGTTGCCTCTTATTCATGATCGCTTCTCCATTCTTAAACTCAAAGAAGAAAAGAACAACATTCTAAATATATTTGCCTGATTAATATGCCAATTAGGTTAAGTAAGCCAAGGCTAATTAATTTTCGTTCAACGTGATTAACCTCTGAGATAGATATGGGTTAATTTTGTCATTAACAAAATCACATTAATATTGTCATTTCTTATTTTTCTGGATAAAACTAGACCTATATCAATAAATGCAATAATGCAAATTTACTAATTATGTTAACTAGGCTAATTGTAGTACATCTACTAATTATCTTCTTATGAATTAATGTGTTGTCTTTAAAAGGTGATTTACACTTTAGTGTTGCATTGCTCCATTTTCAGGCTATTAACCTCTGAGATAAGTATGCGTTGTCATTAAAAAAAATCACATTAAAATTGCCACTCCAAATTTGTCTGGATAAAACTAGACCTATATCCATGGGTGTCGATCCCGGAGGGGGGTGGGGATATATCCCCCCCCCCCGATATTTCAGGTGGGGGGGGGGGGTGGCCTGTACAATCATCCCCCCCCCCAAATAATTCACCATCAAACAAAAAAAAATGAAGAGAAAAATTAATGATGAGAGCCCGATGAGAGTAGTTCGTGGTTATTACTCGCAAGATGACCATCGATATACATATTTTGCTATCTCATTTTCATAATACATATGTAAATGAGACAACCATATATGAGACAAGAATAAATGGAATTCTCGCTAATACGGCTTCATCAGGAATTGATGAATTTATTCAATTTATTCGATCAACAGCATTATAGAAATGCAGTGCGCCAAATGCAAAGCCGCAGCGTTGAAAAGCAACGAGCTAAAATGTTAAGCGCGAAGCGCAAAAGTGCAAAAAACGAAGTAGAGAGTGGGAGAGAGAGATAATGAGAGACAGAGAGAATACAGGCGCTTAGCCAGGGAGGGGGGGGGGAGGGGGCTGTCGCCCCCCCCCCAAAAAAATCAAAACAAAAAACGCAGGCCCAAAGAGAGAGAGAGAGAGAGAGAGAGAGAGAGAGAAAAAGAAAGAAGAGGACGTAGGGGAAAAAAAGATTAAGAGTCGAGAACGGTACAACGAATCATCTTCTTTCTCTAATAATTTAATGAAACTTCAAAAGAAACTGAATTCAGACAAGGATTAAGATTCGAGAACGGTATCGTCATCTTTCTCTAATAATGTAATGAAACAATGAAGCTTCCGCGCTTCGCGCGGGAGGGGGTGGGGAACTGAATTCAGACAAGGATTAAGAGTAAAAAATGGTACAACGAATCGTCTTCTTTTCTTTAATAATTTAATGAAATGTCAGAGATTCCGCGCTACGCGCGGAGGAAGGGGAACTTGATTCAAACAAGGATTAAGAGTCGAGAACGGTACAACGAATCGTCTTCTTTCCCTAATAATTTAAAGAAACGTCAAAAGAAACTGAATTTAGACAAGGATTAAGATTCGAGAACGGTACAACGAATCGTCATCTTTCTCTAATAATGTAATGAAACGATAAAGCTTCCGCGCTTCGCGCGGGAGGGGGGGGGAAACTGAATTCAGACAAGGATTAAGAGTAAAAAATGGTACAACGAATCGTCTTCTTTTCTTTAATAATTTAATGAAATGTCAGAGATTCCGCGCTACGCGCGGAGGTAGGGGAACTTGATTCAAACAAGGATTAAGAGTCGAGAACGGTACAACGAATCGTCTTCTTTCTATAATAATTTAATGAAACGTCAAAAGAAACTAAATTTAGACGAGGATTAAGAGTCGAGAACGGTACAACGAATCGTCTTCTTTCTCTAATAATTTAATAAAACATTAAAGCTTCCGCGCTTCGCGCGGGACGGGGAAACCCCCTCCCTGCACCCATCCCCCTAGGTCGCGCGCTTCACGCGCTCTGTAAGTGATTCGCACGCTTCGCGTGCTCACTACCCAAATTGCAAGCCATGTGGGACCCACATTGGTCCTATATTCTCTGAAATGTTATCTTTATTGAGGGTGACTTGAAAAAAGTTAATAACTTGTAAGGGAGGGGGTGCAACCTGCCACCCGCTTCTACCTCTTGGTTGCTTTGATCCATTGCCGAAATATTTTGGCACCTATCATCCCCCCCCCCCCCCAACCACGGATACAAATCGACACCGTTGCCTATATAAAAAAATGCAAATATGCAAATTTACTAATTATGTTAACTAGGCTAATTGTACTACATCTACATGGAATATCTTCTTATGAATTAATGTGTTGTCTTTAAAAAGTGATGTACAATATTGCATTGCACTTTTCAGGCTATTTAGATCATAAGAATGAAGTCCATATATTGTACATATTCTAATTAGCTTATTAGGCTATTTAAGACAATTGCATTACTTAAAAATAGAAACCGGTGTCATAAATGAATTCCTCGTCATAAAAAAACCCTTGAAAAGTGGTATTATCCATGTTTTAGGCTTCCCGGATCAACATCAACATATTACTTTTTGCGCATAATAATTATGCTAGTTTAATGATAAGGCCAGGCGCGTACACAGGGGGGGGGGGGGGGGTTAACCCCCCCCCCCTTTGGTATTTTTTTTGTGTGTAAACCCCCCCTAAGCAAAATGTCAAATTTTCAAATTTCGATACAAAAAAAAAAAAGTGTCCTCTTACCCCCACCCCCCACCCCCCCCCCCCTCCCCCCCGCTTATTCAGCGGCTGGCTGAGTCGTTGCGAAATTTTCGGCCCGATTTATAAATGTTAACCCCCCCCCCCCCCCCCCCCCCCCTTGAAAAAAAATCCTGCGTACGCGCCTGGATAAGGCTATAAGAAGGCTTATAAAGAATATTGCCCAAGGTTACCAAAATGGCAACCAAGCTGAATTTACCTCCAAACCCATCTAGAACACGAATCAACTAAAAAAAAACTTGTGCTTCACAACTTTTTCAGGTCTGAAAAACTTCTACCGGACTATTATGTAAAACAAAATATTCAATCACAGGCGTTTTTGGGACCTAAGACTCCTCTTTCCATTTAAAATCTTTCACATTTCTTAAGTTTTTATGCGAGTGAAGCAAGGAAGGAAAAGTTATTGCTTGCAGCTCTTTATTAGTTGTTCATCTTTATATTGTTACTTTTCCAATGACAAAAAAAGTATAGCCACTATAGCTATTCCATGACTACAGAAGTGAAACAGCTGAGGAGAGCAGGAAGGGGGTATAGAGAGAGGGTGAGAAATAGAGAGAGAGAGAATACTAAGGTTGGTGGTAGCTTCATCTTGGCGACATACATGTATTTAAGTGAGATCTGTCTCCTGTGACTACGTTCAGCTTGAACCCCACATGGTTAGATTAGAATCAATCAGAATAAGATTTTGATGAAATAAACAGTGACAAAGAAAGATCCCCTGACCATACATACATGCATGCGCAGGAATTGGGTCCAATCGCTTAGTTAGAAGGAAAGAAAAGGACTAATTATGATAGAGACTAATATCCTTTGGCAAGATATTAGGCCATTATGAAAATATACAGCGTCCCCGTCCTTGCTACTCTTCACCCAGGTGTTAAATTGGTACCCGTAGGATGCGACCGTTAATGTTGTTCAAACAGTTTCTGACCGTCAAGTGGGCAAGTATTAAATCCAATAGTAATAGTATATCTGTAAAGCGCTTAGAGACATTTGTATTAAGCGCTATATAAAAGCGGAATATTATATTATAATTATTATGATGATAGTTGTCTCAGGGGAATCATCGGTTGTTCTTCGTTGGTGGAAGGATGCAAGCCCCACCATGGATTGTTTTTTTTTACCATTATGATAAATGTCGTTGTAATTTAGTATTGTAAAAAAAAATAAAAAAATTATTGTCTCACAATACTCACTGTCTACGACTTTGGATTTGGAATGGGGGCGAGTTGTTAGGATCATCTAGGGGTTAGTAATCATTAAAAAAATATTGTTTATCATGTTGTCTTTTTTTTTTCCTTTTTATTTGAAAAGAAAAGGGGACAACATAGTAAAAAGTATTACGAGTGATATAATTTGTTTTCATCCCTGCAGTATATTTCAGATAAGACATGCAGTAGTATGTTAATTTGTGTCATTCCTGGTTATTGTTATCTTTACTCTTGCACTCAATTATCTATGTTACACTATAACTTTGAAATTTGTTATTCCATGTATACAAAAATTGAGAATGATCCTATCTGTTTGGATTGAAATTAATGAAGTTTGAATTTGAATTTGAATTTGTACAAAATGAATGCAAGAACCCCAAGCCCATCAAAGCTCCCCCCTAAAAAAACTCTTCTAGACTCAGATAAGATAGTTGTATTTTCTTCATATAGTTCTAAGGGAGAGTGCCGTAACCTTTTTTTTCTCCAAAAAAAAAAGGATTCAGGGGAAAAAAATCTAACAACATTCTCCCCTTTTGGGTGAGAAAATTGGGAGAAAAAAATTGGCGGGGGGGGGGGGGGGGAATCAGGGATTTTTTTCTTCAAATCGGGCCTGACTCTAGCAAAATAAGCACACTCTTCGTCTCAATATATATTCATTGAATACATCAGGGGCATAGACTTACTGGGATAATCCTTCCATAATACTCAACCAAACCGTACACGTTTTTTTTTTTTTTTTTTTGTGGGGGGGGGGGGGGGGGGACGATGCACAAGTGACCTTCAGTTATATCTCTTACTCATTATACACCTCTTTCTCATCTTTACTTCACTCTCAGAGTTTGACCCCTCTTTCTATGGTGTATCTAAACTATTTTTTTTCAACAAGCCTCATATAACTATTATGGTCGATGTTATCTGTGACCATTCAGTGTGATATGGCTTAAGTATATAAGTAAACTTACAGCACAAGTCACCATGTCCTCACAACATGAACACTTAATAACAGGCAAAATGAATGTTATTATACATGATTGTATTGTACAGAGATGTGTCCTTTAGATATATTTGTGTTTCATATCATAACTTACACAGCGCATTCATAACAAAGCTACTCGAGATCCTCTGAGCAATTTATAATTCATCACGTAACCTTGTCATGGAAGAATTTGTTTTGCACACCTTGTAGATGTACATACAACATGACCCTTCAAGTTCACACTATTACTTGCCACTTCCATTCACAGAGAACTTTGGTTTGTAGTAACAATCTGTGGTATGTGATGTTTGATTGTCAACCTTCAATGGCATTCCAATTGAAAAGGCCAATTAATTTTCCATTCTTTCAGCAAACTACATTGTACATGTCTAAAGACTCACCATTCTCCTTGGCTCGTCCAATCTAGAGTTGACTATACTTTACATAAGGAAATCAAAATCTTCAACAACAAAAAATGAGTAGTTTTGACGATAACATTTTCAGGAAATAACATGAATTAAATCATAGTGAATAAATATTAATTATTTACTTTGAAATTTAAGATATATTCAATTTTTTTACTTTTTAATTTACACAATGCAACCAAGCTAGAACTCTACATTGATTTTGTTTTTTAATATCTTTGATTTATGGTCATAGGCCACTTGAGTTTCTTCTACTTGATATTGTTGATTCTTGGGGTGAGAATATAGGTTTACCGGTACCTATTAAAGCTATTTGTAGCAATTTACTATTTGAGTTCTTGACTAACATCTACCTTGAAAGTTTACTAAAGTAACATGCAAAAAAAAAGGGAAAGGTAAAAACTATCATGCCAAATTCAGACATCAAGCCTGCGAATATGAGAGTTGCACAACCAACACAAGTATATTACCCTGTGTTTCAGCAGTCATTTTACTCCAGGGTAATCCAAATAATGGACCATTCAGTTCATGAGCTCAGACACTTTTGACCCTTAGAGATAGCCACAGGTTATTTCTTGTTTCAAATTCCTCATTCAATGACTATTTTTATCGATTTACATGAAGATTGTAACAGTAAAATATAAATATTGATCGCTCCAGGGTTGAATCTAAAAATTTTATCAAATGACAAATTAATAATTTCATGAGTGATGCTATACTACACCAAATATAAAGGCATAAGGAAAATTCTGAATTTGGAGATGAATATATGATATATTGTGTAAGTATATATTCTAAAGGCTTTGAAAATAATTTGAGAAAAATCAATTTTATGTGTTGGCAAAATTATGTCAGACACAACATTGAATATATTACAGATACAATGGTATGATACATCTACATTCACATTACACTACAATCTCCAGATTACACAGCCTCTCAACACTCAAAACTGAAATTTAGAACGACTACAGAGTATTTCCTGTTCAAGTTAGTCCACAGGGAACAACAATCAGCTGGATATAGGGCCGTCCCCGATCTCAATCAACGTATTTGTCTCAAAGTGTCCATAGTCAAAGATAAAGTGAATCATCAAGGTGTACTTGGCAGCCTTTGATCAGTTTCATCAAATCAAGCTCCCGTGTACAATGAGAAGAAATAGATGTATAAGAGGAGGACTGGATAGAGTAATAATGGTTTCTTCTGTGCAAGTTCATCCTGTATCAACAATGACCCTGCACTGTAAGCTGCCCAGGATACACCAACAAGCTAATGAATGAGAGGGAGAAAAACAAAGAAACCAATTAAATATAAAAACTCTACAGCATTTTGTTAAAACCTTTAACACTGAAAGTTAATAAGCCAACACTGAAAGTAGCATAGTTGGAAGAGCAATGATGCTTTGGAGAACAAAGTGTTGGTATTTAAAATTATCCTAATGCAATTTAATAACCTTGCCCTTCATTGACCTTGATAATCCTCATCAGATCATGACTAGTATACAACACCACACAGCCACATCCCACTTCCCTCCCTCTAAACAAGGGAAACGCTCTCGGCGGTCTCGCCTGCATAATGCAATTCAATATGATAAACCAGAACGTCAATGACGTAGCGCTCATCCGCAGCTCACAACAACAAATATCGTAAATTTTATGTGGTACACTTTTGAACTGGTCAAAAAATAGAAATTTGATGCCCTGGAAGGGACATAATTTCATTTCATTTGCATAAATAATCAATGCAGCAAAATCTCACAATTCTGTGTAGAAGTTTATTGTTCCAAATTTAGCTCTACCAGATAAGGCAAAATCGGTCAAGAAATGAGGGAAAAGAAGCAATTTTTGTTATTTTGGAAAAAATTTGCATAAATTACCATAATTAATAAATGGAGAACAATTTCAAAATTCTGTGTAGAAGTTTAGTGTACCAAATTTAGCTCTACGATATAAAGCAAACCAAATCAAAATCGGTCGAGAAATGAAGGAGAAGAAGCCTTTTTTGTGATTTCGAATAAATTTGCATAAATTAGCATAGATAATGAATTTCACGATTCTGTGTAGAAATTTTAAATCCCCTCCTAGCCCTATCATATGAAACAATCAGAATCAAAATCGGTTGAAAAATAACGAAGAAGAAGCATTTTGAAAATCTTAATGTTGATGCCACAACAAAGTCTAAGTTTGTTGACCTTAAATGGCCTTTGACCTTAACTTAGTGACCTGAAATTCTACTCACATGATTGGGGAGACTTGATAACCCTATAGTCCAAGTTTCATTGACTAAGAACTTATACTTTCAAAATTATATCAAAAATTCAAAAACTTAACCTTAGGTTAAGTTTTCGATGATGATGCTACAACATAGTCCAAGTCTGTTGACCTGAAATGACCTTTGACCTTGACTTTGTGATCTGAAATTCTACTCACATGATTGGGGATACTTGATTACCCTATAGTCAAAGTTTCATTGACTAAGAACTTATACTTTAAAAATTATACCAAAAATTCAAAAACTTAACCTTAGGTTAAGTTTTTGATGTTGACGCCGTCGCCGTCGCCGTCGCCGTCGCCGTCGCCGTCGCCGCCGCCGTCACCGGAAAAGCGGCGCCTATGTCTCGCTTTTTGCTACGCAGGCGAGACAAAAAACATGCTAGCATAAAAACAAAGATCATGTGCTGTTGGCAAAGAAAAGAATATAAAAAAGAAGAGAAAAAAGGGGAATAACCAGTACTGACTAAAGGAAGTGGACAGATGTCAAGTGTTGATTGACAAATACAAGAACAGAAGGTATAATACAAGGTTTGGACTAAGGGGAGCTATGATAACGATAGGCTGATGTTCAGCTCTCTCTGTCTTCAAGGATAAAACATCTTATTGAATTTCAGAAAATTGATTCAAAGAATTGAATACTTGATGCTTGCTATGAACAATAATGATTTGACCTTACCTTCACTAATGAACCAATGAAGGGAATAAACCGAGTCACTGGAAGTATAGTAGCAGCAATAATGAGAGGCAGCAATGAATAGCCTATCACACCCAGACACTGTGAGTAGTTCACCTAAAAATACCACCAAAAAAAACAGATACATGTATGGGATAAACAATCATACATTTTTCAATTACAAATGGCTTAAAGCTATTATGAAATCAACCTTAAAAATTTCACTAGGCATTCTATAGGTAAACGGTATGGTAAAATTGCAACGCATATAGGGATCACACGGAACACAAGTTGCACTTGGGCTCCGTTCAAGCCCCTATCTATGTGAGTGCGTACCAGTTTTTAAATTGCAATATCTATTTGTAGGAGTAATATTTAAAGCTCATATTTTGAATGCCACATAGCCATATGAATCCCCTCTTACATCAAGAGCGCAACATGTTTTGGTGATTGTAAACATTAATATTTCGCTAAAACTCTGACAAACTGTTTCATAACAATGATGGACTATCATATAATTTCTTTCTAAAATCATGTGAATTTAGTAACTGACAAAGTAGTAAATTGCCTTGCATGACCTTTTCGTGAAGTGAAAGTAGTAGTAAAAAGATCATTGATATAATTTTGTTACATCATATGTTGAATACAGAATATTATGGTGACAGTATTTGAACTTTGTACTGTACATAACATATCTTTTTAATCTGTCATTTCAACAAAGTGAATCTCTTCAAATTCAATATTCAATTCAATATATTCTTTCCAGAATTCAATGAAAATTACAATGAAAACATACAACCCATACACATATCAACGCAATAAAGGAATAAAGAAATTCAGCAGCAATTAAAGGTATAGTACAAAATTACAAAATTGCTGATTTGTGTTTCACTGGTGACAATTTCAAAAATCAATAACTTTCCTATTATTAATTTCCTTTTCCTTTTTTTTATATTTCGCTAATATGTTTTTCTCATTTTTATGCTGTTATTAAAACCAACTTAATATTGGGATAGACTTTCCCTTTAAGAAGGGCATCAGAGGAAAATGCCTTCTGGCCTCTAGTTGAATCAAGCCCTTACAATGCCTACCTCTCCTCCAAGAACTCTTGCAAGCAGAAAGATGACAAGTGACCCGAATATCCAGATGGTGATTATCCAAGATATAACCTGCAAAACAAACAAACAATAATCACATGTTGAATCCAATTTCATAATAGTAATACAGTGTATAACAATTATTTTCCAAAGAACATAGCCAAAAATATTTTGTGTACTATTTTTCAACAGGTTAATTATTGTTCAACATATTCTATTCCAAACTGTAAGGTTTTCTATGCTCCACTCCTAAAAGATGTTAATCACAAGCTACATATTCAAAGAATATCTACCGGTACATGTTTTGAATAGTTTCTATTTAAACATGGCACAGCTACAAACAAATACGACAATACATAGTAAATCAAAGCTAATCTTGATTTCTGGTGATGGAACTTAATGGAACATAAATGGAGTTGTGGTTTAGAGCGTCAAAATGTAAACAAACTGAAATAAACTTTCTAGGAATCACACTTACCCAAACCACGATTAACAGTATTAAACAGTCAATATTTAATTTGGTTTGCATCTGTAAAATTTCATTTTCTGTTGCCACAAGAACTCAAAGATTCCTTAGAGAACTTGGGATGTACCATATTGGGCATAATGCATATATGCATACAGATTTGTGTTGAGTAGGACTAACAACAACTTTAATCAAAATCGTTTAAATCTAGTGCCTGGAACAAAATAAGATAAAGTTCAAGACAGCAAGTGTGATTTTTAAAATGCACTTGGTCTTACATACTAGAGATAGACTGTAGATGGACTGTATAAGGAGAGTTGCTTACCCTGAATTGTCCGTAAACTGAAACCATGGAGAAGAGTAGAACAACAAGCAGAGGCCCCCAAAAGTCTGGATTATCCCTCAGGACTTGTCTCTTGAACCCAAGAAATGGACATGGAAACACCACACATCGCACCTTGTAGTAGATATCTTTAATGTCGATGTCCAGTTCATCCCTATGTAAAGTATAAAGCAGGTGAAACATCTAGCTAGTACAATAAACATTTTAATGTTGCAAAATGCGAACGTTGCAAATTTTATTCCTAGCAGTATATAGACTTTGTTGACTCATCGTTACTTTTTTTTTATTAAGGATGGGTCATCAAAATTCTACTTTGCAATATTCCCAAATATTTGCATTGTGGATTCTGCTGCAGAAAATCTTTGCAAATTTCATGCAATTCTATTTTAGATGTTCATGTTCGGAAAGCAAGCAATGCATTATTTTCAACTTCCTATGTCTACCATACATGTACATAGTAACCACTTTTTATGCAGATTATCTTAAGCTTTCTTCAAACACATGTGATTGAGAAATAAAATTACTACACATTAAAAACACATGATTAGATACATCAAAGCAATCTCTTTAACTTCACATTTTAAATTTCAAAGGAGTAATCTTACAGCAATGGAGCCTGGTCATCATCCTCATCATTATCATCCACTTCAAGCAACCAGCCATAACCCTTGGTCTGAAGAAACTGTGAGGCAGCATTTCCTCTTGGTCTAAGTTCTGGCTGAACATCCGCTTTGTCATAGCTCATTTCCCCAAGATCCAGCTGCACATTTGCATCTGTGGATACAAAATTGGCACATTAGCAGAAGATATTTACTTGGACAAAATGAAAATGCAGATATGTACAGGAAAAGGGAGAATGAAAATACTGATAATTAACAGATGGATCTTCTTCTTCTTCTTTGCTTGGCGTCCTCCAGTTTGGAGAACTGCAGTTGGTGTAGGTGTTGGTAGTACACATATACAAAGGATAGGCAGGTTTACAGTGGCATTAACATAAATGTAGTGGAACAGATTAGAACAAATTTTCTGTGCATACAATCTTATTGATCTTCTTGACACATTTTTGGCTATGGAGTAAAGACTATGGCAGGCATCATCAGATCACTGTCAGGATGGAAATAATTCATATAACATAAAAGGACTACAAATAATCTAAAATGTCAATTTTTCAAAATGTATGACCCCGAGAGGGGGGGGGGGGGTCTTTTTAGAGAACTTTTAATAATTATGCTACCCACTACATATAATGAGATGTGCCTAAATGGAGAAGGTGCTAGGACTATAGGAGAACAGACATTAAAAGATATTTTCGTACATGGGAAACTCGTGAGTTGTCCATGAATACATCACAATCCAGTGTTGCCAATTTGCGATTCCCATATATTTAGTGATCTCATATTTCAAACACTCGTAAATTTCTCATAAATATTGGTCCAATTTAGTTTAAACTTTCGGCATTCTGTTACTTTTATATTTCCGCTTAAAGTTAGACTAGAGGTCTAGAGTTACATACAATTTAAATTCTTACTAAGGTTGGATTGCCCTTTATTACAGAATGAATTTAATCAATCTAGATGACTTTGTATGAATGGCATTTTCCTTTTTTTTCATATGACTGAATTAAGAACGCCGACCAACAAAAGTCAGACAAGTAAAGTACAAATTACGATTTTCTAGGTGTTGTCTATTGTCTCATGTTAATTACACAACCTCCTCCCTCCCCAAATAGCAGTAATCATGAAAGAATCCTGGATCGATGAACAGGCTTAGTCCTACAACATCGTGTATTACAGTAAATAAAGATGATATTGAGCAGGTTACATAAAAAGAAACATTAGATCTAGGATCCAGTGAACATTAATGGAATAGAAACTTACATAATGACTGACATGCGGTAATAAGAACACGTACAAAAATACAGTCACCAAATTATTGCTAAAAAAGTAAAATGGAAAATTCAAAATGCATTCATGAATTCAACTTTCATGATATTGACAGACACCAAAACATATTCGTGGGACCCGGACAATTTCACGTCATAGTCTATAGCACGTAAAAAACACAAAAAACATGTTTAAGTTCATCACAAAACAATAAAAAGATTCATGTACCATTGTCACTCTTCCCATTTGACTCAGTTGGAGGTATGAAAACAAAGTCATTTGGCGGTCCTGAGCCTGAACTTGACATTTTGTGTGGAGTCTTGTTTTGATAGAGTTTTAGAGATCCACGTTTACAAAACAATAGAGGGCGCACATAGAACGACATCTAGACATACTACATCACATCACAGCAAACGACAGAAAGCAAAATATAGACATAATGAATCATAGTAATGTGATTTCTATATATTATGCAGCACTTAGCTCTGAACGGAATGATTATTTTTTGAGTAAACAACATCCTCCCCCCCCCCCCCGAAGTTGAGACAGTTATTATAACCCTGATATTTCCAATTTTATTATTTCATACTTTGTATCCTATGCCATTCTATTGTACAGTACCTTGTATCGTATGTTTGAAATGCCAAATAAATAATAATAATAATAATAATAATAATAATAATAATAATAATAATAATATAAAATCTAAGGAGATAACATTTTTACATATTTTCTATGATACTTTTTGCTATATGCAGATTGATTACAAAAATAGTACGAACTTGTAAGTAACATACCATTATTATTTTGTTTCTCCAAGTAAAGTTCCACTGGACTCCCGTAGCTCTCATACTACGGTCTAATATATATACCTGATTAAATACCTATCTATTCTTATTTTTATATCTATCTCTATCCAATATAAAAATCTGATCAACAAAGGCTTCCTATATCCATACTCTCCTTTTAAGTGACATTTATCTCTCATATCGTTCTACCCTCCTACACTGGCTGTATAACCAGTTTCCACATAATTATTCTACCTCTTCTATCGTACTGCCTAGCATATCTATTCTACACTTCCATGATCTCCCATTAACACTTCGATTGCTTTCTTCGCATCTCTGCACGGTCGGTTGTTTGCCACAAGTGCAATTTCGCCCACCACAGTAGGCACCAATCGACAGAATAATTGCTTTGTGTAACATAATGGCCGTGCAAGATTACCCATTTCTAGTCATCATTAACTTCATGCCAACTTCTGTATCACTGTTACAGATGAATCTTACTATTGAATAAGCTAAATACTCTTGAACCCTTGATAAATCTTTCCCATGATGAATACACTCATGGTACAGAGAGATTACTTGTTTGGCGTATAAAGAGTTAATTCTCTCTTAACATTTCTTTATAATCTCTCCTAACATTCTTATGAGTATTTCTCCCACCGTTATCAAGTACTTATCAGTCTCTCCTCATACTCTCATTGCGTTTATATCTCTCTTTTCATTCTATATCTCCCTCATCATCGCTGCTCATCATTCAATCTCTCAATGCTTCCTTTTTATCTCTCCTACCATCCCGTAGGCCCTCTTACAATTCAATTATATATATTTTTTCAATTCATTTTAATTCAATTTATTTTGCAATAAAAAACATACAGGGTAAAACAAAATTGACAGTGTACAAAGTTTCACACAATACAATATTATATTGTATTGTGTGAAACTTTGTACACTGTCAATTCAGTGTGTATTTATGTGTTAATCTAATAGATTAACACATAAATACACACTGAATTTACAAACATCCGAGGAAATTGCTAATGCTGGTAGCAGCCAGAATGGAGGTGGTCCTTATATGCGGCTGACCAATTAATCAAATATAAAAAATGATATATATATATATTTACCGGCCATTTCCTCCAGCTCTCCTATACTATTGTATACCAATATACAACTTCTCCTATATACCATTCTATATAAGCCTACCACACCTAACCTATCTCTCCTAAATTCTGTCCTATCATAGACGTAGGTCTGGTCCTATTAACTATTTTATGATAAAATCAGGGGCGGCCGAGCGACTTCCAAAGTGGGGGGGGGGGGGGGCACCAACAAAAAAGGGCACTTTCTGGAAAAAAGGGGCACCTACAGTGGGAAATCTCGAAACGAAAATATACAATTTGTTAGACATTGGTATATACCCCTACATTGTGATTACATTATCAGGGATGATTTCAATATTTGTTTCTCTTCATATATATATCGCTTAAGCATCATACTTTACAGTTGGGTGTGATGTCCGAATATGCATTTATGAGCGAGCGAAGCGAGCGAGAACAATTTTAAAGATCTGTGAGGTCGCAGTGCGAAAAATTACATCTTATAAAGAGGAAAAAAGCCAATCGTGATGGGGTTATAAGCACATTCTCATAACGGAAGACTGACAAGACCTTTGATAAGTAACTGCGAGCGAGTGCAGCGAGCGAACTTTGGGGGAAATTGCTCTTAGTCGCTTTAAATAAGGGGCACGTTTAATGATTACATGAAAAGGGGACAATAATCGAAAGGGATAAGACACTTATTAGAAAAGAAAAGGAGCACGTGTCAAAGTACAAAGGATAATTATTAGAGGTGAAAATGAGGCATTTTTTTCACCTGAAAAGAGGCACTCACCAGTGATGAAAAAGAGGCGTTTACGAAAATGGGAAATAGGCATTTGTTGACGGAAAAGGGGCACCCATCAGATTTTGATAAGGGCATTTATAAGAGGTGAAAAGGGGATAGGTCCCTTATTAGAAAGTAAAAGGGGCACGTATCATTATTAAAAGGGGAATTATCAGAGTTGAAAAGGGGCACTGACCAGATATGAAAAGGGGCACTTATAATAAAGGAAAATGTGCATTTGTTTAATGAAAAGAGGGGCACCGTTCAGATTTTTAAAAGGGGCAGTTATGAGAAGGGGAAGGAGCTCTTTCTTTTAAATGGGAGCACTTATCATAAGGAAAAGGGGCACTTATTATAAAGGGAAAGGGGTAGTTATGAGAAGGGGAGGGAGCTCTCTCTCTTTTTATGGGGGTACTTATCATAAGGAAAAGGGGCACTTATTAGAAATAAGAGGGGCACATGTTAAAATGAAAGGTGTGCTCACTCCGAGTTTTAAAAAGGGGTAGTTATTAAAAGGAGAAGTGGCACTTCTAACAAAGGAAAAAAGGAGAAGTTGTCAAAGTAAAAGGAACACCTCTCAGTTTTGAATAGGGCAATTATCAGAAGTGAAGGGGGCACTTATTAAAAGTGAAAAGGGGCACTTCTCGTACCTGAAAAGAGGCACTTACTAGAGATTAAAAACTTATTCAAGATTTATGAGAATGGAAAATGGACATTTATTGCAAAGGAAAATGGGAACATGTCGAAGGAAAAGGGGCGCGTGTCAAAGGCACTCGTCAGAGGTGAAAAGGGGGAAGGGGCACTTTTACTAAGTAATAGGGGCACTTGTCAAAGTAAAAGGGGCACCTTTCCTATTCAAAAGGGGCACTTCTTACAAAATAAAAGGGGCACTTTTCCTATGTAAAAAGGGGCACTTTTGGGGTATCTGAAAAAGTGGTGGGGGCACTGTGCCCCCCTGCCCCCCCCCCGGGAGGGCCGCCTCTGGATAAAATAGTAGGCCTATACTATTTTAGGACAGAAGGTTTTTATCTCTCCTAATTTTCTACCTGTCACCTCAATGCCTCATTCACCCTCTTCTACCCTCCCATTCGTTTTCTCAATTTGAGCTCTTATAGTGAGCACCAGCCTTTTTATTTCACTCCGACTGAATTACATTTGTTTTGTTGTTGAGCGAGTGTAATTTTGGCGACATACATAACCATGAGCAATATAAATTGTCCAGTAGAGCTTATACTTTCAGAGATATTTAAATATGTGATACATTCGTAGTATAAGCCAATCGAAAAGTTACGAACAAAAACTTTGTCTAACTAACTTCAAAGGCCCTTTTTCAAATCATAATTTTTTTTTCTTCCATTCTCAAGCTCACACGAGAAAAAGGATGAAAAGTTTTAAAACCTTGATTTTCAATATATGGCATAAGTACTAATAATAATAAGGAGACAATGTGCTGGTACATTTCAAGCACGATTATGATCCTTATCATTTCTTTGATATTATCATATAACTCCCCACCCCTTCGATCCCCTGGCCCATACCTTCTTCTAGAACCTCTCCTCTTTTATTTACGTTCTCCTTTGTTTGTTTTTCTTTCTTTGTTTTCCAACTTCTTCTCTTTTTCATTTTCTCCGTTTCCCCTTTCTTTTATTTTGCTCTCGGCATTACCCGGGGGGTGGGGGTTCTCACAAATTAGATCATGAGGGGTGTGCCGCTCTAATGGCTAACTTTTTCACACAAAAAAACTAATTATGGGTCCCACTTTAACCATTAAAAAATGGGTCCGTTTTTACAAACAAAAAATGCCTAATGGGGAAAAACTTTTTTTCGAGAAAAATGCCCCCAAATTACCTCTAATAATGGACAGTGTTTCGAGGCTTGAGCGGCACACTCCCGTTTTGTATCTGAGTATCCCCCTCCCGGGGGCAGTAGCCCTCTGTCAAACGCTCTCTCTCTCTCTCTGCATGCACAGTTCGGCCCAAAGGTTCGGCCACAACCCCAACCTAAACACGTTATACATCGTGGTTGCTACTCATACGTTGCGTCCTTATCGGAAGCTAAGTAAGCCCTCTCGTACATGGTAATCCCTTGGTAGTCATAATCATTCATTTTTGTACAGCGTATACGTACATGTGTGCAGTACTAGTGCTTGCATGCATCGTGTAGACCCTGTTTGTAGATTTTGAGAGCACGCGTGACCCGAATCCTACTGTAGCTTCCGACAGAAGACAGTGAGATATTTTCCTTTTATTTTCTAGTTCTGTAATGTCTAATGACCTCATTTTACGATTGAATACAACCTTTTTAAAGCATTCGTTTGTTAAGTTCATGTAATTGTTGTTGTTTTTCGTACAGATGGCACGAGGAAAACGCGGAACAAGAGGCAGAGGTCGTGGGACTGGGAAAGCCAAAGAAGCTGCTGAGAATGAGATTGCCGAAGAAAACATGGCTGAAGCTGGCGATGGAGAACTCGATGAATTTGACGTCGAAGACAACGGTGAAGAAGACGGTGAAAAAACCGAAATGGGTAGGTAACACAGTAATTCTACAGATTCTGGCCAGATTAGTGAAAGCTCCCAGAACATATTTCTAGAATAAATTAGAGAATGATGAATTGAGGATCGTCCGCATAAACGTAGCTCTAGATGTCGGAAACGCAGACAACTTGCATCTTAAAAATAAAAGATTAAGGGTCGTGCAGAGTTTTTTTTCTTTGGCGCTCTGCGGGTGAAGTATTCCCGATCCTGGAAATCCGAGAAAAAAAATTCTGTGTAAAATACCCCCAGTTCATTGTCTAGATCTACTTTATGACGAGTTGTTCGTCTTCCCGAGGATATATCGCTCAGTCATAACGTGAAAGTCAATGTGAACTGAAATGCATCAAGGAGCGAATCCGTTTTTTTGTAAACGCCAACGTGCGGATCTAAAATAAGAATCATCCACAAAAATGCGGAAATCCTGATCTTTTTTTCCAGGACTCGTCTGTCAGCATTTACGAAGACGGTCCTCGTTTATGCAGATGATTCTTATTTTCGGACCAGCGCCCCTACTGATAATCAGGCCAAGGTCAACATAAAGCTCATTTGATTGAATTTTAGGCGTTTCTTCAGGACAATGCAATCCTTTTCTAACCGTTTGTAAGTACGGCAGTGCTAGGTCACTAGTGTGATCTCTGTAATCTCCATTTCTCGGTCATGGGAACCTTTGATTTTGGAATATCAGAATAACACTGCCATGTGCAGTTTTTTTCTTGTGAAAATGACATTTATCTTGCTCAGAGTTTTGATGAGATTTTTGGCGCACTGACTTTAGAATTTAAGGAATGAGATGAAATTGAGCTTTATGGGATGGGAATAGGACAGAAAATCACAATAATTGTATCATGTTACACTCACATTGAGAACATCAATGGCTAAAAAATGAGCTAATATGCCCAGCATGAGAAAAATGCATCGTACAAATAAAAACAACTTTTGTTTTCTAAATTGTGAGCAAATTCACATTTTTAGTGTGATCTCAATTTCTCAAATCCTTTTGCCCTCAGCTTTTAAGCTATTTTTCAATTGTGAAGCATGCATAATCTGATGATCAGACATGCAAATAGTTTAAACCATTATGAAAACTACATGACTTGGATGTTACTCTTGATATAGTATAAGAAAAAAAGCTGACTTCAGAAGACCTAGTGATTAGTATGTGCTTATTGTGTTTGTCATTTATAATGCAGACGACTCTGTAGCTGATGAAGAGCAAGGAGAAGTGGAAGCAGAAAATGGGGAAGCAGACAAAACTGAAGCAGAGAAACCCATAGAAGATGTCCAGCAGTCGGAAGAAACACCAATGGAAACCCAGGAAACCACCAAGGATTCTGAAGAAGAGGAGAAGAAACCAGCAGAAAAGCCTGTTGAAGAAGAGAAAGAAGCCAGTACAGATAAAACAGAGGAGGCTGCTGAAGACACTGAAGAGAAGACGCCTACAAGCGAAGAACCGAAGAAGGAAGGAGGATCAAAAAGGAAGAGGAAGAAGGAGCGTACGAGGCCGTATGAGCTAGAGAAGTACTGGAAGGCTGTGAAGACAAACCCTGCAGACTTCACTGGCTGGACATACCTGCTGCAGTATGTGGAGCAAGAGGTTTGTTTTTAAATACAATGCAATACCAGTTTCCTACTGTCTCAATGAAGATTCTATTTCTTTTGTGAATGGAAATAATGAAATAAACTGCCTGATATCATACAGATAAAACTTCACAATGTAAACAGGGCCAATGTAGACACAGAACCCGAAAGCTTCACTCAAGATAACTATGTTACATGTATCCAATGAGCTTATTTTCGTTATAAACCCTTTGAGAATTTTTTCAATATTTTTGTCTCGCAGGATCACATGCCATTCTACCGTGAAGCTTTTGATGCTTTCTTCAAGTGTTATCCATATTGTTACGGTTACTGGAAGAAATATGCAGACTCCGAGAGAAAGAAGGGTACCATTGAGAGATGCTGGGAGGTAAATTAAAAATTCTATTTTTAATAATCACTCCTTTTCCACTACTAAGTGGGTGAAAATATAGTGCTAACATATGTAATAGAAAATGTGATTCAAGAAGGATGCCCTGCAAAATATTTTTCAAATTTAATCTTCCTTACGTTGAAATTTGCTAATGTTGTCATTTTACTGAATACTTAGGTTTTTGCAATTTCAAACAAGGAGAGGAGGTTGTATTTTCCTTAAAAACAGCACGTCTTAAACACATGTATTAATGTAACCCTTGTCAAGGAGGTGTTAGAGAGGGGTTGAAATATTATTGATTTGATTAGTTCATTGTTTAACTTAATGTATGCTAATGTGACACACGAATGCTTGGGACTTTTCACCAATTTATTTACATGTGATGTATCCAAAAGATGTTTATTTCTTCGTTTTATTAAATGTTCTATGAGGGTTATTGAAAGGAGAAGCAATATGGAACTTGTGCTTTAGCCAAAGTCCAATGACAATGTGATGATATTTATTTATAAACCAATGCAGTACATGTCTTCACCAATGTCATCATACATGTAGACACTGAGCTTGTGTTACCCACATGCTGTCACTTTTGTTCCACAGGTCAACGTCTGAAGGAAGGTAGTTTTTTTTATTAGGAATATTAAAAAGAAAAAGAAAACAAGGACTTACATTGTATCTCAAATGTCAACTTTTTCCAGAAACATTCAGTGTTCATTTATCTCATGGTGTGAGAGCACCATTTGAATATTTTGTGCGATATAATTGCGCGCTGTTCTGAGCAATTGGAATTGTCACTGATTTTGAAAGGTAGTTGTAATATGGTTGTGTATTTTATGATTATGAGAAATGTATCATGAAGTAGGAGAGCTGAAATCCTACAAAAGAAAAAGGTAAGTCTGGTTATTTATACTCCTTGAGGTTGCAATTTATGTCTTCAGATGTGACAATGAATTGCTTACTTTTTTTGCATTTGATTGTACGAAATTCATATTTATTTGCAATTTATCTTGCTTGGAATATTGCATTGAGTCAGGTATGGCTTGCCAAGCGAACAGAACTTTGGTGTCTGTCCTAGAAATCATACATTCTTAACTGGTTTGTATTACCGATATATTAAGAAATCGCATGCATCTAAATGAGCACTGATTGTTTTGTGGAAATGGTCATTTGAGATATTAAGTCCTGCATTTGAAAGAGCAGAATTTTTCGAGCAAAATAAAAAGCATTTAAAAAAAAGTGAAAGAGAAAAGAAAGCTGAGCTTCAAAGGATGCATAAATCACAAGGAACTAAGGAAGTACATCAGTTGTTATCGTCATCATGTCAGCTCATCTGCTTCTTCACATCAAGAAGGTTGCCCTAAAATCGGTTTATGAAATTATATTGACTTTATAGATTGAGTCCTCTATTAACTGCTAGCTAGCGATAATGTGATATTGTTTGTTTTATTATTGCCATTATCATCGATCTTGGTATGAGATTTAGTGAATTCATTGCATGGAACTGGCATTGCACTGTTATGTGTGAGCCTGCATGTTTATTACATGTAGATGTGAACTTGGATGTGCTTTTCTTGTCGGTGTGAGTGAGGATGTATGAGGAGGCAATGCTGTTCCAACACGCCATGTACACATTGTAATGCTATGCTGTTGGAATGTTCTGTTTGATCAGGTGTTTGAACGTGGGTTGAAGGGCATTCCTCTAAGCGCCGATCTCTGGCTGCATTACATCAGTGTGACGGGTCAACAAATTCCTAGGTCCGATGACACCAGAACAGAAAAGCTTAGGGCGTAAGTGGCACCATCCTTATCATGATCCTATTCATTAATATTTTAGTCAACAGCTAATTGCTACAGCCAGTGTATAAATGATTTATTAAGCATCATTCTGTTGTAATGAAGTGGATTAATACTTCATTGGGTATAGATAATATTATTTGATTTCTTTTAAACTGTATTAATCTTACTGATGTCATCAAAATTGTAGGATTATTTCTTAATCATTTGGGCAGGTTAATTTGAGTGCACTGTCTAGTAGTGTCTACAATAGTTACTGATTAATACTAATCTAAAGAAATATCCTCATTGCTTTGTTTCCAGATAGATGTTGATGAGCCTGTTTTTAGTTTCTACAGGTACACTATTAAAATGAAATGTTCTTGTTTCTGTAGTCTGTATTGAGTTTATAGAGGTACACTAAGTGAAATGTTCTTGTTTCTGTAGTCTGTATTGAGTTTATAGAGGTACACTAAGTGAAATGTTCTTGTTTCTGTAGTCTGTATTGAGTTTATACAGGTACACTAAGTGAAATGTTCTTGTTTCTGTAGTCTGTATTGAGTTTCTACAAGTACACTTTTAAAATGAAATGTTCTTGTTTCTGTAGTCTGTATTGAGTTTATACAGGTACACTAAGTGAAATGTTCTTGTTTCTGTAGTCTGTATTGAGTTTATACAGGTACACTAAGTGAAATGTTCTTGTTTCTGTAGTCTGTATTGAGTTTCTACAGATAAACTATTACAATGAAATGTTCTTGTTTCTGTAGTCTGTATTGAGTTTCTACAGGTAAACTATTACAATGAAATGTTCTTGTTTCTGTAGTCTGTATGAAAGGGCGCTTGACGTTGCTGGAAAGGACTTCAGATCAGACAAACTGTGGGACCAGTACATTAACTTTGAGAAGAAAGAACAGAAGGATTGGAAGAGAGTCATGCAACTCTACGATAGAATCCTCAAGATCCCTACCCAACTCTACAGACACCATTTTGACAAGTATGTCCAATCTGTTGTATGATTCATTCTAACCCATCAATTTATTTTACATAATTGATCATACAGTAAATGGTATGACCTGGGGGGTGTTTCATAAAGCTGTTCGTAAGTTACGCACGACTTTACGCACGACTGGTAATAAGTTCTTGTGCTACATGTAAATGATTGAGAATCTGATTAGCACCCAAGAACATGTTCCAGTCGTGCATAAAGTCGTGCGTAACTTACGAACATCTTTATGAAACACCCCCCAGATTAACAAAAGAATGTATTGAAACTCACTTAGCTTACACAATATACCAGAAAAGTCTACTTCTGGAAAGCCCCTTTTCAGTGTGGGTCAGTTTGAAATGGAGATGTTCCTAGCGGTATTTGCCCCCTAATCTTTTTACAGAGCCCATGTTCATACAAAATAAGTTATTGAACACAATAGCCTTATATAATATGATTGAATTTAACCCTTATATGCAATAATTTGATCTTTGTTCAACTCATCTAAACTGATATAGGAAACATTGCCATTAAAGTCTTCTTACTTCTAAAATACGTAATGTGGATGAAAGAATTTATTCATAATAATAATAATAATGATAGCTAGTTCTTATATAGCGCTTTTCCGGACTGAAGGCCCTCTCAAAGCGCTTTACAGATATACATATTATTACCCCCGTCATCGGATTCAGGCTTACTCGCACACAATTTATGCACATCCTCCACTTCCTGGGGAGCATTCTAGCCCAGTGGCATTTTTACAAGCGCACACTGGCCAATCTAAGCACATTAGCTTTTGCATCCTACCGGGTACCCATTTAACACCTGGGTGGAGAATGGCAAATGTAGATCAATGTCAATATATTGCGTATACTCCACAGACTGAAGGAGTTTGTCCAAGCCCATCTACCCAAGGAATACTTAGACTTTGATGAGTTCCTCAACTTCCGAGAACAGGTGGTAGCAGAGGCGGGTCCAGAGGAAGTGGATGATGATGCCATGATACCGGGTGAAGATGCCCCACCCGGAGAGGAAGCGCCCCCTGGTGAAGAAGCACCTCCCGGTGTTGGGCCACCATCCACAAGGGTATATACTCTCGAGAGTTGTTACTGTCTGTACTTCGCATTCATTGCCATGGGATACTATGACCACCTGATACATTATAGGGCATGTCCTTATTCCCATTTATGAATGAATTGTAAAACTACAACAAGGAACTAACACTTTGAACACTGCTGCTACATTTTTGTGTAGTTTAGACCTATAGAGATGTATTCTTTAAAATAAAAAGTATTTCATGAAAGGCAGTGATGATACCATGATATTTATTGCATTGAAATGCAGAGGCATTGTGTGTTAAGCTAATGAATGTTTCGCTTGAAGACAGGAGTAAAAAGTTGAGAGTATGCTGCTGTATAGTTGGCTATACTTACAAGGCCCACTATCATTTGGGGGATCGATTTGGTTCATTGCTTATTTTTAGAATTCCCTTTTAAAACCGATGTGACAAATTTTCTCTTGAATTTTAGTCGTTATAATATATCCTCATTGATATTGTTTTATTATGCTGAATCTTGCAGGTCATAGAGGGAGAGAACAAGCTTATCCAGGAGAAAGTGATAGAGTCTCGTCGAGTTGTTTTCAGGAAGACTGAACAAGAAGTGAGCAAGAGATGGGCCTATGAAGAAGCGGTGAGTTCATTCATTCACCCTAGTCATGTTGGCAGCCTCAATCCATGTTGCATCAGATTGAAATTTTCATGGTTCATTGTTTCTCTACTGTTCTTGATTACCAGAATTCCTGGTTTAAGTGCTGCTTTTGGTTTTATTTTTTTAAATATTTTTTACTTTCAGTTATTTTTTTTGAGTTGATGACCTCTTCTATGAATTTGTGCATACAACATGCTTCAGAGCAAAGCTGTAATAGTGCATTATTGAATCTTGTTTGTAAGATCCGTCGTCCCTACTTCCATGCCAAGCCACTAGAGAAAGGACAGCTGAAGACGTGGAGGGAATACTTGGAGTTTGAGGAGACCACTGGTAGCCATGACAGGACTGTCCTGCTCTATGAAAGATGCCTGATTGCATGTGCTCTCTATGAAGAGTTCTGGATCAAAGTAAGTCCCAACTTAAATTGTTGCTTCATAATAGAAATTAGAAGAAATAAATTTTTCATATATATTGGTTGAAAGGAAATTAATTGTTTTCATTTTGTTTCTGGAATGACTCCATGTAGAAAAGAAAAAGCAGCAGACTTGTACCTGTGTTCAATAAGCTGATAAATTATCCCAAGTCATTGAAAATAGAAGAATTTGTGATTTTTATTGATACAGATTATTTTGTGGTGTTCTAACCCATATACACTTTTTGGCCTTTTTATGCCTGGTTCATTAATAGTGTCTTATTTTCTGAACCTTGTTAATCTTGATCTACATGTTGATCATCTTTGATTTGTAGTATGCTCGATTTATGGAGAAGACGAGTCAGGAAGCAGCATCAGAAGTGTTCAAGAGAGCTTGTGGTACCCATCTTCCTTCTAAACCAGCCATTAACATCCAGTGGGCAGCTTTTGAGGAGAGATATGGTAAGATAACAATTGTCTTTCCATTACCTCTGTTCATAGATAGCACACACCCCTGGGGGGTGTTTCATAAAGAGCTTGTAAAGTTACGCATGACTTTACAAACGACTTGTATATGAAGTGCCAGATAGGATGCCCAAAGTTTTTTCTGATATTCCAATAACCTCAATTAAATTACGGCAAAAAATATACTTTGCATTAAAAATGGTTGTTATAATCAGAATGTTAATCTACATCTGCACAGTTCAACTTAATAAATAATAATCAATAATGATTGAGCATCACATTTGGCTTTTCATATACAAGTCGTTTGTAAAGTCATGCGTAACTTTACGAACAGCTTTATGAAACACCCCCCAGGTGGTTTATCTTCCCAATAAAGATAATAATTTACTAACTGCCTTGATTTCTTTTCTCTTTTCCTGCTACTAATGTCAGATTCTGACAATGTAAGTTTGTCAAGTTTTTTCTGTCCAACTCAATGGAATTTGAATGAAATACTTATTTTTGATTTTTTGAGTTACACAGTGACATGTGTGATATTTAGTAACGATGAGATTCAAGGCATATTTAGAGAGAAATACCTTATGCCATCCAAACGTTTCCACTTGTTGTGGGCAGTAGACCTTCTGTGACATTGTATATACCTTTTGCATATGATTCTCGCCATGGCAGGAAACATTGAGCGAGCCAGGGAGATCCTAGAGCAGCTCCAGGTCAAGCAGCAAGACTCTGTCATGATCCGTCTAGAACGTATCAACTTTGAACGTAGAGCATGCAATCACGAGGAGGTCATCAGGCTCTATGAGGGGTGTATTGATGACGCTAAGACAGCCACAGGACAGTCTTTCTTTGCAGGAAAACTTGGAAGGTTTTATCAAAAGGTGAGTAGACAGAGAAATCTGTAAATTGAAATCAAAGGGCAAGTAAAATGTTTACAACCCTGTTCATGATGTTGTATTGTCTATTAAATAATCATGATGTGATTCAAGCAGTCATAGTATAGCATATATGTAGGGATGTTTGTATCTCATATTGTTTTGCCCAAATCAGTGTCGTAAGTATGAAATAATAATTTTATTAATCAATTATCATAGCAATTATTGAAGTACCCAGGAAGAAATGATCTATGTAGCAAATACCACACATTAACCTTCTGTTATGGTAAAGATTTTTTATGATTTCCTTAACAAAGTATACACAAATGCTTTAAAGCAAAACTAGATACAGGATGTCACATTTATCCATCTCTCGATTTAGATAGTGATTAAGTATCTTTTTATCTGTTTATCTCTTCTTCTTACGCCTTGACTATAAATCTCTATCATTCCAAAGGTCCTTGGAGATACTGACAAAGCTATTGAGGTGCTGGAGAAGGTCTTGATTCAGAAACAGGTAAAGTTGTGTGCGTCTTACCCTCAAGTAAATTTTTTTAAAGTTTTTTGTTGGGGGGGGGGGGGGGGTAGAAATTTCAAAATAAAGTTTTTAAAATGAGTCGAAGAAATGTTGTGTTTGCTTTGAAAATAAAACACTTTAAAATTGCTTTTAATCTCTTTAAGTTTCATGTATGGTATTAATTCCTCGTACATATGATTTTCGATAAAATTTCATGTTGCTTGATAATAGTTTGCAAATTTCTTGAACCACACCCAACTCACTCACTTTCAACTTTAGCTCTTTCTAGTTCAAGTTTCAAGTTTGTGTATGAGAATTGAACATTATTAGATTGCTGTTTTCATATGAAGCAATAAGTATTTTAGTATTAGAAGGTTTAATGTTTACATGTTTGCAGTCACTCTCAACAAACTTTAAAGAAATATCTATTGTTGCATAGGAATGACATGATTTGCTGAATATATATGTTTGTGTGTTATTCAGGTGAGTCCAGTGCTGAAGGAGCAGATCTATACCCTCATCATGGATGTGGAGTATCAGAGGTCGCCCCTCAACGAAGAGAAGATGACGGCACTCTTCGATACGGTCATCTCAAGCAATCTACCCCAAGACGTCAAGATTCAGTTTGCTCAGCGCAGGATCCAATTTCTCCAGGACTTTGGTAGCAACCCTGCAGCGTAAGTTCAAACTCTATTTTTTTTTTCTTTCTTTCCCAGAACAGAAATGTTGTATCAATTAGGCATGATCCTTGATGACAGCAGTAGAATCAGTGTGAATTATATTTTCCATCTTTAAACAATACTACATTATGATTCAGTTCTAATATTTTCAAGCCAAGGACTTTGTCTCAGAGGTTAGGTTTGGGATAAACATGCATACTCTAAACCAGAATCTTCATTAACTGTGAATATTCTGTGTGAGTGATCATTTGTCTGTTTGTGATATTGATATAATTATTTGGATTCTCATTTTATTAGATAACAATTGCAACCACATTTTGTCAACTATAAATTTCTACTACTTTAGTAGTATCCTTCCCATTGAACACATGAAACAGCTTGCCACATTTCATTAGTTATTTTTTACAGGTCTTCTAGCCTTGAAAATGTTAGCAAGTTTCATGAATGCAAACATTACAGGTGTTACAAATAACATTCTCATGTTGACTTTCAAGCCATGCAAAATCTATTCGACAGTGTTAGTGAATGATTTAAGTTAGCCATGTGAGTTGTCTCCAAAAATATCACAGAAAAGTTTTCTAGAACTTATTACATGAGCAGAGTTACCAGCATAAATCAGACTTATATCTCGATGTTCAGCTTTCAAAGTTGTCTGTTCCATTCTAATCATGTAGGTCTATTGTTTCATTTTAGAACCCATGATGCTGTAGATGAGCATCAGAAATTGGTCAAGAACATCTCTTCTAGCAAGAAACGCTCGGCCGATTCCAGGTAAGGTGATTTGTAAGCAGTCCTCCCGTTATGTACACTTTTGAGAACGAGTTTGGAAGCATTCATGGATAAAATCAGCATAAATTTGTATCATTGTTAATCTAGTGTCTTACATTATCATCTTCTTTGTATCAAGTATTTTACTTGTGATAATGCAACAATGACATATTTAATGATAGAAAATTATAACCCTGATAGTAGAGTTTGACCCTGTTTTTTCTCCTTTGAGATATTTTATTGCTTAAATAGTGGAACTATAATTTATTGGGTTCTAGTACCAAGAATGTCTTGTGTTGTCTATCTTTCTTCTTTCGGGGCATGCTAGTGAGGTTAAAAAGTAATACTCTTCGAAAGGCAAACAATCACTGTGTACATAGATAGCTTCCCACTAACACTGCTTCTCATCACAATTTTAAAGTAGCATATTAGTTTCATTTTGCATCATAACTAATGGTTTCCAACAACTCGAGACTATCAAAATGATTTGAAATTTTTATCATGTTTTTCTATTAGTGGGGATGCCCCACCAACATCAAACACTGCTGCAAGCGACACCAAAGCACCAGAGAAGAAGAAAGCCAAGACAGTAGGAGGAGGAGCCAACAACCAGACTGATAAAAATTCCAGTGGTTCAGGGTATAACAACTATAACTACAATCAGCAGGCGACTGGGGCACAGGCGGCAGCAGCAGCACCAGCACCAGCAGCTAACACAGGACTGAGTGTAAGGGACTATGTATTTACTAACAAAGAATCTTTCCATCTCGTTCTGTAGTTTTTATGGAGCAACTAGCTTTTTTGAACTTTTCAAAGTTATTAGGCAGGTGATATACTGCTTTCATATTAACGTCATACATGTCAACATATAAAAACTCAATTTAGTAATTTCATACCAAACCAAGCAATGTACATGAGTTCGTTGGTGGTCTATGAAGTTACGAAATATCTCACCTGTGGCCTGTTCCAATTTGATTTGTTTTTGAAAACCATGTCTGATTTGATTAATGCATTTGTCAATGACATGTTATGTTCATTGCTTTATGATTAAAATGAAAATCTCTGCAACACTGTCTTGCACCCATGGCTCTTATGTCTTTGTGAAGTATCTTTGTCCTGGGATTAAATTAATCTCTTGCTGAATCCATTCATTCATTCCACAGGGAGCTGACTACCCGCCAGTAAGCTGGGAAAGCTGGGGTGCATGGGGTGCTGCTCAGCAATGATCCACATCATCTGCCTGCCTGCCATCATCCTGTAGAGCATTGGTCAAAGGCGTCTGATGGCACACACTCCCACCACTTCAATGAAAAGGACATCATGTAAATCCAAATCGTTTGGGAAGGACTGCATTCATGAAAGATCATGGAAGATCAAAACTATTTTAATCAAGGTTAAAAGTGTTTTTGATTAGTTAATTGTCCTTGTTGTCACTGTTTTATAACCATTCATTGATGTACTGCTGTAAAAAATTATTGTTGCCTGTTAACCACTTCAAATACATTTTTTGTCAGTCTTTACAATCTCTTTATTACAGTTTTGACATCTAAACCAATTATGAGGTACTATTTGTATTTGTTCAATTTTAAATCAGTTACTATATTTCCTAATCAGGTTTGAGTTGAATTAATCCTATGTATGTCAGGGGAAATTTAGAATTGATGCTGCAGGATTATCATTTGATTTGCATATTACCATTTATGGTTTGCCATGTCCATCTGGTGCATATGGAAGAAAGACAACCTTCGAGATGGATCCCACATGTAGTACTGTTCAAACTTACCTGAGTCTCTGTTGGGCTTGGAGACTGGATAGCCAAATACATGTTTTGCAACAAAGAGCTGACGTGTGAAAAAAGGATGTGCTGATGTCAATTTTCAACTAGAATTTTACAGCGGCAGTTATTCATAACTGAAGGAAATTCAAGGAATAATGTATTTCATTAATCCTTTCATTATCTAGCTGCTTTTGTTCTGTACATGAATCATTGCTTGACAATTAGAAAAGATATTGATTTGTGTAGTCAGTACTTACGTGTGACAATGAAACCTGTCTTATTATCTATGATGCTGAATTGTGAAGAAGAAACAAATTACATTCCTTTTTTTTGTTTTTTGTTGTTGTTAGAAAGATGTTGTTTTAAAGAGTTGGTATGTGTATTCGGTATGCAGAATTCAAATTGGTAATCTTCTATTGTTTCTAAATCATGGTGTAAGGGTTGTTAGAAGTACCCTTTAAATGTAAGAAGGCATATTCGAGCTACATCAGCTCCTGCCATTTTGCCATACACTTTACAGTACAAAATGGCCACTTTGCAGAATGTATTCTGATGATTGGTTTGACTTTGTATTCCACAATACACGGCCGAATATATTGAGCAGCCCTCTGTCACGTGTAAATGCATTTTTTTCCTAAGCCATGTCCATTTTTCTTTTAAAATGTTGGAAATGGTGTACATGGAATGGATTCTTCAAATACAGATTTTCCACCAAACATATTTTGAAGAAATGTATTCATGTACATTTTCATATTTTAATGTTTTGTTGAAAATAAGTATGAAAGTGTGTATCTTGTCATTTTCATGACAATTCATTTTTACTCGCCTAGAAATGGATTTTAGTTACTAAGACATCTTGTAAATATTCTAGTCAATAAGTCAGATGTAAAGCATTTTTTGCATGTTCAGCTTCACAACATCTTGTTTTCTTGTGAGATTTCAAGTCATGGTAATTAGCACTGATTATGTTGTTGTTATTGGTTGCTCATTTTGTGATGAGGAAAATAAATTTTTGTAAAGAACCTCAATGAAATTCTCTCTTTTTATTTCATGCATTCTTGTAACAAAGTCCCATAAAACAAAAAATGCCATGGTCTAGTGTAAAGCATAGCACAATGTGCAAATATTGAAATGGTATTTTATTTGATAAATCCAAGAATAATTTATTCATTTATCTCTAACCTCCCACTTCCAAACAATTAGAAAGCAAAGTATAATCGAGTTGATGTCTTGAAAGTGTTTTGATAACTGGAATGTCGTTGTATTGGACGTGAGGATGAGAGGAAATGTATTCTGCTACATGTATGGATACTTTATATTCAATGTTTCATGTACTTTTAATTTTTTATAAGAAGCATACATTTTTTGTCCGTCTTAACAATTGGATCAGCAATATTAACCCTTACTGTACTGGGCTATTTTGAACACCCTCTGACTGGGGGGGGGGCCTCGGAGGCCCCCCCCCTATGATCTCGGCCGTCGAATGTCCGATGAACACGAAAATTTGCATATTCGTAGATATTTACGTAAGGAACAAGATGGTATAATTATTTTTTTCCTAATATGCAAATTTTTGTCGTTACAGCCTAATTAATTATGCAAAATGCTAATTTTCTGCATTTTACAGAAAACTTTACATATTTGTCCGTAGACTTGTGAAGAATCTTGAAAATGTATTGAATAAATGTTTCCTTCATCTCAAATTCATGAGGTTTCATTATTTTAATGATATTTGAAAATGCATAGGTTAATTTGCATAAATTATGAATACGCAAATTACGCATTCATGAATATCAAATCTGGAACTATATTTTGGGGAACTAGAATCATTACAAAAATTGTCAGACTCCACTTTTTGAATGTTGAAACTCATTCTTCGTATGAAACTTCTTTTCTAACACAAAATAGTTATTTGATGTAATCAAAAATGATAATTTATGCAAATTTGATGCGATTTTCAACTATTTATTTTCTTATGTATTTCATTGGTTTTATTTCTTATTATATCTATTGTTTTATTTCTAATGTATTCTTTTGTTCTGGAATACACCAAGTTACTCTGAGAAACATATAAAAGCAATTTGATATCAATTCATATCTTCACATTTCTGCATGTACATGAATATATGCAATTATAGCACTTTTTTTTTTGATGACATGCGCATACTAGTTGTTATGTAACACCTTACAGGTATATCCAATTTTGACGAAAATGGTATCAAAATGTGCACAAGACTTGAGGGAAAAAAGTCATGAAACAACAATTCAAAATTCCAAGCCATTGCGGCGCGATCTCCGAAAATGTCGAGGGGGGGCCTGGGAGGCCCCCCCCCCCCCAGTACAGTAAGGGTTAAGGAATAGTAGTATTTCCTCGAATTTGAGTTAAATTTTAAGATGCTCTCTGATATGAGAGTAATATTCGAGGCATCCAATCCAAAAGCTGTCTAGATTTATATCGGGGACAACTACTCGCGACATTCCGGAGGATGAGGCAAGAGTCCAGAATTATTATCTTAGATTCGTCCAAATCACTATAACGGAGCCTACTCCAAGTAGAAGGATATAACTGTAAGGAGTACGGTAAATTAATGGGGTAAAGTAAATAACAATTACATATCCTGGCGAAAATGGCAATTGTTATCGGGTTTCTAGAGATGTGCATCAATCAGATATGATTATTTACGCCCGGGGACCGGCCTTTAACGTCACCATCCGAAATGCAGGACTCGGTTTTGAACCGGGGTCCGCCTGAGCCAGTTTTTAGGCTGAGACAGAGAACTGACCGAGTGAACGCACCGCTAGAGAAACTCTCATCTCCTTGAGAAAAAATCCTAAGAAAACCTAATTGCAGCACCCTGTTGTTTATCACTTGTCAACTAAATAAATTAAATATGACGGATTTTTTGTGTGTAAAGGCTTACCCAAACAAACTGAATTGTTTAATCAGGCCTAAAAAAAAGAAGAAGATGTTGTATTGCCCTTTGCGACCGACCTAATATTTTTGAAATCGACGGTCGGCCTTTTAAAAGTTTTTTTTTTTACCGTTTTTTAGAAAAAAAATATATTTAAAGCATTCAAAACTGGAAAATATTAGCCCAAAGAAGGAGTTAAAAAAGAAACGATTTCCGACCGACCGACCCACGTTTTGGCACCTAAAGTGCAATACAACATCTATTATTTTAGGCCTCATAGACCTACTACTAATCAATTGTTTAGTTATCCATTTTTTATTCTTGAGAGCGCGTGGCCGGGCACATAACTTGTTTTCACTATGTTTTTGGTCAATATTTAAATCAATACTGGGAACTGAATTAGACTTAATCGTTCCGGCCTTGCGTCTACTGTCTGTAGGTTTATGGATTTTATCGAGTTCATGTTCACCGTCTCCTGCCCAGTTAGACCCAAGCAGATTAATCGTTATCATAAAGTGTAAGACAGAAATAACGGCAGATATTGACCATGGCAACGACAACAAACACATCAAAGACGCGTATATTATGTTTATTGTTTCTGTAGGAAACTTCCTAATAAATAGGAAACACTGATATAAACAAACATTTCATGTATAACCAGCATACAGTAAGCAATGATGATTGTCTTTTTCATGACTAAATTAAACATTTATCGTGCTTGTATCTTCTTGATTCTGCATTTTAGCAGAACCACATGAAGAATAAGGATGAATAGAAAAGACAGAAAAGTAAAGAAAGTAGGAAAATATGAAGGGATGTGTAGGTTGTGGAGGAGGGGGAGGAGAAAAGAAGAGGAAGATTAAGAAAAGAACAGAGAAATCGGGATGAAAAAGAAGAACAAGAAGAAGTGAGATATAAGAGACAAAAAGGGAGAAGGAGGTTGATGAAGCGAAAGAAAGTGTGAAAAAGAGAGACATAAAGAAGGAAGAAAAAAGGGATGCCTTTGGGATTAATACCTTTTTATTCAGCCTATTATGATTGTCATTTTATAGTGATTTGATAGAGGTATTTCTAGCAATTACCTTCTCTGCGAGGCTGTCGCCCGCATCTTCCCTTCAGATCTATGTTCGTAAAGTCCAAGAAGAAAATGGAAGTCTGTGGATTCGACCCATTGCATGATTGTCATGAACATTGCTACATGTATTATCAAAGTTTCACCACCCCCCCCCCCCCCCTCTCCCCAAATCGTAGACCTTTCACGATTAAAAAAACGAGACTAGATCGACGTCGAGCAAGGTAATTAGACCACCAAAATAGACAACACCGCGACACCGAAAAAACTGAATACAAAGTACAGTCAGTCAATATTCTTGCCCGGATCATCTGTTCGTAAAATTAGTAGACACACATACGTTGATAATCAACAGTTTACAGCTTTCATGAGCAGCCAAATTCAATGTAAAGCAAATGCAAAGAAAAAGATTTCTAACTTTCGATTTTTCTCTTCGCTACATGGGTGAGCCTACAATTAGAAGGACATTGTCATTAATTCCTTGCCTAACCCAAAGTTATTATTGCTTTTCGATAACAATAAGCACGATTGACTTGACGGAACATGCCAAATGTATTATTGATTTCATGTCAGTTTAATCCTATCAACGAAAGAAATGCAAGCTCTTAATTGGAACAAAGGATTTACAAGATTAAAAGATCGAACATTAAGAATTTAACTTTGCCCACAGTAAAACATTAAATACATACCTCATCATGGTGAAATAATCATTGGAATAACAGTAAGATAGAAGTTAACATATTTTATTCTGAAAAGATAAGTGCAAATTTCAAAGGACAAACAGAAATTGCGTTCGTCGATATTTACAAGAAACTTACAAAATGTTAATACAATAAATATCCAGATGAGAGATCAAATATAATGGGATTAAACATGCGGAGTGTGAAAAGAGGACAGATTATGGAGGGTGCTATCGAAAGGAGCGAGAGATGGGGCGTCGACATTTCCACTTGAGATATATAACAAAGTTTTACGAGGATATTAAAAGGCAAATGGTACTGAGATATAAGCAGGATGACCAGGGCACCGTATATCAAAGGTTTGCGATCTTGTAGATTTGCAATAACTATTTTAATCCGTTGATATAGTCAGCCTTGCTAACAAATTATGCGCATGCAAGGTTTATCTTCATTGGCCCGGGATTGGCCATTGACATTTTGCTTTGCAATTTATTGCAAAAATTAGGGTTGCGGGGCTCTGGTCTTATAAAGTACAGGAAAATGGTTATTGATAATTTGATATATTTAGCTACGAACTGAATAATAACTGAAAATATACCGTGTGAGTCAAAGAAAAGTTTACACCTAGAAAATTGCTAATAATTTTAAAAATCATCTATGAACAGTTAAGTATTATACATCTTATGAAAGAGTGTTTTATCTCAAATCAGTTGGTATCATTTTTGTTTGGTATGTGTTCACGCTTGGATGAACATGAGGCATCGTTTACGAGAGTGCAAAAATCGACTTGCGCCAAAGTGATCCCTACAGTTGGGATTAGCGAGAGTGAGAGTGAGAGAATGAATTGAATGTATCAAATGAAATGCATTGGATATGCTTTTTGCAGAAGCAAATTCACACACGCACAAATGTACGTTGATATTTGATATTCGATATTTGATATGTGTGGCATGATTAAATTTGTTAGGGATGTTATTTGGATCTGCAAAGACCGAATTAATACCCAAATCCCAATTGTTTTATTTAAACGTCACACAAGCAACTTTGGCGCAAATCAATTTTTGCACTCTAGCAAACAATGCCTCGTGTTCATCCAAGCGTGAACACATACCACACAAAAATGATACCAAATGATTTGGGATAAAACACTCTTTCATAAGATGTATAATCATTAATTGTTCAAAAATGATTTTTAAAATAATTAGCAATTTTCTAGGTGTAAACTTTTTTTTTACTCACACGTAGTGATAAACATGTTTCCAAGAGTCTGCATGCACGCTCAGCCTTATTTAAACAGCATAAAACGACATTGACCAATTACGTTTAAGACGTTATCAGGAAATCGTATTTTCAATTTAATATGC